CGCATAACCGCTTTTTATCAAAGGCCAAAGCACACTACTTTATTTTCACACATCAAGAGCCGTGAGAATTATCTTGTGGTTCAGTTTACTTTTCGACCGCTCATATGCCACATCCATATATTTGTCCATCATTGTCGGTCTTAAAATTCAAATACACTCATTTGGTTGGCAAGGAAACTGTAGTTCATGGCTTTCTTCTATGTCTGAGACTAAGTTCGAAAAGCCACTTGTAATGCTACACTCTGAAACTTGTTGGAAAGAGATTTAAATATAGTTCATTCTCACTGATTTTTTGCAAAATTCACACCGCAGGCTGTTAGGACCGATTAGTTTACCAACTTCCAGTCATAAATTGTCAATGTATAACTTGTGCTAACATCGAATTATTTTGAAATTCAACTCCTTTTGTTGTTTAAAATTATAATCTTGTTAAGGCTACGTATACGTGGCAGTGTTTGTTGATTTAGAGCAGCATGCAGAAAGCCAAACTGACAAAGTTAGTAAATTATCGCTTCAAAGACAATGTGAATAATTCTTTCATACGGCATATGCTATTTTTGATATGATATCAGTCTATCAGATGTCGAACATTGTATTTGATTCTATTGTTGAGAACTTCAAACATGATGTCTATCCAATTCGATTAACACCGAACTAAACGCGATTAAATACATCATTCTTAAATTATAATAATCATTCATATAGGATTTAAATTGAAATTATCAGCTCTTGTATATATATAATTAGAAGTATCGATGTTTCAGGCTGATAAATAAGCCAACAATATTAAACTAAACATTTCAACAAAGATTGGCAGAGCATTTGGGAGCCAGATGTCCGCATCGTCAAGAGGTCTACATGAGCTTTTGGAAACTGAACATTTAGGTTTACAAACTATACATCGGCTTGCACGCGTTTATTTGCATGCATACGACTGTTTAAAATCGATTTCTCGTAATGGGTTCAGTAAAACGCACTGTGTTTTCTTTCCTGGAGGGATGGTTCGTCAATTATAAAAGTAATTTTCGATCAATTAATTAGTAATTAATCACGATCCATTAAATTGGGTGGCTGGTCATAATAGCTACTAGGACTAATGCATTAAACTATGACATGCAAGTACTTCGGTTTTGAACTGAAAATTTTGCATCAAGGACTTTTATTCAGCTGTTAAAATATAGTTGCATGAATGAAAAGCGTGTTGTGTCTCTCATGATCTCTGAAAACGTAATACACATGGGCATCCCGAAGATTTGAAGCAAGTTGGTGTCTCTTACTGACACGCTTACAAAAAGCAAATTCAGATTATACTCAAATGCTGACCTGTTTTTGTTTAGAAACGAGGTTTTAACTGAACAAGTTTAAATTAATGCAAGTGATTTTTGAAGCAGAGCTGTTAAAAGCATTATTTTGAGGTCGTTATAGCGATAATGTTTGCCCCATTTAGATTCTAATGGCAATGATGACAGCTGCATGTGTGAACTATTACGGCACACGATACAAATATTAGCGAGACACTGCATGTAATCATTGTAATTCTGGCTAATTGAATGTTGGAACATGGCTGTACATTATTTACTCGAAGCAAAGCGTAGGTCGCAATTGATAGTTTCAACCTCTCGTTTTTCAGCTGTAAATATAATCATCTATGTTGTTTTAATAACTTAAAAATGTGAATGCATTGCGTTGAGTTTGTTTTCCTACCATTACTGCCGTTCAACGTACACACGAGCACACATCTGTGAAAATCATATATCTGAACATGTCATTTATCTGTTGTCATCAAATCCGAAGATAGCGTTTAATGGGCTTAGAGATTTCACCGAAGGCTTTCAACACAGCTACAGAGAAATGGCTGGCAATATAGCCCAGTGGTCAGTGAAGCTATTACAGATTCTACCAGAACACGGAACGTGCGTCATTTTTGTATAAACATTTTTTTTTGGACACCCTCGGACTGTCGGACCGCAAGTCACATACACTGCCATCTGATGAATACATTATTAGCATCTGGAGCGGTGCAAAATATCAGTTTATAAGTACTTAATGTTCTTCAGTCCAATCTAAAACAAGTGCAAGGTCTCTTTAAGTAAGGTCTCTGTACGCGAAAGCCCTTTAAGCACTCACAATTGAAGAAACCTTGAACACTTGCGCACTCATTCAAAATGAAAAGATTTTTACATACCGTTTTAATAACTTAATCACGAAACTTGAGATATTTGCCTTAAGCAACAATACATAAGTTTGACTGAGATGCAAAAATCACGAGTTGGTTACACTCGTGAACGCTCCAAATTTAAAAATCAGGTCAACTACGGAGGAACTCTAATGCATGCATCATGCATGCAAAGATAAATATCAGGTAAGGTTTTTGATATCTATACGTTGCATGTCCGTACGAAAAGAAGAACTGCAATTTCAAAATTCAAATTGCATTTGTACTAATCTTTCAGAGACTTGTTCAGTTCAATTCTCAAGCATTCACTTACAAAGCAGAATGAAAAAGCACTAGGCAAGCGAAATGAATGAATGTATATAAACATGAGTGAAGTGAAAGGTGGGCCATTATCACCTCGTTTTCAGCGCGAATGATAAACAATTTCACAAAAGACGTCTAGAAAGTGCTTCGTATCACTTCCTGGCTAAAATTAGCCCCACGACAACCCGCAATGTCATGAAGTAAACAGTTAAAGTTCCTCTAAAACAATCAATGTAAAACTAAAGCCAAAGTGATAGCTTCTAGTATCTTTGACCACCCTGATTGCATGTGACTTTAACCCGAGGAAAATCAGCGATGTCATCTCCTTCTATCGTCAAAGCAATTAACTGAAATTCGATATTTGATCGCTTTCACACATAGGTGGTCTGTTTTTCTTGCGCGCAATTAGTTGCAATAATGAGTTTAAAGAATGCAGGCGAATGTTGCACCCCTTAGCAACGTTCGTGTAAAGATCTTATCGTGGAGGGCTCACATGACAAGTACCCACTCCAAATGGAACATTTTTAAGTGCAATTTGGATTGTCTAAGTGCGTCCCCGCGTTTGAAAAGCTCCTCTCGCAGACAGCTATGCATGCAAATACCACGTAATGGCCGTCATAATTGACTGGATTATGACTGAAACGATGTTATTCTTAGCCATATCAATTAAATACATGGGCGCGTCAAAGTTTACACGTCGGATGTGGACGAAATGTTGTGCGCCATTGCATTTCCCGTCGAAATTCCTCAATATTTACGCTCGACCACGGAGTGCTTTGCCTCGGGGTAATGCCACCATTCAAACCCCTCCCGTTTCAAGAAACCTCCCTGACGCAAAATTGAGATCTTTGTGGGACGAGTCCCGTAATAAAAACGAGATTGCCGCTTGCCATCTGATTGGAGGACATCAACTGATATCAAAACGTTTCATGGCTGAACATCAGCGCGTTATTTACACACGCGTGGAAGAGCTTCATACATTTATCGGCTGGTGGCCGCACGTTACCCACCATTTAACCTCAATTTTATCTGCTGTTAAGAAGGTGTGGATTAACATAATTGCTATGAAATGATTTCGCACGAAGAATTCAATTATCCGATAAGAGAATGTTAGAGGGAAATACGCGACGTGATATCATATTGTGACACCTTGTCCATACATTTTACCAATCCAACGCACGCTCTTTCTTCCACGAGTGAAGTGCACGCTCTTTCTTCCACGAGTGAAGTTTGGTTGTAAACTTGCAGTCGAATCAAAAGAGAGAAATTTCCCCAAAACTCTTGTGTCGAAGATGAAGGTTAACAGTTGAATCTGACGTAGTGCTGAATATTTAGAGCAGGGTCCAAAGGAAAGGCTTTTGTAAACTTTTCATTCTTAATGCATCTATACTCAACGGGAGTATGTCCGATGTTCTCCGTCTTCATTGCCTTGCATTTACTTGTTATGGCGCGTTTTTTATTTGACAAAGAACAAATAGTGAACAAATTGCAAGTCCCTAGAATATCTTTCAATATTGTGGACATGACGAGTGTGAGCTAGCTAGGTAACCAAGATATGGTGAAGTGCTCCATTTAAACACAGTCATCTCCACAGGAACACTGCTATAAAGTCTGATAATAAAGAACTCGGAAATCACAATCACAAAGTATTAACATGAATGCACTTTTTAAGATATCTACACTCAAGATCTGAAATTTAGACGAAAGAGACCGTCATCGGTAATAGACGATGCACCTTTCAAAATTTGTTCAACAAAGCAATGTGTTAATTGACAGAAATTTTTATTGCGAGTTAGCTTAAAAGATAAAATAGCTCAGAAATTTTCACGTCCGATCTAAGAGGCCCCAACCCAGTCTATTTTGAGCGAATCTTATCTTTCTCGCCCACGCAAAAGGAGTGGATTTACGACAGCCAAGGTGTGCAAAAGATGCGTTAATGGTTAAATATCGTGACTTGTCGTCGTTCATTTGTTGAGTTTACGCATTCGATACACTTGATTGTAAAATTTGATTTTAGATATGGATACGTCCACGCCTAATGCACATAATAAGTGAGAATTGAGCCCATTAGGCCTTTACCGTCACAAAATAAAAGTAACTCTATAGCGGTTTACAAGGGCACAGCTGACGTGTGTACTTTCACGCAGGCAAGAAACGAACCTAAGATGTACGTGATAGGCTGATAGCCACCAGTTGTATAGTGTCTTTCGGTCGTTCACGAGGCGTTAGCTTATACAGAGGAAGGTTTAGACAACAGTTGGAAACTGAAGTGTCGAAATCTGAGTTGATTTATATCGGATACTCTAAGGTTTAGAGGTCCAATTAGTGGGGTTTTGTCCTCGGGTCGAGATGGGCGGAGTATTTGTTAATGTGTCATATCTCACGATGTTGGCAGAGAAATAAAAGCTTTCATAGGCTTTGTTTTAGCATTAATAAACTGCATTTGAGCTCATTAAACATTGCAGTGCCCACATGTCAATCAAGTCGAAAGGCTAAGTAGACAATCTGTTGAACAGGGGCTGTATTAAAGCTTTCTTGTGTCAAGTCAACAACATTTGAAAGCGCTTCAACCCGTCGACAATATCACATGATACTGCAGTCGTTGAAATACGCAACGTTCCCACCACAATAGAGAAATCACAACACAATGTACTGCTGGTCACCTAGCTCCGCGGTTCATCAAACCGCTTTTATTTCACCACCTCCATCAAATCGACCATTTCAATACGATCTGCTCATGACCCAGCGTCAACCGTGTTATTTTCAGAATCAACCGATGTTTCCAGCCAGGCGAACTCCGGGCCGTTCAACGACAATGGAATACTCTGCGTGCGCCAAGGCTCCCATAAACTTGGGCCTCGGAAGCTTGGCGTCGCAGTCGAGGTTGGACGAGCCTCTCGTTTATCAAGGTAGGAAAAACTCTGCAGCGGTTTTACGGACCGTTGCGACCGACTAGGATAGATTCAGAGTAATATATATAGTCAGGAATACGGTTGTATACTGATAGAGCAATTCAGGTATTGATGAAGTTAGTTTCTTCCTCTGCTATATCCTGAGTGCTATATATAGCCGTTGTATATCCTTGCTGACACATAAACACTCAGCCAAAAGGACTAGGCATATAGACTATAGTGATATCGCACCAGCCACTTTTTGATTGTATTGGCTTACAAGATGTATTGGAATTCCATAAAAAGAATTGAAACAATGATTGGAGCTTTGTGGGGCATTTATAAACTGACGATCGGTTGGTTTCTGGCGTTTCTATATCTTTAAATTTGCTCGTTATGATTGGCGACGATCGATGTATGGCTGCTTCCATGGCATCTTAATGTCACTGCGAATACCCTCATTTGTGGAAAAACGTAATGTACTTGGGATGGCTTTCCTTGAGCCCTTGCCGGGAGGCCACTGCTGACTGATAGGGGGGCAAGCTTGAGCTGAACTAGAATTCTCTTGTTTACAATGAAAAAGCGACGCGCTAGATTCAGTTTTAACAGCACACTAGAATCAAGTTAAAAAACCATTCTTATAATAATTAAAATATCTTTGGCGAAGTCCGTTCGAGACTCCGGCTCAGCTATAAACTACAAAATTGCGACACAACCGCCGGCATTGAGCAAGATGTTCAACTCGTTGAAAGAGATCATAATTGTTCCTCATTTGGTTTACGAAACCTACACTCGATTTATTTGAGAAAATCTACTCTATAGCGCAGGGTCGTCTGACGGAGGTGACAACTGCATGACGTTAACTTTACTTGAGATCTTCGGAAGACATAGAATACTGTTTAGGTAAGCGCTGCCGACGCACTAAACGCTATAAATTATTGAATGCATTGCAAAAAAAAACCATCCACACGTAGCAAATTTATATAAACACTGGTTTCTGTGTGTATAGTTGCATTTTAAACTTGTCTGTTTATCCGTTTGGAGTATACAAAAACTTTCTTGGCGCAATAACTGGGAAACTTTTTACTGTAAAAACCTTCCGCAATTTCTTTGCCAAATCGTCTGTCGGACTAACTCTTCAAAAAGCCGGAAAGGATAAAGTTAAACCCAGTTCCGTAGCTCCTCAACTGTGAAGTAGAAGTTATGAATGCATGCATATGAAACCTTTTTAGCATTCTGCCCTTGTTTTCGGCTCATGGCCTCAAGGGATGGCAATGTTTAAGCAAAGCAAGTTTTTCATTGAACTTCCAAATAACGAAACAACTCAAGTTGTTCCTAGTCTGAATTCTTCATTTATTTTACCCTGACTCTGAGAAGGTTGAAGTCTTGAAACATGACCTCAATCAGTTTATATAGGACGCACGTCGCCGCAGTTGAACTGGATAACATCACGGCCTATTATATTGGACTTGTCCAATCCTTTCAGAAATTGAATTATAAAGAAAGGGGAATCATGATTTATTGGCAATTGTTTTAGTTGAGATGACTAAGGAGGGAGATCATTGAAACAATTAAGCCATACGTTCCGGACAGGAAGCTGGAAGCATGCACTATGACTGTGGATACAAAGCACTGACGCGAGTGCACAATGCAATGCAATGATAGCTTTACAAATTGTCCTATTTGTCCCACAGCGAAGTTTTCAAGTAGCAAATGAAAATTAAACTCATGAATTTTTAAAAAATTGCGTCCATAGTCCCAACACAAAAACCTGCAACCCGCAAATTGATCTGACAAAAAGCTGAAACTCCTAAATTCACTAAAACAGTTCGAATATTAGTGGATTTTTTTTGGTCTACACGAAGAAGGCTTTGTTAGAATTAATCTGACTGAAGATCTCGTTGTTGTTTATAGTCTGTCCATAGCCGTCAGACGACGCGTTTGAGACGACAGACTGGCTAAAAATGTACACATATACATGTACAACACTAGGAAACATAAAAGAACAGGTTTTCTAAGTTATTAAAAACCTCGAACTGTTTTTATGCGTACGAAACTCTACATCGGATACAGTTGATCTTGATGCTTAAGAATTGACCGCGCTATTCTGTGAGAACAGTAACAGACAAACACTTTAATAATAGTTTAATGACCGCGGCTGTACGATTTTAACATCTGCCATCGCGGGCTTCGTGACTTTTTGATTAATCTGAGATGTTAAGGTCTAACGAGGGTATTAATCGCGTGTTTTATATAATTGTTATCAAATTGGATAACTTCTGTTTGAAGTAGTCTCATTTGCGCGTAGGAGGTCGTTGCCTTGTTGACGATTATACCTTCGACGCAATTTCCCCAGCTTGCCGTTGGGGACACCTTGTTCATGCGAAATTTAGACAAACATTTGAACGGTCATATAGCTTGAATACGAAATACGATTCAAGCCGACCTATATATTTGCCGCAAGGGAGGTTTATTTTGACATCATTTCTAAACAACTTAAAAAGTCATATTTTATTCCCCTTATCTCAGCGATAACATAACCCGAAAATTTCAACCAAATCAGTACTATTGTGACATGAAACAGTACTTTCTCTTCGACTGTCGGCCATGCACTTTATAAAAATGTTTTTATAGAAATGAGATCCTTGGTTGTCATTATAAATCGGATCTCGCAAATGAGACTTTTCCAAGTCCGGTCATAAATTAAGAGCAATTGTCACTAACAATGGTTTCTCCTCTGCAAGAAACATAAACATCCCCTAATCAATGGTCAGTTCCTCTGCTCAAAAAGTAAACTTGCGAGTTTGATAATGATGGGAAAAAAGACTTAAAACTCCGGAACCAGGTGTGAAGTTATCGCAGCTAATGAGCAAACATAAGCACAATGTCGCCTGAAAGGTATTTTGTTTGACCCAAAAATCACGAATGTCTGGCAACAAGAGCTTGTTTTGAAGAAAATGATAAGGCTTGCGTTGCGTGGTAAATAATTATTGCCGCTAATGGATGCTTTATTCAAATTACGGACAATTGATGAAAGTAGAAGCCACATACATTGGCGGTAAATTGATCGATTTAGGCCACAAAAGTTGGCAATTATATCTTCAATTTACATACGGAGTTGCTGAACTCATCGGCTTTGCTATTGCAGTAAGTGCGAAAGTAGTAAGTATACTAGACTAGTCAGGTTAGTATTTGTGGCTTCAACACTCAGTCAGACTAGCAGTACTGCAATGATCAACTGACATTGAGGAAGGTTGAAAGTGAAACACTGAATAAAACATTGCAAAGCAGTAAGTACTAGACTAGTCAGGCTAGTATTAGTAGCAACAGTCAACACTCAGTCTGACTAGCAGTATTGCAATGATCAACTGACATTGAAGAAGGTTGAAAGTGTCCAACTAAAATATGATTTGTTCCTCATTCTAGATCCCAGTCCAGAGGTTCTTAACGCTCTTCCAGTTTACTTCAGAGTAAAGCCCACGTTACGTACACCAAGCGGCAAACGTTGCCGCAAGTCGAGAACAGTCTTCACTGAAATGCAACTGAAAGTTTTGGAGAAAACGTTTGCGGAGCAGCGATATTTGGACACGACAAGCCGGGCGAAACTCGCGCAAAGCCTCGCGCTAAACGAAACGCAAATTAAGACTTGGTTTCAGAATAGGCGAATGAAGCATAAAAAAGAGAGTAAGACTGGTAACGAGGAGAAGGAATTGAGCCCACAAGCAAGCTGTGGTGTGGAGGGAAAATAGAGTGGAACAATGAAGGGACACGTCAGTGCACTTTATTCTTAGCCTGGATAACGAAGGCTCAAGATTTTTTACAACAAAAACCTATTTATTAAAAAAAGTCAAGCTTGAGTAGACGAATTTTACTGGGTATATTTCAGAAGTTATAGTAGACCAAGCACATTAGGCTGTTTTTGTTCAGAATTCATACGTATGAACCATTTAAATGAACAGCAAGCGGTTAACAAATTTGTCTGATGCTGTTTGAGAGGATTTGCGAAGTAAGATCCTGACGATCCTCAGAACCGAGCTAGGATCTACTATTGTACATAAATCAGTGACAATTGCGCGTGCGTGAAGTGGACTTAGAACCACAAATACGATATACAACTCTGAAGACGAGACTCTTTGTGACAAAGATAACTAAACATGGCGAGACGGAAGATGTTTGAGTGAACGCATGCAAGACTGAGCTCAGGATATATTATCACATTGACATCCAAGGAGACAGAAATATCGTATATACCTGTACATAAAGGCCCGTCAGTTACACTTGCAATTTTTACCGCCTTTTTTCTTGTAAACTATGAACGAGTGATTTGATTATATACCAAAAAGTTGCACCTATGTTGCAGTGAAAATTGCAAGTGTTAATTTGTTTTGATCGCGGTCCAATCCTTCATATTGCCTGTATAAGTTGTGTTTAATATTTAAGTAGAAAAAAATTAATAATTATATATTGTAAGTTAAATACTCCGCGATATTTTAATATAAAGAGTTTCGACTCCGGGATTAACTCGTTCTCGTTGGCTAGTAAAGATGGAACGTCGAGACGATCATATCGAAGCATCCATATTCTTCAAATTCCTGTGTTTTAATCGTGCGTGTCTGATATTATGTATCGAAACCCAAAATGACTGCCCAACGATTTTTGTACAAAGATGTACAAGTATGTAAGTGGCGTCAATGTGAGAATTTGGGAGGTTTTTTGTGTGTTTTAGCCAATAAAAGATGCGACGCTTTTACCTGTGTTTGTCTTTGGGCGTCAGCGTATGTCTACATTTTGTGATTACAATTTTTTTCTTCACGCTAAACGCCAAAGAATTTCAGAGCGCAACCGGTAGTGTTGGCATGGCCTTGAAGTTAAAGGTCGATAAAAGTTCCTCGAGTCATTCTGCAATGGCTCAGCCGGACATGATGACAACCTGTTGACGCGCTCCCACCCAAAGCGAGCGTTTTTTTTATGACCTTGTATACGGCAGAGCGTCAACAACTGAAATGACTATCGTTTGTCATTTATGACTGCTGAAAAGCATCGTCAAGCGATGATGACATTTCGTGGACAAAGAAACTATCAAACATGTGTTTTTTGACAAAACAAGAAAACCATTAGTGTGTGTGGGAACAGATAAATATGGGAGGTCAACACACGTTCGGGCTATTTTTATATTTTACACGTGGAAACAGCCATTAAAAACGAATGTGACTATAACTTTAGATTAGTCAGGTTAGTCATTAGCACTCAGTCAGACTAGTGTACTGCAATGATCGACTGACATTGAGTCAGGTTGAAAGCGAAATACTGAATAAAACATTGCAAAGCATTAAGTACTATAGCTAGTCAGGCTGGTATTAGTAACAACAGTCAACACTCAATCAGACTAGCAGTACTGCAATGATCAACTGACATTGAGGAAAGTTGAAAGAGAAACATTGAATGAAACATTACAAAGCATTAAGTACTAGATTAGTCAGGCTAGTATTTGTAGCAACAGTCAGCACTTAGTCAGATTAAAGTTGAAAGAGAAACACTAAATAAAACATTGCAAAGCAGTAAGTACTAGACTAGTCAGGCTGGTATTAGTAGCAGCAGTCAGCACTCAGACTAGCAGTACTGCAATGATCAATTGACATCGAAGGTTGAAAGTGAAACACTGAATAAGCTCAGCTTCTAATCAAACTCTTGAAAAGGAAAATTAAAGTTGTAAACAGCTTTTCGAAATCCAAGCGCAGTGTCAAAGGACGAAAAGACATACAATGTCACTGCGATTCAAAATATTGACACTCACGCCAAATCGACCAGAACACAAAGGGGACTATTCAATAATTTCTTTCTAAGTGCGTTGATCACGAACTAAGATCAGCTTAAAACTTGCTTGAAGTCGACTTAAACGAGTAGACTCCCTATATAGCGGAAGGCAAATCTCAAAATTGGGAAAGGAAATAAATGACTGTTTTGGAGATGACTGCAAACAAACGTACTAAAAATCAGTAGATTTATTGCAGCTTTTTTAAACAAAGGAGAAAAAGGTCGATAAATCGAGACAAAATGCATGGAAATGTGGAAATCTGATGATTGAATTCAGAATAATTTCAGCATGAAGTTTGACATTAGTGTCTGGCGAGATTCATGTATCATTTCTTATGTTTGTAAAGATGAACAAAACTTTGAAGTGAAAGTGTAAACAGCAGTTTTCACAAGATTGGCATGAACTCTTCTAAGCGCTTATGAAAAGTCAACGCGGGAATTAGTGCCTTAAGCAAAAGCTAACTAAGGAATTAGTGACTTGAACAGGCCATTAAGCAAAGACTTTACCATCGTTTGCAATAATCTCTTTAATCTGAGCAAAATTCAACAAGGAAATTGAATGATTTCAAAACAGTTGAATTTAGGACTGACACATTTATATAAGAATTAAACGCTTAAGCAAAGTCAACTGGTAAATGGCTCAAGTTGAAAAGACGCAGGCTTAATTTTGGCACATGGTAATGGCCCATGTCCGCTTGCTTCTAAAATAAACGCCCAGATAATGGAGTTTAAAGATTTAATGTCTTAGTTGGGTCTAATGGTCTCTTTGTGGTATGCCAGTTATAATTCATGTCATTGTAGGCTAATGGAGTAATATATTCATATGCATATGCGGTTAAATTGACGATCAAAATCTATTTTCAACAATCTCCAGCGAGGATCTATGATTTCCAAGTTCCCACCACAACAAATTACGAAACAAATTACGGCTTGGAGTTCGCCGATAACATGAAGTCAGGATTTGGTTCGGGTCCAGTTGAAAACACTGTCTGTACCATTGAGTGTTGACTGTTAGAGAGAGCAACATATTATTACTACACAGTTAATTTTAGTTTGAAAAGCTATCGAGGCACAACTACAAAACTACTCGTAATCTTTCGCGCCAAAAACGGGCGGTTTATTCAATTTTGCAATATAGGAATATATATATGTGTATATATATCGTGCGTCATATATATATAGAGTGATATTGATACAGTAAGTTATGTACAATTCATATACATCTGATTGTAAGAATAAATTACAAACTATTGAACAAGTTTTTAGGAGAGAAATGCGATTCACACCGAGTGGTGAACTGGTCAAACCAAATTGTGTCTGTGTGTGAGCAAGCTTTCGCTCTTGTGTTTGTGTGCAATAAAAATGCAATTTGGTTTCGTGATAATGATTAGCTTAGAACTGAGGGCTCTAGCCCAACACCCCCTCCAATGACAGGCCCTGGTAATCGCCACTCCCCCCTGACAGGCTCTGGTCATCGCCACTCCCCCTCCTGACAGACCCTGGTCATCGCCACTCCCCCCTGACAGGCCCTGGTCATCGTTAACATGTCAGGCTCTGGTCTCTGGTTGAAAGTGTCAGGCTCTGGTTCCGTATCAGGCCAGCGGCATCGACCCTTAGAGAATCTACTCCACACTGACTACCCAAGTCATCTTCACCCACGATTCGACTTCGCTACACTTTAAAATACAATCAAATTCAGAGACCAAACTGCGAGACGAACCAGGAAGATTTTGGACTGACATCAAACCATCTTGATTTCTTCCTCTAAAGATCGAGGTTATAGCCACGACTGAAGTCAAATTTCATCCACGTACTCCGGGCAGAGAAGACTGGGGTTAGCAGTTACAACCGTGGCCACATTTTCATCATTAATGTTAACGATATTGACATTGTTAACATTAATCTCATTTGGTTTAAAACACTTTGGATAAAAAATCTTTTCGATCCGCATTAAATTGCTTTAGTGTGTTTAGTGGCATCTATTTTCCCATCTTGGTTAACAATACTGAACACGAACTGCAAACAACCCATTTTGATATAACTCCCATGATGCAACGTGGCCGTGCCTTCCCATCCTGCACCGCTGCCACCGATGAGGGTCGAACTGCTTGCCGAGCAGTTGCAAGGCCTGGTAACATGTTGAATACCAAGTCCCGCCGTCCTTCGCGAAGCAAGTTCCTTCGTAGAGGGTTTTCGATCCCCCAGGAGTTTTTCCTTCGACAGCCTGGACGGGTCCAATCGCCGAGCGGAGGTGACACAAGTCCGGTGGTGTGGTTTATCAGAAAAGTCACAAGAATAAAGAACATTGTCAACATAGGTACCATGTTCGCTGTAGTTCAATAGTTCGTACTGTTTCGTTGCCTAGGAAACACCAAGTTAGAAATATTAAAACTAAATAGCTTCGTTTTATACAATTATAATGTTGATATTAATTGCCACTTACCTCGTCATAGAAAATAGAACAATGTTTATCCGATAAATAATTACAATACCCATAATTTCGTAAACATACATCCATGTCAGGTCCTGGAAAATTTAATCAAATTGAATAAAAAAATATCAAGCAAATTGCAGTAAAACAGCTCGGAATAACCAGGTGAGCTATAGTGTCGACACATGGTATTCAGTTATATATTTTTAATAACAGCCGTCAACCACCAGGACGATTTCACGAGGCTCGTGACTGACCTTGTCCAATGTTTAGCGTCTTGTAGACCATCGGACAAGAGATACCTTCGCCATGTACCGGACAAAGAACGGCCATGGCTTTACCTCGAGGAACTGCGGAAGTAAAAAAGGGAGATGGAGTTTTTGAAATGACACTGAAAGTAATGTCTCTTGTACGTTACAGACAGTTGATAAACTGGTTTCTCTGTTAGGGAAAAATAGGAAATATTTAAATCGAGTAAACAACAGAACTAATTTTCCTATGCCTGGCCTTATTAACATGGCTTCCTACTCATCTGCAGCGTACATTTTCAGGCGTGAAACTGCAATTATGTACGTCATTGAAGCACACTTACCATTTTGCGGTAAAACAACCGTTTCTTTGTTGCTGTTAAAAGAAATCTTTCTCGCGACAGACGAATTGGACGGATTTACCTGCAGAAATACGCAACGATTCGTCTTTTTTAAAGTTATAATATAGATTGAAGGATGAGAAGTAGCTGGATGCATATATCAGTTTTGAATGTTTAAACGAAAACCAAACAAGACGAGGGAATGGGTGACCACTACCTTTGGGTCATTGGTGGCCCACCAACTCCCCCCTCGCGTCTGGTGGGGCTAGGGGGAACCGTACCTTGCCAGTTGTTTGCGTTATCAATTGTTGCAATCTCTGATAGGCCAGAACATGGACGAGCCTGGAATCAAGTTTACTCAACTCGGATTCTGTAAACAAACCAAAATTTCCGTCGATCATACAAGAACTTCACAATATTATAGACCTACTAAACCCCCTTAGAACTGAGCCTTAGGTAACTAACGATGGGTTTTGGAAATTGTTAACAAGAGAACTGAAGAAAATTGAAGGATGAACTCCATTCAAACCTTGTATGCTGTCCAGACCCGAGACTGCACAGATGGTGCTAACCGGACTAGCCGCTTGGGACGCTGGTGTTACAGAAGGACCATTACTGGTTCCTCCTCCGCCGGCGATCCCCTTTTGAGGACTAGCCTGGACCACAATCCTTTGCACACTTGGACTAGTGACAGTTGTCGTTGAGCTGGAATTCCCAAGAGTCCCAGAACTTCCCACAGTCCTTTGCATGCTCGACGATAAGGTCGTATTCGCGATGCTTTTAATAATATTCCCGTTCCCAGCATTCGTCAAGACAATCACCTTTGTCGAACCATTACCGGAACTTAGTCCCGTGGACACAGTTCCCACGACATTCATAGTCCTAGCGGAGCTCGTCCCGGGGGGTGACACACTCACCGCTTTAGTTGACTCCCCCACAGTCCTTGGCTTGACCGCGGCCGGTTCGTTTAAAACACGAGGCTTCACAGCACTTACAGGTCCGTTGGTTAAAGATTTCACATCATTTTTAACCGTCCCTTTTACGGAATTAACTAAAGAAGTTGGCGGTGAAGTCGTTTTCGGACTCGGCGTTTGGATCAAACTGTTTTTAGAGTTCTGAACTGCAGGACTTTTTATATTCGTAAGAGTTTTCGAGCTAGAATTTTGCAGAGTTGATGTTTTTGTAATGCTATTTTGCAATGGTTTTTTAACGCTGCCTTCGACCTTTGCAATGGGTTTTGCTTCGCTATTCGTAGTTTTGTTTACACAATTTAAATGTTTTGTCACATTCGAGCTGACTCCATTCTGTTGAGTAAGATTTTTCGAAGGCGACGCGTAAAGAATTGTGATTGGTTTCGTGAGCGTTTTCCCGCCAGAAGTCACAGTATGCGTGGTCACCACGCGAGAGAATGACGTCACCGTAGAAGTATGCGCACCATTCGTGGACGGACTGGACACTACCTTTGCCGGCACGGTGCTTGCCTTGGAAGTCGTGATAGTCTTCACTGACGTCGTTGTGTTACCCGTGGTGCAACTTGTCGTTTTCGGCGTTTGTTTTTCGCTTGAGTTCGTGCAATTGGTTGAGGTTTGGTTTGGAAGTTTGCTGTTTGAAATGACGTGATTTGAGCTCCCGGATATGACGGCTTTAACGGTTTTCTTGACTCCGTCCTGGGGTTTGGGGACTGAGAGGGATGCCAGGTGTTTTGCAATGTCACATTGTAGGGATACGATGGACTTCAGCCACTGGGAAATGAAATGGAAAATAAGAGTGTTTAACCAGGATTATTGCTATAAATTTTACGATACAGTACAGACCTCTTCTTGATCCGAGGCACTCGGGGGTGTCACGGGCAGTCTGTAGGGTGGTAATGGTTTTACCGATTCTTGAATATGCTCTGGTAGTTGTTGGAACGGAGGGTTCTTGTAGTGCCATTTGATTGACTCCGGGACCTTGAAATATTCAACAATATCATTCGTGAGTCGCGATGATCCGAGCCATTGATAGCAGAGCAAAGACTGGATAGCGCATGCATTTTTATGCGACAATCATATCTCAATAGAAAGATTCTAGCTCTCGCCGAATGCAAAGAAATCTCTATCCAGCAAATGCGTAGAATCAGGGAGAGGAATCTAGTTGTTCCATACCAGACTAAGACGTTTACGTTTCCAGGTTTCCTGCTTCCTTTCAAAATCAGGATGGTTTTGAAGTCTGAAAAGAGAGAGGAGCACATAAGTCATTCAGCTTAGCAAGGAAGAGTGTTTTCGAGATGAAGAGAGTGTGTATTATTACCTATGAACACGGCTAAGAAAATCCATTTTAATCGTATGTTGTGAGATGTTATTACGCAGTTTGTCGTACGCCTTGAGTCTTCGACTGAAACGAGGATCCCTCAAACCGGGCTACAAAAACGAGTAAATATGTTGAACAGTTGGGTTGGTGAACACACACGCACCAAGAGGAAGCCCGGTCAATGCACCCATCACTCAGAGGCAGCCCACTCAATGCACCCATCACTCAGAGGCAGCCCACTCATTGCACCCATCACTCAGAGACAGCCCACTCAATGCACCCATCACTCAGAGGCAGCCCACTCAATGCACCCATCACTCAGAGGCAGCCCACTCAATGCACCCATCACTCAGAGGCAGCCCACTCATTGCATCCATCACTCAGAGACAGCCCACTCATTGCACCCATCACTCAGAAGCAGCCCACTCATTGCACCCATCACCCAAAAGTATACCAGAAGAATCAAGCAGCTATGTTTACCTCAGCATGTTCAGCATGGTTTGGACACATCCACATTCCAGTTGGTTTGTTAGTCAATGGAGGTTGCAAACAGTTTGTGTGAAATGACAACGGACAGAAATCACATTCAATCAAGTCACCATGGAGGGAATTTCTAGCAGTCCTGAGAAGAACATAAATGAATAACACATAAAGAAATTAAATCAATACTTGCTTGTTCACAGGTGAAAATCACAACAACACTATTTTACTACCTTGAACATGCAAAGCACAACTTATCAAGATGGCAACCGTCATCAAAATCTGATTCCCTGAAAGACGTTAAAAAACCTCCATATGTTTAGTAGACATATAAAAGCATCTAATATGAATGTCTTTATGAAAGAATCACGATAGCTTTTACAGTTTAAATGAATAGAACTGTTAACGTCTTTTATACCTTTTTTCAACCTTGGCATTTGAGCCTTTGTCCTCATTCTCCAATTTTCGTTTTCTGTCTCCTGAAAACAAAGAGGTTCAGACATTACCTCAAAATATTTACGAGAGATGTCGGCAGATTGACAGTCCTAATGGGCAACTTGGGAGGATAACAGGCAACTAGTGGGGATAGTGGGAAATTTGAGGTGATCATGGGGATTTTGTGGTAACAATAGCTACTAGTGGGGATTATGTATTTTAAAGTAGTCTACCTGGAAAAAGCGTGTTACAAGTCAGTTCGGGAGGAAGTGAAAATGTTGATGGGTTCTTCCCAGAACTCATTTTGACAAGAGTTTGAAATGGAGATGAGATCTTATCATTCTGGTCCTTTTTTGCTTTGGGATGTTCATAGGTCAGCACCTCATTCTTTGTTTCCAAACCATTCTAAAGAATAACATGAAACTTTGTCAATCACAAGTTTGTCAAGTGCTATGTTATCATAATTACATAAATATAACCACAATAGCCTCAATAATACGATACCTCAAGTGGATGTGATTTGCATTCATTACAAAGCCATTCTCCAGTAGGGATATCATCTTCCTCAAGCGGAGGGTCACTGTGTGAAATGAAACGTATAGAAAATGAGAGGTCCAAAATGACTCAAGTTATTGTTTTAATGTTGTGGTTGCAACTAGCAACAATTACTTTGGGAAACGTACGAGGAAAACTAATGCTCCCAGGATAATATTGCAGTTTTTTCCTAGCAGTAAATATAATGATCTGGTACAAAGCCTGTTTAAATGCACCCATATATATATCTTGCAAACAAGTCAACATAAAAATCATGCAACAAATATGTAGTTATAAATGTGAATTTCCTCTTTCTTGTATAAATGTTACTTTCTAATTCTTAATAAATCCATGTAGAATTGCTTTCTATATTGAGATTAACCACAGTCTGAGAGAAATTTCATTGCAGTTTAGTCAACGAATCAACTGAATCTAGAGTCAGAACTGTTCCCAGAACTGTTCATAGAGTAGAACACTATGGTACAGTAACAGCGGACAATTTGAAAGCCAATCTAACAATTTGAGGATCTCTTGGTCAACAGCCTTTTGGGTAAGATATAACCCTTGGGCAGTGTTGACGTTTAAAAACAGGCACTTCAAATTCATTTTGTGGGTATATTTTGGAGTAGATGATATGATTGAAGAGAATAAAGACAAATATTGTCAATGACATACCAACATGTGAGATGAAAGGCACAGGGACACTGGTCACAACAGAGCAAATCACCCCCTTCACCACAGCTGTCGCACGAGTCGTGATTCACTGTTCGTCCTTGTTTGCGAACCTCTTTCTCGCTTTTCGTCGGTTGTTTCGTCTCGCCAAATTCAGACTGGACCAACGCTTGTATTTGCTACAAATGCGAAATGAAAGACGCATAAACGAAGGTCCTGCAGCCGTAAAATCGTCTACGTTTTAACACAGACATCTTGTAGAACAACAAATGTTTATTTTACGGCTGAGAGCGACAAGGACTGTTACAAAACACTTACGGCGAAACAGCTTCCCTCTGGGTCAAGATCGTCGTATTGATCCATTTTTCACGTCTTGTCCTCTGCTATTTCCCAGCTACAACCGAAAAATATTCATCCTACTAGGCACACGAAGCCGTCGGTTCTATAGGACTGACAAAGCGACTGGTCTTCTTCGTAGCTGAAATTCCACCGCTTCTCCTTGCGTTTTCTGAGCTTTCAAACGTCGATCCACGCTGTTTGTGGCTGGGAGTCGAAGAGAGACAATACCTCGAGAACTTTCAAGCAAAACTAGCTTCTGTCACCAAGAGAAACGGCGAAAAAATCGGGAGAAAAACAAAAATATTTCAAGCGAAGGCAGAAAAAACTAAATTAATATGTCCTATAAGCATGCGCAGAGAGGAACAAACCTTCTGCGCATAAACCCATCGTGATCACTGCTGACGGACCGACGGCGCAATTTCATTTTCCAAACCACGCATGTCTGGAATTTAATGAGATTATATTATCATAAATTACGTTCTAATTCTACAAATTCCTAATAAATTACGGAGGATTTCACCACAGGAGTATTTAAAGTGCGTGATATATGATACGTAGTTGGCTTCATATTGTGATGTAGTTCATCCATAATTATAGCTTTATTCAGTTTCTTTTATACACCAGCTAAGGTCTTGATCTTCTCGCATATTATTCCGACGAAAACTTGATTCAGCCCAAATCGACTAACACCTCATGAAAGTCCCCAACACTATCCCTCCACTCCTGTAGTCTTTTCAACGTCACCCCATTCCCCCCACATACAATCACCACGGCATCCGTGAGCGCTTGAAGTTTCCCCTGGTTTTTTAAACTTGGCAATATGCCCGAGTATACGGCTGAGAGCGCCGCCCCACACGCCAGAGAAACTAGCATTTGATGATCATCTAAGAAAGTAAAAATTCTGGTCATTTTACAACACATATATCTAGGCTCAGTTGTATAAAAGTCTCAACTACATTTTGCACATTTTGCACCGGCATCGCAAAAGCGTTGGTTCGATGCCTGCCGGAGGTCCGATAGTTGGCTCACTTTTCCATCAACTGTTCCTGGCTTGAATTTGAAGTGTGTATAATTCCACTCGAAATTAAGACCCTTTTAGATTTTAGGTTTCATTGGTCAATTCTGTCACTAAATATAGTGCAAAGTAAACTAGGTTGTCGTTTTTATACAACCGACCCCAGTACAGGAATCCGCTTGTCTATAACTGCGTATAAAGCCTAACTTTGCACAATTACAAGAAGACGTTTCTGCGTTCGAGTTAGTTTCGGTACTCGGTAGTTTCATGCGTTATCAAGTTTCCCTACAGACATCAACTTCATCTCTACAGAAAGCAATTTTTCAACGAAATCTCGGATCCCGCGAGTGTAAAAGAACAGAAGCTCTTCTCACCAGCAAAATTAAGACAAGCGTTGAGTGCATCCTTGTCTTGTACAACGTGAGAAATAAGATTATGACGAGACGTCCAATTGTAAGCTTCTTCACAAGGTGTTTGAGCTCCCAGACATTTCGCGAGGCTGACAAAGATTAAAAGAAAAGCCAAATTAAAATGAAAGAAAATATCCTTTGAGGAGCTTTTCAACAAAAATCCCCATGTCCAGTTCCCTTAGGGATTTCGCTCACCTCGTTATCTCTGGGATCGTAACGACTCGTCCGGCTTGTATTGACGCAGCCAGACAATTGGCTCCTTCTGTTTCCATAGCAACGACAGGCACGTCACTCCAACCCACGTCATGTAGTCCTTTCAGCACCCCGCAGAGCAGGCCTCCACCCCCGACCGCCGCGACAACAACTGAAGGTTTCCGGGGGAGACTTGCCGCTATTTCGTGAACCATCGTTGCATGACCCTCCCTGGAATGAAACGAGATGGGAGGAAATGGAACCGAGGGGAAGTGAAGGTCGGCTTCATTCGTTTTACTTAAACCTATGTGATATTCATAATGACTGGTTTCCTGCCTACACGGGACCGCCCTGTCGTAGGAGTTTTGTTACCATATATGGACGTCTATCCGTCCAAGTTATGAATAACAAGACGCCGTTCTGGCGTTAACTCCGGCGCACGTGCCAGTCTTCAATATAGAGCTTCTGAACATAAACAATACAGTTCGCGTATTGTTTCGCATACATATTCGCATTTAGATGCCTTGCGAACCTAAATGTTCGATCGCAAAATTCAGAAGCACATCGCAGTATAGAAGTTCAATTGTTCAAAAATGTAAATAAACCGCATGATACATTCGCTTCGTCTTACACTTTGCCTTTGGAATTCGCGCTTATATATAGTTGTATTAAATCTTCGATCCTGTGCAAACTACGCGACGTGTCAACGCGCCCATACACGACCACATCATCTTGTTAAACGGCGAAATAGCAGCGATATTATTAAAATAGGACCGAGTCTACATGTATTAAATATATTCTTACCCCAATTCAATCTAAACTTAATCGAACAGCATAAAAAGAACGGTTTATTTGTTCCTCTTGGAGGAATTGCCATATCATGCGAGCGAAATCGAATCGCGCATTGGAAAATTAGCCAAAGCTGTGCACCACAACTCTTGGGAGATAAGACTGGGACGTAGATAAATACGATCACATACACTATTCAAATACTAGTATATTTCGCGCCATTACAGACTTGCGACGACGAAAAATAATAAAAAAAAAAATAAAAAAAAAAAAAACAAAAACAAAACAAAACCGGGGCGAATTTTCAACTCCGTCGCTGACGCCGGAGTAACAAGCAACAAATATTTCATTGTGTCACTTACACCGAACAGTTCATAGTTGAACGAATTCAGTACTTTCTGTATATTTGAGTTGGCTTTTGAAGTCAAATTTTAGGACTGTGTTAGTCCAATTGATACATACATACACGCAGGATTTGGTGAGAGGGTATCTTAGTTGAAGAAGGCAGTCCGTATATTTGCCGAGGGCATGCTATATTGCATATTACATCTAAATTATCATTTCATCTAAATCATTATTTAAAGTACTGTGTACCTATAGAATTTAAAAATTAATGAAGTCGGATTTCCTCTATGAAACTAAAGATGATTATCATTTCAAAAGAAATTGCCCAAGAATAAAAAGAGCGGGAAAATTAGCGACAAGAAGTAGAATCCTAAAGCCCGTATGTGTTTACACTTGCGATTTTTGCTGCGATTTTATGAGCGATTTTCTTCATTTGATAGATGTGAACGAGCGATTAGTTACGAATGTTCTGATTAATAAAAGCTCTTATTTGAACAGCAGTAGCTAATTCACTCGTTCACATCTATCAAACGAAGAAAATCGCACATAAAATTGCAGCAGAAATTGCAAGTGTCACTATCACGGAAAACACTGAAAAATTTAGTCTAATAATGTTTGCGGCCAGAATGTAATATTCCACAAATCGATAAAAAACATCAAAGATCCCCGTTTAATTTCCTCTTTTTAAGATCGTGACAAGAATTCATGGTTGAATATCATCGATTTTCTTCCTAAAAAGGGCTCATTCGTATTTATAGATTTTGAAGAAGAGTTCTTAGTATATTTCAAAAGCTATTTTAGGTTGAAGCTATGCTAGCCTAGAACTTGTAATCCTACACTGAAAACAATGCACATCAACATGTGTTACACTATCTATCGAGCGGATCAACTTTGTTGTTTAATTAATATGTACACCTACAACGAATTTATATGTTGAATGTTCGCGTTTACTGATATTTAATGAATTACCACCATGCGACGTCATTCCACGTCGTTAAAATACGAGCCGCTATAATAACCGGAAACCACCCATTGCGAGCCACTCTCCGTCACCAGGCGGCCGAAAATATCAATGAATGTTAGAAAATAAACAGAACTCGCACGATTAAGATCATTTACAATCGCAGCTTGTACTACGAACAGTCGTTTCACAACGTTCAAACGCAAAATGAAATGGACAAAACAACTTATAAGTACAGCCCTGTTTGTATGTTGCGTGTTAGTTACGAAGGCTTCGTCAGCCATGCAAAGCGATGATAGTTCAGCGTGGTTAAGGAGTAATTTGGAGAGAAATATAGACAGCAATGACAGTGGCAAAAGAACACCGAGGTTTGAAATGAAGAAGGCCCAGCAGTTACAATTCAAGGGAGAGTTTAATTTCTTGACACGAAATACAGAATTTGATGATAAAGAATTCACTATCAGATCAAAGGGGCGAAAAACGGAAGGGGATATGACCCAAGGCACAACAGTTGGTTTGAACAGAGAAGAAACGAGTCATCGTCACCCTTTGAATAAAAAAAAATTAATAATGACGTTTCATCACCGTATTTCAAAACGAAATGTAAACACAACTACCCCGACGCAACCAAGTGTGACCGTTACCCCCAACCCCCCAATTTTCATTCCACCTCCACCCCCCTTGAATAAAGAGCCCGTGTGTGTCTCGCAGCGGTCATGCTCTGGTCGATGTATGGTTAACGCAACTGGATGGCGAAGCGACGAAGCGATCGCCTGTTATTGCGATACGGCATGTCACGAAGTATTCAACGACTGTTGCACTGACTTCGTGAAATATTGCGGCGCACAAAAGCCGAAAGAAATTTCCATAAAAAAGTTCAACTGGTCATGCGAGGCGCTGGCCAACTTCAGGTCTAAAAGTCACCCTTGCGTAATCGCCGATGGTCTATGGATGGTGGCGCGATGCGCCGACGATTGGCCTTACGATGAAACCCGACGTCATTGCGAGAACCCTACGACGTTGATCCGACAGGCGTCCGACATCAATCGATACCTTCCGGCAATCAGCGAGAACGTGACATTCCGTAATAAGTTCTGCGCAAAATGTAACCGCATCGTTGGTAACTTGGAGTATTATCCCGTAGAAGTAAAAACTAACGTGATTCCACCCGAGCATTATAACTTCACCCAAAAAGTTCAATTCCTGTTGTCCAATGGCGCGCAGTTTCCACAAGACGGACCAAGAAGTCCAAAAACCAGCCAACCAAGACGTTATTGTGTAAAGAACATTGTGGATTCTTGTCCAGCTAACACGACTTCAAAGGCATGCGAAACAGGTCCTGTAGCTTTGGTGTCGGGGTTTGGCGGAGATACCTTTAAAAACATAGAGTGTGCTGTATGTAACAACCCCCACCAACCCAATACACTATACCTGTGTTTCCCCACGTTGTTCGTCTTTAATTGTCGCTCCAATTTTCTGCAAAAGTTCTCGTTGAATTTAGATTACAAAGATAATGCCAACGATGAAGAGGATTCCGTGTTTACAGTTTCGAGCAATTCTTGCGGTAGATATGGATTGCCGTTTGATGACAAGTTACAAGAATGTGAAAAGAGTTACCCACCCCCCTCGAGAGGCGGAGACAAGTATCGTCTCCTAGCATGGCTCGCTCCCTCAAAAGATTTTCCTTTCACCAGGAACAATTTCAGCACCATTATGAAACAGTACTTCGGCGTCGAAGACTCACAGATACATAACATCAGCATCGATACAGTTCATTTCTTTTTCCCGTTAGATCCGACTCCACATACTTCCACTCTGTTTCATTTGGTCAGCGCGACGATTCTCTTAACACCAGAACAAAGTTTCGATATGTTGTATAAAACGCATTCAAATTCATCCAGCTTACCTCTTAGACATTTCATCCACTTCCAAAAACCGCTCACCGCCACCTTGGGTAACATAACGTACACCATAATTAAAACTACCTCGCGACCGCTGTCCTGTCCCACTCAAAAAGTTTACCAACGACAAGACTACGAGGTTTTGCCCCACGGACAAATTCGTATCAGACTGACCAATAAGCGCTACAAGAAATCGGAATATTACGGAGATAATACCGTTAATATTACAACGTGCGAAGTGTATTCGCAAACTGACTGCGAAACGAGCCAAACTGGACTGGATAAAAGTGTTTTTACGATACACAAGAACTTGAGTCTGTACCTCAGAGATACAGGGGTGATGTATGACCTTGGGGAGTACGATGTGTTTACTGATTCAGGCATTGCATTGTGTAATTTGAATAAGTTGGACAATCCAGTCTGTGAGGGTGAGACGTCTTGCAAAGGACGTTGTAGCGAGGACACTGTTTGGAGAACTGGGATTAAGATGCAATGCTCTTGCGATCCAGATTGTTACGAAGTATTCAACGACTGCTGTGCGGACTACACCAAGTACTGCGGGGCTCAAAAACCAAAGGAGACGCTGACCAAGAAATATAACTATACATGTAAAGATGTTGGATTCTGGGATCACGAGTACTGTACGATCGGTGACGGACTCTGGATGGTCGCGCATTGTCGGCCCGATTGGCCTCACGACGCTTTCCGAACGAAATGCGAAGCACCAGTAGACCAGCTCACGATATCCACCCCAGATCTACACGGATACCTGCCGGTGGTCGGCCGCGATAACACCACATTCCGAAATCTGTATTGCGCAATATGTAACGGCGTTGAAGAATTCGACCCATGGCCGCTGGACGTTCACACCGCCGTCCTTCCGCCAGAGAGTTACAACCTCACGGAGAAAATACGCTTTCTTTTGAGACACGAGGCTAAGTTTCCACATGGAACGGGACCCTGGAGACCTGGGGCGAATCAAGCCAGGAGATACTGCGTAAAAAAGATCGCCGATTCTTGCCCCGTCGGTAAAAAAGCGCCCTTTTGTAGCGATGGTGATGTTTCTATAGTCTCAGCTGGGTACGAGCATTATAAAAACACACATTGCGCAAAATGTGACGGCCTTCCCAGCGATATTCTCTCGTGTTTTCCCGATCGCATACTCCAATCTTGCGAGAGATTCATTCCTCAGCCGTTCTCCCTCGTTATGAACAACAATCAAGCTGTAAAAGAGATCAAGACAACGCTCTCCGTTTACGATAAAAAGTGCGGAGAAAGCGGGCTGATTTTCGACGATGTTCTGCAAGTTTGTCGCGTAAATTGGTTGGCACCACCAGAAAAGAACGCCCAGGAACGATTCTACGTTTTCGCGTGGCTGGAACCGCCCCCAAACACCCAGAACACCTCTTTCACACCAACCCAATTCCAAGAATCGCTTGCAACGTATTTGAATATCTCTCAACAGCAATTGTTTGACATCAATATTACGACAGTGTTAATCCCGAAAACACGGGATACTGTACTGTTCTATCTGGTTTCCACGACCCTCGCTCTTACCCCGCGGGAAAGCGTGGAACTCCTTTCCACCAACCTGAACACTTTGCAGAAGTCGGCAATCCGAAACTTTATTCACTACACAGCGCCGTTTGTTCTGGAGATAAAAGGTCTTCCTTACATCGTAGCAAAAACTACGTCCCGTCCGCTCGCCTGCGCGGGAAAAACGACTTACACATCGGAGGAATACACTTTGCTAGAACAAGAGAGAGTTTTCATTCCGAGCGCCAACGAAACCTACGAACCGTTTGAATATTATAGAGAAAATGCCGAGCAACTCGGGATGAAACGAAGCAATATAACCGTATGCGAGAAATATACCCCAGCTGTTTGTAACGGCTCAATAGTTCAGTACAAGCCAGAGGAATATCAGATCTTTGTGAATTTGAGCGTGTATGTTAACAAGACCCGGAGTTTGTACGATTACGGACAATACGAGATCTTGAGGAATAAATCGGTTGCAATATGTCAGTTCACAACAGTGCGTATCATAACCGAGGCTCGTAGAACGATTCGTGATGAGGAAGCACTGGGTTACATAACGTTCATATTTTTCATCCTCTCCATAGTGTTTCTTCTCTTCCTGTTGATAACCTACACGATATTTTCCCAACTACGAACTCTTCCTGGGAAGAACCTGATGAACCTGGCCGCGAGCTTGCTGTTATTCGAAGTGTTTTGGCTGCCTCCGAGTTTCGACTCGGTTCGTGAAGACAGTTCGACCTGCAAGGCGATTGCTATCGTGGAACATTATTTCCTGATGGCATCTTTTGCCAGCATGAGCGTTATTGCGTTTCACACGTGTAAAGTCTTCGCAAGGAGTCTGCCCGCGCCGAAAAGATCCGAAGGACACGACCGGAACCTGTTCTTCGTGTATCTAGGCCTGGTCTGGGTTCTCCCGGGCGCTTTTATTGCGATTTGCGTCGCGATAGATGACAAAGATGTTGTGAAACTCGGCTACGGTGAGTCTGAGATCTGCTGGTTGACCGAGAGCAATGCCTACACGTATTTTGTAACCATCCCGATCGCTGTTTTGATATTTTTCAACATCATCGCGTTCGTCGTGACAGCCGTGTACCTTCGTGAACACGGTAAAAATACCGCGGCAAGACAGGCCAGCGGCAACCGCCAATCAAATCTTTCCATATACGTCAAACTATCGACGCTAATGGGCTTCACGTGGCTTTTTGGTCTGCTCGCTCTGGTGACATCGACGATAGTATTTTGGTACATATTCGTCATTTTGACCTCGCTGCAAGGAGTTTTCGTCACAGTGGCCTTCGTTATGAATCGTAAGACGTTGAACTTATACAGAATCAGCTATGGAAAACGCCGTGACACCGTTTCTTCCAACACGCATAATCGTACAAGAAAAACATATCTTCACAATGACACGAAACTGTGAAGTGTATCACGAGCTAACAGTTTCGCAATAAATACAATAATCTCGGTATATTTTGAAGACAATTTCATCGTGCATTTGACATTCTAGTTCCATATAAGCAGATCTTGTTCTCTTTTCCATAAATTTAATCTTGTAAAAAGCTTATTTTACATCATGGACATTATGTAGTTTGTGAATTGTGTTTTTCATGCCCCGAAGTGCGAAATCACGACCGAGAAATATTCCAACCCCCAGATATATTATTGGGGTACCCCCCAGATATATTATTAGTACACAAACCCCAGATATATTATTGGGGCGAACCCCCCAGATATATTATTGGGGCGCACCCCCAGGTATATTATTGGGGCACCCCTCCCCGCTTCATACGCCCTTGTATTAAATGTTAAATGCCTCTGGGTGAATTCAAACTTAAAACTGTCTTGAGTATGAAGGGATGTAGCTATCTATTACCTACCATAAGTCTTCATGGTCGAACGGGTGCACTAGGAAATGACCTAAGAAAAACAGAATGAATTAAAAACTGACTTTTACGACGACAATCGTCATTTCATGTAATGACACGAGACAATAGTCAATACTGCTGGTTATTAATAAAAGGCAGTTTAACATTTCAAAGACGATAAATCATAGATGGAAATTGGAAATTCTCTTTTGATGTTATTTGTGAAAAAAACAATCATAATAGACATCTCCTTACCAGGTTTCTCCGTGAGACTCATCGCATAGGAATTCGCTTCATCCCAAACCTATGAATAAAGATCAATATTGTCAGAGGTTGGCACAGCGAAGATACTAAGCAAATGATCCAACTTTCCTAGGGGGGGGGGAGCTGGTGCGGTGCCAGAAGGAGGGGAGAGAGGGGGGGATTCAAAACAGAAATGGTATTCAACATTCAATGATGGTCCATTACCTTGCCTTTCACAATTACACTGGCACCTTCTTCTTTTATCCTATTTCTCATGACTTCGGGCGTGGTCTCTGGGACAACAACTGTTACAGGCATTTTTAGCATCCTTCCCGAATAAGCTGCCGCAAGCCCAGCATTACCTCCTAAAGTTCATTTCGTTATTCATGCTATACACATCTGGGGTTGTCAAATATACAATGTCATGAGAAATACATCAGCATTTTATTATTTTTTATACCTGATGATGAGACAATATGAGTGTAACCTTCCTCTGCAGCCTGTATGTAGAGAGGTTTGCAAGCTTGGATGAATATACAAGTGAAAATATGGTGATAAATCAGGGGAGGGGGACACAATGGGAAGAGGGTGTCACAAAGAGTTGTCCCTTCAATGATCAATATATGCCAATCTGAATTTCAAATGATATTTTACACACTGAATTTTTTTGTCAGTTTGCCAGCTGCTATCACAGTTAATAACTAGTCTTTTCATTCATTTGCAACTCATTGCAAAAGTTTAAAAGATTAAGTTTTAGCTTGGAGCTTAATAGCAAGTCCTTGCAACGTCGTCATATTAAATGTCATTCAGACTCAGTTGACTTAATCGCTTACCTTCTTACACCTGTTACTAATACCGCGAATTTTAAACGAACCAGCAGGCTGTACATTTTCCAGCTTCAGATGAACATCGTATCCAAACCTATTTGACAAACACGTACTTTGCAAAAGCGGTGTTTGAAAGTACAAATTGGAGCACTTAGCCACGTTGACGCCCTCCATTTTGTTTTTCTAATGAAACAGCCCGCGACCAGGTTGCCCTACCTTTTCAACGCCCCACATACAGGCGAACTGCTCAGGCATAAAATACATACCGGGGGGGGGCGAATTTCAGCAGACTTTCCAAATACGAGACTTCTCCAAACTTTAGTGCGAAACGCTGTTTATGGACAGCAAATATTTTATTAAAGGACAATTTGACAGCATTATTGTTAACTTTTTAAACAGAGTTTATTAAAAAAGTTGAAGCTCTACGGATTGCGATATCCAAACTTCAAACGATTGCATACAGCAGGCACTCTACGACGTGTGCTCCCCGTGGCAAATGGTAGGCAGGGGGGCAGCTGCCCCTCTTACCAACTCCCGACTTCCATGTGGGTCGGTCTTTTCCCGCACTGCAGGTCAAGACCATAGCGCCTCACAGAGCATGCGTGGTATATATTTTCCCCAAGTGCAACGTGAACAGACTCCCAGTATAAATTGAGTAGTAAATAAAATTAAAACCAGACCTTAATTAAAATTTGAAAATCTTTTGAGATTCAGAGGATTTTTGTATATATTCATGGATTTAATGAATTTTTAGGGACCTTTTGGGGTAGACATTTTTGAAGATCTTCACCCACAGAAAAACCATTTTAGCCCGTCTTCGGCACTTGTCGCGACCGAGAAAATATATTTTTAAAGTATTTTGACAAACAGTCAATTCATGGCACGATTCATTCTCTCATTTAGAACGATTTCGTCGAATAAAAAGTTAGTTTCTCCGCTCGGGTGGTCATTCAAACTCGTGTCGCAAATAGAAATCACAATTTATAATAATTTCATACTCTCAAGAAAAGTTCACATCCCATGTGTGTGTTTTTTGTTTCATTGCGAACAATTGTCCTGCTTGCATTAAACTGGCTGTTCATACACCATACAATAGTACCATGGCTTGTCTTGAATGGTTACCCTATGCTTGGCATATTCACGAATTGTTCTTCGAGTCGATAGAGTGACCCAAAAAATTATATTCCCATAAGAATCATATAAAAAAATCATCTGAATTATTCTTGATTCTCTCTGCTTTGCCAATATCAAATTTGCATTTAGTTCAAAATCTGATATCTCACCATACGATTTTGAAATCTAAGAAAAGAGAGTTGCATTTCCCCAAAGAATCATGTCTAAAATGTTTGGTTGTATCAACCAAGCTTGAATCTTCTTTGTCTCAAAACTTTGGCCATTGAAATGATTTAACCTCGATCTATTAAGGCTTTTCCAACGAAGTAGAGACGGTCTTTCAGTGAATTTCATGAGCTTAAAAAATATCTGGACACATTGACCAGTCTTGCTTTTCCTTCGCCTCCCAATACCCTCCTTTGTAAACATGTATTTCTAAATCTGACATCTCATCGTAAACTTTCTCGAACCAAACTGGTTTGTAGGCCTCGTACACTCGACCTTCCCGCTTCGCTAACTCCGCCTCAGCCTCCCGTTCTCGTCGCTTCGCGCGCTGTTTCTCCTCCAGTTTTCCCTTGGCCGTGTTCGCGTCATCCCACTTGCCCAGTTCCATGAGACGCTGGTCGGGTCTGAAACGAGAGTCTGATATCGCCACGAGGTCATCGGGCTCGTTCAAGGACATGGCGAAGTGCGAGAAATTGTATTGTGGTTCACGATCCTCACTACAAAACAAACACACGATGATAATTCAGTTAGTCTAATTTCTAACCTCAAATGAAGAAGGGAGTTGATGAAAGGTCATGCAAAGCGAGAGTTACATGCGTGCTTGGTTATACCTCGATCAAAGTTGGGTGGAAGTTGACGAATATCGCCTCCACACCCTCAACATTGACCCGACACTACCCCCTCACTTCCGCACCCCTGGCCTACACTCCCCCTCCCAAATGCCCGACACAGCCCCTACACTGTCCCACACAACCGCATCAACCCCCTCCCCCGGTCATTACTAGAAAATATACAACATAGAAAACAGACTAGACAAGTTGCATGACTTACGGCACAACGTTCATTTTCCATAATGCCACAGGAGTTCTTGTCTGGGCAACTTGTTTCGGCTGTCCGCCCTCAGACTTCGTTGTGTAGACGACTTCGGCGCAGTCTATCTTATTATCCCAGGTCCCCGTCAGAACATAATGAGTCACTTTGGATTTATCTAATACATAACCTGTCACCTTAAGAAACAGATTATACAAAAACATCAGGTGCACATCGCCAGACACTGGAATTTCAAAAACATATTTTCAAACCGAGGAAAGGTCGAGAATAAGTTTACACCTGGAATTCTTCAATGAAATCAACAAGTCGCCATTGATGGCAAAACTATTCTCCAGAGAAGCTTATTTACCTTTCTAGGTGTCTCTCTTGAGAAATATGTGTACGCGTTATACTTGAGTTTACATGTGTCGCCAGTAGTGTGGTTCACAATGTCCATTTCTCCGGACTAAAAAAGGAAAGCGTTTCATAGTAGTGTTAAAAAAAATGCACGAGAAATACAGAAATTTCTGCTTGGAAAATAAGGAAAACCGTCATTATCATGTTTGACTTCAAAGGTGATTCGTTGAGCACATCAGTCCGGTTCATCATGGTTGTTATAATAGTCATCTTACGTTACCTGATCGACCCATAGTTTTCCGACGATGATATTTCGTACCGTTGTAGTAACCTTACGCCAAGTGTAATGATTTCCCGACGTGCGGAATGTAAGATGCGCGACGCCGAGTGGAACAATTTGAAGATAGTTGCCTCGGAATTTACTGGTCGCCGTGAAGTCTTGCCAATACGTCCAGTTCGTGTGCTCAATGTGAAAACACGATATCGGGGGATGATGGCATACCTAGAGACAAAAAACGTTAGCATAATAAAAGCGATTTCAGCGTCCGTTGAAACGCCTTCGGGAGAGAAAACACTCGTGTTTCACATAAACCCTTGGTAATTTCTTCGTATTTTGAAATAAACAAAGTGATTGGTATGAACAAATTGCAGATATCTACAGAGCAATCAGATACCTTGCAGATACCTTCAGATTTTTCAACCACTGGGTTTAATTTCTGTGGTTACTATACCGTTGTGACCATGTTTTGTGAGGTTTCAAGACAGCTATCTCGGAGGACTTTACAGCTGGGGAGAGGGGTAAACTACCCTCCATCTCGGTGGGGCAGCTGGGGGGGGGGGTGAGACGACCCCACTTACTTGTTCGGCAAGACATCTCCATCCTTCCTCCAGACTTCTATCCATTTCAAAAGTCTCGCCCAGCAACGGGTTAAAAGGTTTCCCTGTTCGTATGCTTGTGGTGGAATAAGCAGAGATTGTGAAGGCTGCGACGTAGCACATTTCTTCCAAACTGTTCGTCGCGGCAGCAGCTTTATCCAGAAGATCAGAATATTCCATTTCTTCGGTCAGTCGTTGCAACATTGAGAGTGGCTCGTTAAAATTCACCTAAAACGGAATAGAAGAAAACACGAGCTGTAGATTTGAAGAAAGAATTTAGGTTTTTCTATACAGCAAATTTTCGAGTTCGCAGTTCGACTGAACGCTGCCAAGTTAATCTTCCAGATTAGATTTAGGATTACGATCTTAGGATTAGCGTTAGATTTAGGATTACGGTAATACTCACCGGCATTGGGATTTTGGAGAGATCTTTACCAATGCAGTTTTTCAGAATGTTCCAGAGGCTTAGACTTTGAGTTGGTTTGGGAGGAATATTTTTCCGTCGAGATATCTTTTTAACCTCCTCCTTGTCGGAATAATCATCTGGTGGTACCTTGGACGAAATATATTGTGAATATGTGAGATAAACAGGCGAAACGTACCGGTTAACAAAGTCAGAGTTACTACATTAAGGCAAGGTCATACGGGGAAAGACCACAGCTGGGAGTATTCAAATGAATGCAACTGGAATGCTAAAATTGGAGGTAAGTTTTTGGTGTGTTTTAACCTCGAGACACGCGTGGGAATCGTTTACAATGAGGATGGATGAGATACAAATACCCACAGCCTCGCAGTGGGAAACACGCGTAGGACTTTTGAGATCATTGCAGCACAAGATTCACACAAGATTAGCTTTCATTCCAGTTATATTAAACAGTCAGATGGCCCGTGGATGGCGTAGGATTGTCGGAACATGATTAGCGTAGGCCTGATCGTATGGATGAAGACGTCAACGGCATTTGTGGTTTTCGAAGGGCGACAGAGACGAGACACGAAGGCATTTAATATAATATTCTTTGAACTTTTTTTGTCTACCACATGCAGGAAAAACGGCACGATTACGAGTGGGCTTTCCGAAAAACGTGCTTGTCAACCCACGTGCATGTGAGCTAGCAGCGCTGCAGCTGAGTTTGATATTCAATTGCAACTTCTCAAAAATACAATCAAAATTATTCTATGGATCCATAAGAGGGTTTTCAGAAGGATTTTCAAGAAGAAAAAGATGAGCATCTTCACACAGAAGAAGAACATCGTATAACAGTAGATACAACGGAGAAAGTCTGATCTTTCGAACTCTAATTTGACCGTAGCTAAGTTCGACGAATGGCTGTTAATAGCTATAGGCTTTTGTGAATTATCTGCGGAGGGGGGGGAGGAGGTTGAAATGATAGCGTGCATTAACAGTTGCCCGCATTGCGCAAACACAGAAATCTGGTGCGCAAATAATCTTATCTGTTGCCGCAACACATTTGTGGCGGAACGTCATATTTTTTTTGTTGGTTTAAATGTTTTGAGTTGAATCGTATCATGCTAAAAAGGCAGGCGCGAGCCCTCTGGAGGTAATGACGAAGCCGCATCTATGAACTTAAGATAGAATAACTCCCGTAACCAGAGCGAAAGTCAATAAAGGTCACAGTCAAACAATCTTTCATCAAAATTTAAAGCTATTGCAAGTTGTTAAATTCAATGAGAGTCGCGAATAATTTAGTAAAAAAAAAGCCTTAGGGAAACTATGGAGATACTGTTGGAAAAACAACGGTATAAATCTTAGTGTTTCTGATAGATTTTCCCCGTTTGTTCAAAGACTTCCTAGAGTTGCTTTTCACTTCACAAATTGCTTCCGTTGTGGCTTTGCTAAAAACTTAATTTGCTTTTTCTAACATATTTCTTATTGTTCTTGCATTCGACTTTACCTCCTAATCGCTTGCAAATCGACCGCAAAGATCACATATAGTTTATCATCCAAATTATTACAATATTTCCTTGATTTTTGCTGGGAGAAGCCTCAGCTTGCATCAGCTGTCTTTTGCCGTACTGCATAAACAACAATAAAAACTGTTTACCGTAGCAAATAGACTTCTAATTTCATCTAATGACTATATTAAACTCAATTTATGATCGACGACGTGATTTTGCTAAAAGAGTTTGCAAGTTCTATGGAAATTCACAAATCTTATAGTATATAAAAAAGTCTATTCAGCAGAAGAATACATGCAGAAGATACAGAATTTAACCAAACTGACGAATGTTTATGCAATGTTTACATTAATTATCCAAAACAAAAATGAATATAGTTGGCGCCTTTTTCACTTAAGAAATGGGACTTTTGCTTTCAGATAAGCGCAACTCGATAGAAGAATGATTTTAAAAAAGTTTTTTGAAGCAAATTTAGCTGCAAAGCTTTGCAATCTGGCCTATATAATTGCACGAATCACTTTAAAGACCTCGTAATATTTACATCGTGGCTTTTCCGGCGTTGTCGTGAGGCATTGTTGAAGTAATTGAACGTGGTTTGATGCTGAAATCTCAAAACATAAAAAGCTCACTCACCGATGCTGATTTGTTGCGAGATGACGGCTTCTTAAAGAAGAAAGGCATTTTTGAACAATTTTTCCCGCGCAAAGAAAATTACATTTCCCAAACGGTGAAGAGTGTTGATATGCTACCTTGCTAACGCATATCTGCTGTTATATTAAAGTGATTCTTTGGTCGGCGTGAATAGGAGAGGCACAATGAGAGGATTTAATAAAAACGGCGATACACCGCTGACAAACCTCGCCACAAAACCGCAGTTTAATTATTTAGAACGTGGGCTCACAGCTGCCGAAATTAAGTGTTCGTTTCGGCACGTGTATCGCTCGGGTTCTACACGGCAGTCGGAAGTTGAAAACTCAGAACAAATGGTCAGCAATGGCTTCAAATTTGCACCTGAATTAGCCATCCAGTTTACTTATAGTTCAATGAAACAGAATGAAACAATCCAGTTTACTTATAGTTCAATGAAACAAAATGAAACATCCAGTTTACTTATAGTTTAGTTCAATGAAACAGAATGAAACAATCCAGTTTACTTATAGTTCAATGACACCCACCTCGCTAACGATCGCTGATATACTGTTCCCCAAGTCCCCGTCAGAGGCGCTGAGCGGGTGGCGCCCACTCGAAGGCTTCGCGGGTTGGGAAACTCCGAAGTCTGAAGCTGACCTCTTGTGTGACGATGACGATGACCCCACATCCTTCTCCGTGACGACGCTGACTTCGGAACTGCTCGGAGAGATGTCGGCTGGCGGGATATTAACTAAAAAGGAATTGGTGGAAAGAAATTAGCCGTGGTAGAGTAATGAGATCGCAGCATGACCGTAAATAAAATACTTTATCCAGTCAAACATATGAAGATCAATTTCAATACTTTATCCAGTCAAACGTATTAAGGTCAATTTCAATACTTTATCCAGTCAAACGTATTAAGATCAATTTCAATACTTTATCCAGTCAAACGTATTAAGATCAATTTCAATACTTTATCCAGTCAAACGTATTAAGGTCAATTTCAATACTTTATCCAGTCAAACGCATTAAGATCAGTGCCACTGACCTACAAGTTCTTCAGCGTCGAAAAACGCATCTTCATCATCACTGGAGTCATGAGAAGTGTCCATATTCTCCTGTATGGATGGATCACCAGCAGTCATGTTGGATGCCTGGCTGGATTCCACCGCGCTCGCTTTGAGCTTGGGAACGACCTGCTCGCGACAGACCTCCTCCAAGAAGTTGTGTTGTTTCGCTAAGTCTTCCACGGTTTGTTCCAGGCGTATTCGTTGCGCTCGTTCATGGTCGACCACCTTTTGGAAGTTCTTCTCCTGCTTTTGGGCCAGTTCAAGAAACTCACCGCATGCCTGGGAAGAGATAGAACTCGTAAAGACCTGGGTACGAGGATGAGTCCCTCTGAACTCTAATAATACAACTGAAACGCGAGACAAACTCTGCCTTTCTTCTAAGTCATGAGCTGAAATACTAGACCCTTACACTTGCAATTTTTGGTGCGATCTTATGTGCGATTTTCCTATTCTTGATGTATACGAGCTCCTATTTGAACATTCGTAACTAATTCACTCGTTTACATCTATCAAAAGACGATAATCGCCCATAAAATCGCAACAAAATTGCGAGTGTAAACGGGCCTAAACCTTTGGCTGTTTATCAAAATAAAGCTATTAAAAACTTCTATTCGGCATAAAAATGTTACGACTTGCAAAAATAAATATTAAAATCTACAAAAACTTTCATTCGGGGAAAAAGGCCGAAAAATATCGCTGATAATCTTTGAGCTTCCCTTTTCAAGTTTTGAAATTTTTACACCAAAAAGGTCTTTCAACTGCTCCAGTTTCATATATATAGCACACATACAGCACAGCATTCAGTTTTAAGTATTTCTGATCATCGCTCACTTCCCTTTCTAAATTAGCCGCCCAGTTAGTTTACTTAGTCCAATAATCACTCAAATATGTCCATCATCACCTGTCACTACCTGTTCGTGACTATTCACACAATTAAGCATATATTATAATGAATTTGTTCAGGTTTTTTGTAAAAAAAAAAATTGAAAATGTTCCGAATTATTTTTAGGGCCTAATTTGATGCTTGAACGAGCTTTGAAAATGCCTGCATAGTTCAAAATACTCCCTAAAAGGGTTTCTAAACTGTCTAAAATCACAGAAAAGATCATTTTGAACCTAAGAGAGTGTTCCTCAAAGAGAAATCTCTTTATGGGCATCCTGAGGTCGAAACGACGAGTCCTACTCTTGTATATTTTGCCATTAGATAAAATCAAATGGACTGCTTCGATATTTAAACACGCTGTTATCTGATGTCTGTATGAGATCATAATTGAATTCATAAAGATGACATAACTTAAATTGATGCCGAAGATAATTCAAATTTGCATAAAAAGTGGACGACTTTTTGTCGGATTAAAAATAAACAAAGTAAAATAATACTAAGAATGTAATATTTTAATAGGAGTGAACGTTCGAAAACGGATTAACATGTTCGTCTGTTGTAAACACTGTCAATTTTTCGGGTAAATGTATTGAATATTTCACCTCCCCCCCGTTGTTTCTCGCCTGCTTAAACTCGAAGAGTGGCATTGCGGAAGTTACTTCAAAAAGCTATAGAAACTCTCGTGTGTGCCCTGAAGTGTTCGTTGTGACTTCTACTTTAAGAGATTTCAAGTTGTTATTATCAGAGGCTCTGTTGAATATTCGCCAGCTGAGATTGAAGTGCCTAATACGATTTTACGGTTTAAAAAAAATCATTTGGGGCTGATTTTGGTGACTTCTGTATATCTACTTTACCAAACCCAGTTCTATTGTCCATACCGTCACTCAATGTTACAATTAAAAGTCTTTGAACAACAGTTGAAACTGCCTGTTTAAGCCAAATCTACTTCAGTTCATATAAAAATATATTGCACAGGCATGTGTCTCTATTTTATCATACAAATACCATTTAATAATTGATTGAGTGATATTGTAACACAAGTTTCCTTGACCACGTTCACATGCAAACAAAAACTCCTTCAAAATCCTCTCCATTAAGTCAGTGTCGAAAATCTCCTACGAGAATTGAAACTCACATTGTATATAAACACGTCTGCAACTAATCTTGAAATATTTTCAAGCCCGCTTCATGCATGTCAGTTTATTTTAATATATATCACACAAAGGCTCTAACCTTTCGTATGGTCCATTGCTCCGTTTTCCTGTTTTCCCACGGGCAAATTCGCAGCGCATCAGTGGCTACGACGAGCGTTTAATAAATCTCGCCGCTCACAACATTTTAATTACCGTTGCGAGTTCATATTTTAAGACCGAAACGAAATCCCTGACGTCGCTATGTCTATGGTCGCCATTTTATTAAGCATTTGTTTTGATTTGCATATGCTATTTACGAGCGTTGCATTATGAATGATGTGATGGATTAAGTCTGAGTTGAAATAATTTGACAATATAAAAAAGAGTTCGCACAAGCATGCCGTCAAATGGGAGTGATCGATAACGCACGAATTTATATATACATAGCAATTTAGGGCCATTTATAGGCCGAAAAAAAGTGCGCGATATAAATAAAACGCGTATTATATGACACAGGCGAACGACGCTCAAAACAGAAATTGGTAAACAGCCAGTGAATGCCAAGAAATGCATATAGATAACTCGTTTTCTTAACCTTCAGGGGCCGCTTCTTCGAAACGCATTTAGCTTAAACGGTGGTGGATAAGTTCAAAATGGAAAACCAAATTATCTATTTATTGAACAACTGAGCTGAAATATTTCGATGTAAATAGCTTAATTGTCAAAGGAAGTACATATTAAATGCGTAAGATGCAGTCATTCACAAGATGTACGAGAGTAATTTTAAACTTTGGCTTATCCACCGTTTAAGCTAAACGCCTTTCGAACAACAAGCTCCTGGTCATAGCGAGGATTATCATATTTTCCTGAACTACTCTAGAATTTAAAATCCTATTTCAAATAATCATTTTTCCAAAAATAGTTTAATTGGTATTTGTAGAATGCAGTTGCTATAATCCTGCATCTTTTACTACAAGACAACGTTCCTTAATCGAGCAGAGAGCTGAGTCTAGTTCAGGTTTGGACAAGTTGAGATGGGGAAACTAAATATATTCTAAAGTCTAAACAAGGCTTCATTACACCTTTCGCTTGAGGAAGTCATCTCAGGAATGCAGGAAGACTAAAGGTCACTGTACCATCCCTAAAGGCTAAAACAAGTAGCTAAACCTAGTCCTCTTCTCGATTGCAAAACGGTTGAAAACTTACGCTGATCATGGCACTTGATGTTATCCTGAACAAGGTTGCTTTTTCATTCACAACCTTCAATCTCCTGGCTAGTTCATCCTCCTCATCTCGAAACTCGCTCAGGTCCTGCACTTCGCTTATCGCCTTCTGTAATGCCGTACCATGTTTTGCTACGAGGTCATTACAGGTCTGCAGGTCATCAACCTTACTTGAAAGAGGTTTCGTACAACTTTCATTTTTGTCATCATCGTCCTCGTCATCTAGAAAAATACCTCAAATTACAACTGACCAAGACACCATTACTAAACTAATGTAGTATTCTGGAATTTGGTTTGAATATCTCATATCTTATTAAAATGTCCTCTTTTACAAATACTTATTCTTTACATGAACTGAATAAAGGTGTTTATAATAAATATACAATTTCACACTATGAACCTGATCAATTTTCCATTCCTAAACGTTTTCCTATTGTGTGTAGTAAAAATTGTCATATTTTGGGTATTTGTTTATATTCTTTACTTTAATTAATGTATAATATTTTTAATATCGGCAATGAACCTATAAATACATTGCCTCAAATACATAAATATAAATTCGGCGTTTCCGTTTATACATTGTGATATTTATCAAAATATTTTGTTATGGGCATATCAAAGGGTCGAAAAGATCAAGACTCACCAGACTCGAGCATTTTAATGGCTTTCGCTTTAACAAGTTCTAGAGCTGTAACCCACTTTTGTCGTTCAACTTCCGAGGAAGCTTTCAAATGAAAATAATGAGTGCTGCCGTTTGACACAACAAAACTACAAGGGTCGTCTTCGGTGCAAATGAATGCGGTTGCCAGATTTATCGTTCCCCTACAGGTGTGAGCAACTTCAGCCTGGTTTCTAGATAAAAGAGGAAGCAATTAGATCATGACGGTTATATTAAAAAAATTAACAACAAGAAGTTATAAAGACACGAATATTTTTACCTGTAATACGAGAGTAAGCCATTGCTTAAGACGAACCAGCGCTTTTGATAGCCTTTGATGTAATTTGTCCATTTCATTAACCATCCTCGAAAAATATCCGTGGCTCCTTTACCAACGTCCTGCATCATTGGATAAAGATTTTAGGAAGATTCACGTCTTTCAAGTCTTCTCGTGACTTCTCGAAAAGGACGCCATGTTTAATAATTATTACATCTAACCCGCAACCACCCGCAGCATACTTGCTTGGGTGACTAACCCGCACATTAGAGATATTTTAATTGATAAATATTTAAAATATAAAATGTAATTCTTAACATTTTTGCAACATAATTATTGTAATTTAATGTGTTTTTTGTCTACATCGGCGTTGAATGAATGCTCTAGGTTTATTTCGTATCCTGAAACCCGTGCCATAGCCCCAAATTTTAATAAAACCGTACACTTCATAACTCTGATATATTTTTATAAGTTTTCATTCTCCATAGTGTCATTAATGTACAATTTGTGCGCCCAAAGGCAAGTTAAGTCTAATCGTTTAGTGGCTTTGTACACATTGATTTAGAAAAGTTCATTAGGACCACAGCTGAAAACGCTGCTATCGGTTAACACCCCTGTTTATCACCAAATATCAACGGATGATATCTCCGATCCCCTCAGGTATCGTCCATATCAGTACTTTTGTCAATGTTTTCCCCAGAAGGGACATTTTGTATTTTCTCCGTAGTCCCGCAGTCTGTACACAGTCTGAGCGGCAGCTGAGATGAGTGAGTGCTTAGAGTTTGCTTCGTGCAATTGTCGCAAAATATTCGTCCACATTGTCTGCAATGGTGCTAAAAAAATGTTTAAAAAAATCATAAATTTAGTGAAACCATTTCTTGTAGGTTGAATTGCGATAAATACGGAAAGCTTTCCTTGTAGAAACGCTGCCATAAACATGGTTCTTTGTTTATAAAAATTCGCCTAAATAACAGATGAAAATTTAAACCTTATCTTGCGGCACATCCAAAGGTTTTTCACATTTCCTGCACGATGAAACATCATCTTCGTGTTCCCATTTGATCTCCTTTTGAGATTCCTTCATTTCTTCCAACTTCACCTGCAAAATAAAAATATTTTAAGTCCTCAGGAAATGAAAGTCGACGTTTTGAAATGAGCCTAAAGGGTTTACAAACAGGGAAAAAATTTAGTAGGTTAACAAGGTAATATAAGTAATCTGTTTTGAAAATTTGCTAAATCGGTTCGAATCCAAGGAATGATAGAAGAACATGGTTGACATAACTCACTACAACACACCACTTACCCAGGGGCCTCTCAAGAGGGAGGGCAGAGGGGACAATACCCCACAAGTGGGAGTACAAGATGAAAGGTCGCGCGGAAAGGCCCTCAGACAAAATTGGCTTTGTGGAAAGCACTCCATGCACACACATTACCTGCAAACTTTGCGACAGTTGTACAAAATCCCTTTGAACTGCTTCGCTGTTATTCAACTGGCTGTTTAAAGAATGAAGTTGTGCTTTCAACTGCTTCACATCATTCACGAGGTTGTCCTGCACGATAAATATGAATTACCTCGATGAATTAAGTCGAAAACAACATTCTGCTTAACGTGATGACAAGTTGACAACATGCTTTGAAGAAATCGTTTTATCCTTACATTTTCTTTAGTGGAATTCTGCAGTTGTTTTTCCAGAATTGTGATAACCTCATTCGAGTAAGTGTCATGGGAACGACTGTCAGATGGTTGCTAAAGAAGGTTGTAACAGGCAAGAAATGTTACTTTGTGTCAAATACAGTGAGAAATCTCAGCAACTACTGTAGGTCTAAATGGATAAAATAATGCATGAATAAGGATTGAGATTATTCCACAAAATGATTTACCACCTTATTGCTCTGCTGGGCTAATTTGCTTTTTAGGTTTCCTGGAAGCAAAGATGAAAAAAGTAGTAAAGATTATACTAAGAACTGATCCCCCTTCCTTTTTTACTAGTGTACTACTTTCCTAGAGTAGAACCTTATAACCATTATATTTTTATCATTTTTGATCTATTGCTTACTAATTTCGCGTCCCAATTCTTCAATCTCAGCTTGGTACAGTTGTTCCAAGCTTTCCTTAGCAACACCTTCAGCAACCACACGATCTTTCAGGAAGTTGATCTAGAATGATCTGCGCATTAGTTTGGGAATTGAAGGCAAATAAATCAAGGCTTTTTCTCAAGATACAGCTAAGCTATCTCGCCAGCAGAAGTTCCAGCACACGAGGACATCAACACAACCATGTATAACCATGAACAACCATGTATAACCATGTATAACCATGAACAACCATGTATAACCATGTATAACCATGAACAACCATGTATAACCATGTATAACCATGTATAATCATGAACAACCATGTATAACCATGTATAACCATGAACAACCATGTATAACCATGTATAACCATGAAACAACCATGTATAACCATGGACAACCATGTATAACCATGCAGACATCATTGCAGACCTCACCTCACTTTGCAAAGCTTCGTTAGTTTTTGAATCCGTTTGTAAGACCCCTTCCACATTATCTTGTGGTCTCTAAAAACACATGGCAAACAGATATTACCTAAAGTATACTAATATGGAAGCCATGAAAAAAATGAATGTATATATGTAAAATATTGTAGATTCAGTAAATAAATTGGCTGCTGGGTCGAAGATTGCACAGTTCAATAGACGTTGGCTTTGATCACACATTGACGGCTTTCACAACAATCTTGCCACGTTTAATTGGTGTGAAATTTTCAGCTTGCTTATAAACTACATATCCGGCGTATGTGTACGACGATAATGCATGTTCAATAACTGTGGATCGTACCAACATTGATAAGTAAGCATACCTGTGCTACTCGCTGCTGACCGCCGCTTTTCGCCAAAGACCGACTGTTCTCTGACAGCTGTTCGTACTAAAATGTACATCATAAACCACAATTGTATACTGCATGTCAATGAAAATACGATGTAGGCATGATAGCTAAGTGGACAAGCTGTTTTGGAGCGGAAGAATAAGAGTTACTCGCATCTATACCTTCGCAAGTAAGCTGTCTCGGGAAAGCATCAACTCGCTCTGAAAAGAGGAAGAAATAATCATCATTTGACGAAACAATCGTAAACAATGTTGCTGGTAATTTCTGAAGGGGCAAGAGTTGAATGACATAGATTGTTGAATGAGATTTGGCTCGTTTACACTTCGATTTATTATGGTCGATTTTCTTCTTTTGGTAGATGTGAACGAGTAATTAGTTACGAATGCTCTGATGTATAAGAACTCTTATTTGAACATCAGTAACTGAATCACTCGTTCACATCCATCAAAAGAAGAAATCGCACATAAATCGCAGCCAAAATTGCAAACGGGCCTATAGACTGAATAAAGAATTTTTATTCAAGTGAGATCGTAAACACACCAATTGGGAGCTGGTGTCCTTCTTTGTTTTATCAATATCAGCGGTGATTTCATCCAACAGACTTTCGAAGCTCCTTTGTGTGTCCATCGCTACCTTAATCTGAGAGGAAACCAAAAGGTTAATTACAGTACAAAGTAGCGTAATGTAAGCGGCAAGTCAGGGTCTTCTACATCACAATAGGATATAACAGTGGATTCTAAGGGTCATAGGCGGATACCTGGGCTTGCGCATCCTCGCTGGCGATCTTCACACTCTGTTCCAGGCGATCACAAGCTCTCTTTATCACTGTAACAGTTTCCTGTAGAGTGAAATGCGATAATTAGGATAATTCCAAGGCTGGAATACCTCTACTGTGGACACGGGCCGAAGTCTGAGATGAAAACTTTTAAAAGACCAAACTTTGAAGGAGAAAGAAGTAAACTTAGGTGGGGAAAGAGGTTTTGTTTCCTAAGGGAAGGCTGGTTTTTAAAGTGGGAGGGGGGTAGCCTTTGTTTTAAGAAGGGCGTTAATAGAAGGTGCACCGTTCCCTGTGGCATGCCAAATGCAAAGATGAACGGACCTGCTCTTCTTTCAATTTCTTTGATAATTCTGCAGTTTCTTCTGACAAAGCCTCGTTTCTCTGTTGCAGTTTCTGCAGCTGTTTTTCATAGTTACTACACATCTCGCATGCGCGATCCACGTCATTCGACAGTGAAGATTTTGCCTGGAAGAACGTGGCAACACAATATCAATAGTACTCCAAGGGTTCAAACCTAAGTTCGTTAGACATAACATGCACTCACAGCTTCCTCAAAACTCTTCCAGTCTATGTTTTCTTTCTTTCGTTTTGATTCGTCGTTTTCGTTCGTGAGAACATCGAGTTCTTCCGACCGACATCGTGGGCTCTTCGTTGCGGCTGGAGGAAAATGAAAAGTTTTTATTACCCGGTGTCTGACTCCGCTGGGGCCAGTTGTGTAAAACTTTTTAACTAAATTTTGAGTAGTTAAAATCGAATTTAACTCGAAAATACACGATTCTGATATACATCACACAGTACCTGGTGCGAGTTCTGATTCCAGATCGTCAGCGGATTTGTATTTCTTCATTTTAACACCATTAACAATCAAAGTTGTCTCATCGTCAGAGAATGCATTCAGACTTCTACTGTCAGAATCTACACTATCACTGAACACCGTAGGATGAAGAGCATTGGGAACTAACGGCGATGAACTTGAACCAAACTGTGGAATATCACTCTGGTGAAACAGAATTAGTAGTAACATAAAAGAGAGTCGTTCGGGGGGAGGGGATAAAAAAGAGAATCGTACGGGGGGGAGGGATACCATAACAAATACTCACATCTAATATCGAGGAAGGGGTGGAGGGTAGACTGCTCGCCTTTGGACCGCGAACAAGACTGGCAAGCGATCGTTTTGATTCAGACGAACTTGGTGTTTTCGTCCTAACGTTGTCTTTTTTGTTAGCTCCTTGCTTGTTTAGTTTACGGCTTAAGAAACGTTTGTTTGTCGCCGGTGATGGTGGGGTGAGAAGCTTCACCGAGACATTCTTCTCTTGTGGATCTTCGCCGATGAGTTTCAGTTGTTCGATGGTTAAAAGATTCTTAATTTTGTCCAGCTCAAGTTTTTGTACACGCTGCGTCTCTAGAAAGCGATCATTCGCCATGCCCCAGGTGTCTTTCAGAGCGAGGTGCTCTTCCTTCTCTTGTTCCAGTAATCTGCACACTGGATGGAAAGAGACGGAAATCTCTTTAATGGAGATAGCACATGGTGTACCGGTTTACCATGCCTTACCAAGACTATTTATAATTTAGCATAATGACCACACCATGTACCACACCACACCATACCACACCACAGTATACCATACAATACCATACCATACCATACAATACCATACCACACCGTATCATACCATACCATACCATACCATACCATACCATACCATACCATACCATACCATACCATACCATACCACACCACACCACACCACACCACACCACACCACACCACACCACACCACACCACACCATACCATACCACACCACACCACACCACACCACACCACACCACACCACACCACACCACACCACACCACACCACACCACACCACACCACACCACACCACACCACACCACACCATACCATACCATACCATACCATACCATACCATACTACACCATACCATACCATACCACGCCATACCATACCACACCCAAACCACGCCACACCACACAATACCATACTCAACTCACCATTATGAAGTTCTTTCCTAAGTTTATCTGCATCTTCCTGAAGAACAGCTGTAATTCATAAAATTACCATATCAATCCTCTTCCACTTTTGCTAATAAGGCGTTACTTTCCAACTTACTCTTTTGTGTGTTCAAAACTGCAACAAACATTTCAAGATCTGTTCTGGCTGACCGTTCTGCCTCCAAATATTGACTCAACTCTTTTATCTGAAGAAGAAGGTAACAGTTGAATAACTTGAATTAGTTTCAGCCATGCAAACATGCTGGTGGTTAATTCAATACCTTTTCATCTGTCTCTTCAGAAGTACTTCCATGTGACATATCTTGCTGTGCATTACTCTGTGCAAAAAAATATAGAAAAAAATTACATAATTTTGAACTCTTTTAATGCAACTTTGCAGCAAAATTATCTCACTTTAACAGGTCTCTTTTCTTGCTTTGTTTCTAAAACAACTATTTTGTCATTGGCATTCTTCAATTTCGATTTCAAAGATGCAATTTCCTACAACATAAAGAGTAAAGAATATAACAGAAATATGTTATAGGACCAAGCCCAATGATAGCAAAAATGCACTTTGAGGCTCTGTCCTTCAATGGAATTGACAAAAAATGTGAAATTTACTTCTTCTAGAGGCATGACAATTGATCTTAATGTCTCAGCATCCTCTTGAGCCTAGAAAAATAGCAATAAAATTAAGTTTAATATCCCTTTTATTACATTTAACTGGGGTTCCTGACTCACAAAACACTGACTCAAATCTTAAAAACTGCTCTAAACTTCCACAACCTTCTTCATGCTATCCTCCAAATTTTCATCAGTGTCTGCAACTGGCTCTGGTGTACTTGGTTGTGCCGATTTCCATGGCAACACATCAAACAGCCCATCGCCTGAATCATCCTCTTGTTGTGGGGGTGGTAGTAGTTGTAGTTGTTTGGATTTTAACTCGCGGATTTGTGCCTTGTATTTTGACACCTTCTTCTCTAAGTCTTGATTGGCCACAACCAATCCCATGCGTTCAGCTTCAAACTTCTCCTTTTCTTCCTGCCGTGTATCCTGGACCGCATCTGAAGAAGAATATTGTGTAAAATGAGGCAAAGTAAATCAAAAACTTCATGTAATGTGGTACAACAACTGCCTAAATTAGACAAAACACTTCTGGACGTTTCGACCTGAGGGCCTTCGTCAGGAGAGTTGGTATGAACTAACCTAACTCATACTAACTCTCCTGATGAAGGCCCTCAGGTCGAAACGTCAAGAAGTGTTTTGTCTAATTTAGGCAGTTGTTACATCACATTTGATGCTAGTTGTTTGAAACTTCATGTACGACATATTTTCTACCATCATCAACAAAATAGTATGAAATATTTTCCACCATTATCTACACTCTCCTAGCCAAGGAAAGAAAATAAAATAGTTTACCATGCATTATTGCTTTGAGGGAGGCAATCTCCTCCTGATATTTGAACTTCATTGCCGTAAGCTCGTCATTATTCGAGGTCTCTGAGATGAAGACGGCGGTTTTGAGATTATCGCGCTCTGTTGATACACTCTGTAGATTAGCCAAGAGCTTCGCATTCTCTTCACGAGCTATTGTAAGCTTCGTCACCTCATCATTCAGCTCAGCTGTAAATGTTTAACTCATTATGAGGAATTCCTACCAAAAGATACCTCAAAGAAAGCTGCGGAACATGCAAACAATGTATTAAATTGGCGGCTTTGTTTTTTACTTTTGAGCTATTGTTTCATGGCCATTCAAGCAAATTCAGGAAGTGCCCTCACAAGATGATGACACACAGGTACAGGTAGCTTTAAATACTGAATATTAATATCCCTCTTTTGTTTACTAAACTGAAATCTATTGATATAGTAAATCTGTTGATAGACCCTGGCAGCAAACTGGCTTTAAAACACCAACTTGAAACAATTTATGTAAGATATTACATACAGGCAATAAATTATTAAACACGTTCTCTCTAAAAACCAACAAAATAAGGATTTAGCCTTCAAAAACTTACTTTCTTTCTGAAGAAAAATCTCTTTAAATTGGGCTCGTTTTTTCCCGAATTCTTGTTCTTTCGTTTCGATTGCAGAACGTAACTCATCGTGTTTCGTTTCTAGTTCTTGCACTTTAGCCTGAAGTGAGGCCACTGCGCTTTCCTCTAAATCAATCAAGAAATACAATAGCTACGTAAGGTATAATTTTAAATAAAATTCAATCTTCATTCTCGGATTCTCCAATACCCCCAAATTATAGCCAAAATATTCTTAAGAACCTGACCTTTTTATCTCAAACTAACGAAACTTAGAGGCTGAAATAACTATTAAAATAAACGTACCGTCCATTTCAACTCATCTCTTCAATGAAAAGGGGCAAAATATTACATTTAAAAGCAGGACCAACGCTGAAACGTATTTTCGTTCCACCATTATCGCGGAACCCCCCGGTGTTTATTTTTGGTGCAATACACCCCCCGTCAAAATCATTTCGCAATCTCATGCGTGGGAGTGTGCGTGAGACCCACGAGGAAACACAATACCATTCGGAAGAAAATTTCCCTCAGGCAAGGAATTTTCTAAAACCGTTCTGCCATCGACGTGGGAGTTAATTACGATAATTACTGCGGGTATTACACCCCGTGATAGGTGGGGGCACATAGCATGTTACTAAAAACATGAAAATTTCACACAAATTTGACTCCACGGCTTCGCAATCCACTCAAAGAAGGGTACATGTCCCACCCAGAACAATGCCCAGATCCCACCCACACTACACCTTAAAATGTGCGCGTGGCACTCGCGTGGAAGGCACGTTGATGAAGAAACGAAGGTGCCGCTTCGGAACATGAAGTTATGTCTACGGAAAAACTGAAAAAAAAGAAATTTTCTGTAGTAAACCACTTTGTTGCGGGAGGTCTAGGAGGAGCAGTTGGTTCTGTATTAACGTCGCCATTTGATGTGGTTAAAACAAGACTTCAATCGTCGGGATATAGTTTACAAAAAGTAAACTATGGCAACCTCAATTTGGCAGGTTCAAACCAAGCTATCATCGGTGCCCCATCAAAACATTTTAGTGCCGTATTTGCTTATATGCGTTACATGATAAAAACAGAAGGATGGCAATCGCTGTATCGTGGCTTGGAGCTCCAGTTGTTCGGCACAGCACCTTCGAGGGCGATTTACTTTGCAGTCTATTCAAACTGCAAACATTTCTTAAAGGTACACGGGAACCTAAAAAACGATAGCATCGCTTTGCCTATAGCTTCTTCTGTTGTCGCTGGTTTTACAACATGCACAATGACAAATCCAATATGGTTTTTGAAAACAAGGTTACAGCTGGAGTGTTCGCGATATGGTGGCAATCACAAAGGTCTTTGGAAAACAATACGAAATATTTATATGAAAGAAGGATTAAGGAAATTCTATTGTGGGCTAACAGCTTCCTATCTGGGTATTGGTGAAACCATTATACATTTTCTTATTTATGAGCAAATGAAAATTAAGATCAACAATTTTTATACAAGAGATGGTAACAAGTCATTTCATTTTTCAACCTGTGTGATCGCATCAACACTATCAAAATCGACGGCTGCTGTGATCGGTTACCCCCATGAGGTGTTGAGGACGAGGTTGAGACAACAGTCTAACGAGGTGCTTGGTCAAGCTAGGTACAGTTCGGTCCTACAAACGGCAAGGATAATGCTAAAAGAGGAGGGATGGACTGCATTCTACAGTGGTTTGTGGACACATCTGTTACGTCAAGTACCCAACACGGTTATACTGCTTTTAACCTATGAAACCATTATTCATCATTTGGAAAAATGAAGGTTGCATGTATAATGCTGTCCAGACATGACTACAATGCAATGTGAAAATACAAGTCAATATATTATATAGAAGTACATATATATATATATAGAACATTGCTGTTACCATCCAGGTATTTTAAAGCAAATTTTGGTAAACAGGTTTGTCACAATGCTTGCAAGTTTATTTCCAAACTTCATACCTCAACTGAGATGGTTAACATGTGTGTTGTTACATTTGTGTTGTTCGTTGTGTTATTTAATTGATAAGGCGAACCTAAGAAGCTGAGAATTAATAAATATATTATTTATATAGTGCAAGACATATAGTGGTCAGAATCTATATACTATAGTTAGACAAATGTTTTAAATTATGAAAAATTTACAAATTAAATAAAACATTTTTTGAATATTCCTTCATTGTTTTGATCATTGTCTGATTTAGCTGCTAAAATTTTTTAAGATTTAAGAATATCTTTAGGAATATTTAAGAAAATAAGAAGCTTGCTTATGCCTGTTTGGAGGACAATTTCTATATATATTTAAACTTCAATGTTAATCAAGACTTCTGAAAGTTAAATTACCTATTGTTTGGAGGAATTCCTAGCCCATTCACTTTGTCTTACGAGATTTAGAAACCTTCACAGTTTCAGGTAATGTCAGTACTAACCCAGCAGCAAATATGGCCCCAATACCAAAACACACCATGGGTATTCTTTTATCATAAACCTCAAGACCAATAACTAGTGGTGCCAGAATACTACCAATGCTAGCTGCAATTGAAAATATACCCATGGAAAAGCCCTTTACAGAGGCACCAAAATGCTCCGCAGAGAAGATATATATTATGTTGTAACAAGCTGCCACGCCAAATTTTCCCAGCAGAGCCAGCACTGTTATGATGTTCATGTTTGACTGATCCATCCCTTGTAACCATCCACAAACAAGACAAGCAAGTGATCCAATCAGAGCAAGGCAGCTCAACGGCTTTCTTCGGCCAGACTTTATAAACCACATACTGAGAAATAGAGCTGGGATCTCGACCAATCCACATAAACTAAAACTTATGTATTTGTTGCTGCTGAGGTTGCCCGAGGCGAATGACAAACCATAATACATCATTGCAAGAAAGAGCCAAGTTGCCGACAAAATTAAAACCTTTTTAAGATAACCTGGTCTTGCAAATACACTTGTGTTACTTTGGCTGTTTTTTACATTGGTTTTAGGTGCATCGCTGGACAATTTCTCAAGGGATGTTTCCGAGATCTCCTCTCCATTTTCTTTTGCAATATCTCTCAACAACTGCTTGCCTTCTTCAATTTTGCCATTTTCCACCAGCCATTGAGGGGATTCACACAGGCCATTTGGAAGAAGGAAAGCTGAACAAAACACAATCGGCAGAGATACAGTGATTGTCAGGTATCTCCAGTCTCGAATGAAGTAGGCAAACAGACCCAATACAAGATAGCCAATTGCATAAAATGCCTGATGAGCTGTCAACAACATATCTATAAAGATGTGGAATACAGCAATTATTCAGTACAAACTGGCTAATTCCACATTCCGCCACCCTTTGTGGAAAGGGTGTACCCCTACCCTTTCCAATTAGGCCAAGATGGAAACCATGCTTCATATATACAGTTACAATAATGCAAAGTTTACAAACCCTTTGAACTTCGTCCAACCGTTTCTGATATTAGCACAAATACCGCCGTACTTGAGCCATTTAACATAACAGCTGCAACAAATCTGAAGAAAAGAAACTGCTCAAAGCTCTGTGAAAATCCACTGGCGATGCAGGCGAACGAAGCTATCGACGACAGCACGACAATGGTTTGTTTTCGTCCTTGCTTATCCGCCATTCCACCAAAGAGGACAGCTCCAAGAAAACAGCCTGCCATTACTATGGCACTTGCGAGGCTTCTCTTGTATTCTTGGTCGCAAACCAGTCGCCATTCGCTTGTTATCGACGAGAATTCACTGCTAAACTGCACACTCTCGCACAACGAACCGTTCGCTAAACATGGAAAATTACCATTTGTGGTCAAAGGTTGGCCGTCGTTGCCGCCGCATCGCCAACGCGGTTTATCGGCCACAAACACCAACAAAAACATCTGACAGCACCTGAACACAACCAGAAAATTTAGCAAGCCGTACACACGTTTCTGAAACCTGCCAAATTCCCCAATTCGGGAAAGAATACTGTTTAATTGAGACATTTTAATGCAAGAATTACAACACCCACTGTTACAAGTTATAGCCCAAATATTATTACAATTTACAACAGATTAAAATTTCATTATGATGCAATTCATGTGATTTAGTCTTATAAATATTGTACAAAGTTCTCTTTGTTTTTTGAAACGGAAATAGTTGTAATACGTTGCTATGAAAGATTTTTATATCAAGAATAGAGGGCGGAGGCTGCTTTTAGATAAATTGAATTATTGAAACGATCACGGATATTGTTTATTTTTAAAAAAATATTGCAATTATTGAAAATTGAAATTGATCCACATCGTTGAACATGTAATGATGGGTTGTGACGCAACACAAAACCGCGCTTGAACTAGATGTTTTATTACTGTAAAACCGTATAAAATAATGATCCAAAGAAATTACTCAAAACATCTTTATCAAAACATTTGCATTTAAACACTGAGAGTTTGGTAAAGAGATCCTTTAGTTTATTTGATCGTTGCCCCCCGCCCCGCCTCCTTCCCCGCGCAAACGCGATGAATGGAATGTACACCGTAGAGTGATTCTTATACTGCATGTGCCCTGGGGCCCTAGGTGACCGGGTATTCGTACTCATTCCTCGGGCTTCTGTTCCTCCCGTAGCTTCCGTTCATCTTCCTCGACTTCTTTGAGTAAAGCCGCTGCATTTTTGTTCGTTGGCGCAGCTTGACGATACAGTTCCTTGGCCCGTTCCCAGTTTTTCTCCACGCCTAGACCATTGTAGTACATATTCCCCAAATTGATCTGCCAAATTTAAAATCAGTAAAAAACGTTTAAAGAATATACAAACCTACCTATTACATCTCCAGGTATTGAGGCATTTCACCTGTCTGACTCTGACCCTAGATCATTTTTCTTGTTTAAAAGTGAATGGATAGGTTTCATGTCTTACCTGAGCAAGTTCAAATCCTAGGTTTGCAGCTTTTTCAAAGTATTCTGCTGCTTTTTCCATATTGACATCAACTCCCTTCCCAGCAAAATACTGTGTTCCAACATTGTACATACCAATAGGATGGCCTTTCTCTGCGGCACTGACATGGTACTCGAAAGCTTTGGTCAAATCTTGTGTTACACCCTTTCCATAGGAATAGCAGTGAGCAAGAGAGAGTTCAGCAGTTGGGTCACCTAAGAAAGAAATACTTTGAGAAACTAGGTGTGAACTTGTCCCAAAAATGTAGCCATTTACAGGGATAGCCTAGCTCATACCCAACAGGGTTCATCACTCTTGTTTCCAGGTAATATATGCAAATTTCTTTTTATAATTTTTGCACAAGTTTGGTATCATTTGTTTACCTTTCTTTGCTCCAGTTTGAAAATATTGCAAAGCAAGTTTGTCATTTTGTTCAACAGCCTGACCATTAAGGTACATGTTTCCTGGAAGAGGAGATTTCATTGGGAAATTAAAAGAGCACGGATTGAGAATATATCATTGCAGATTCCCAATATACATCTCATGTATATAGAACCATCTTTTTACCTAACATACTGTGGGCCATGTCAACTCCGTTTTTTGCGCTTTTCTAGCAGAAAGAAGAACATCAATTTTGTGAAAGGTTTTGAACATTATGTTTTAGCAACAAATGCTTGCATCATAGTAAGCAGATAAAAACCTCATAAAGTTGAAAGGCAGTTTCAAAATCTTGGTCTAAGCCAATTCCATGATAGTACATACCTGCCAAGGCAAACTAGACAATGAGAGAGAATGGTAGAATAATGGATGGTATGGTACGGTATATATATATGGATAGTGACATTGCTGGTGTATGGAATGGTATGATTAGCGATGCGCATTGTATGTAGATGGTTGGTGATGATGAGTGTAGTTAGTGTATGGTAGTGTATGTATTGGTATATGGCATATTGGTATGGTATATTGGTATGGTATGGTATGGTATGGTATGGTATGGTATGGTATGGTATGGGATATTAGTATTGTATGGTATATGGTATGAGATATTGGTATGGTATGGGATATTAGTATTGTATGGTATATGGTATGGTATGAGATATTGGTATGGTATATGGTATGGCATATTGGAACTGTATGGTACTTAGGCTGCATATCTGCAAACTAAGAAAACCAATCCCATGGCATCTTATGGTATAGCTACAATACTTGTGCATATGGATGACCATCATTTGCAAGATCACGAAACAATTTTGCAGCTTCTAACAAGTCAGGATCGATACCAGTTCCTAAGAAAATGAGGATTCATTCAACACCAATCATAAATACACCTAACAATACAATTGACCTACTTCCAAGCAACTAACGAACCATTAAAAATACACACCTGATCGCAACATCTGTGCATATGTATACTTAGCATCTTCATTACCAGCCAAGGATGCCAGACGAAATAACGGAGCCCAAAAATCAATGGTATCTTCACCAACTGAATGTGATATACATTTGCTCAGTTTGGTAACAGAAATTAAATTGGCGCTGATCTACATAACCTGGAGTACCTACTTTGCTCAAAAACCAAGCCAACGCAAGAATTTACTACAAGACAAAATGATAGAGTACAATGAAATCTTTGATGGCTGGAAAAATCTCAACACTGCAAGTCAAAGCAATGTAAAATTCAAAATCGCAACCACAGATAACTATTAATACTATGTTTGGCTGCCTCAGTCACATCTGCAGATGACACAGCTCCCTCCCTGTGCTGACATAATAGGTCCAGTATTGTTAGTTGTTCTTGCAGCTTCTCCTCAGTTGCCGTTGGTGATTTGGATAAAATTTTCTCGACTTTTTCTCGCAACTCCTCACCTCCTACCACAACAAAAAATTGGATATGACGAGTGGAGAATTATCAGTGCCACTATTGCTTGAGTTATAGAAATGTCGAGGTGAAAACAAGTTCAATAGCTACCTGTTTTTGTGCAATACCTCTGTGCAGAATACCTCAAGGTCAGTCCTAAACGACCGTCTGGAATGGACCGTTCAATATGCGCACCAAAAGCGCATCCAATTTCGAAGTTCAGCGAGGTAAAACTCCTTTTTCGTAGGACTAAAGGATTTGAAAGCTGGAAATATGTACTAGTTCTGGTTACGTTATAGTTTCTATAAGTTACATTTTTAGCTAATACAGTTGAACATGGAAATAATCTAGAATTTCTACACGGTTTTAACAATTTTTGGCAAATTTTGGAAGCCATATTGGAGTTGGAGAACTTGAGAGGCTTGGAACTAGATAACTGACCTCAAAAGATACACTGGATTCATGTCATAATAAAATTTATTTCATTTAACACCACATTAATTAATGAACAGAGGATAATTATTCTTTTAAAACATCGCTTGTATATAAAAATTTCGATTTCGATTTCCAGTATTGCATCAAATAGCTCCAGTTTAAGTTAACGAAGGTGTTCATATTTCGTGTTTGACGTGTCTAAAATGAGATCTTCTCCAACGTTGATCTAGAGAGGAGTAAAAAGAAAATAAACGAAGCTCAAAAATTGATTTCTGCTTTTAAAGTGAAGCATTAGAAAGTAAAAAACAACTAAAAAAAGCCCACTCAAACCTTGCTTCCAGAATCCTATGTTCCAGACGTGTCTAAATAAAGTACGGAGTATTTCTGTTAACGCTGACCATCTTTTCATAGCGGTTTGTTAAAAATTTTTTTACTATCAATGATTGTATTAAACGAGCTCAGTCCTACCTTGAGGCTCTCCGTTTTAGCTTTCTTCAATTGTCCTTCGAGGTCGTGTATCTGAGCCTTGATGCCAGCGGTATTGTGCCACACTCGTATGTGTTTATCAGCCCCACCAGCAGAGGCAAAGAAATGACACGACGGATGCCAAGTCAAAGAACTGATGTCGTCTATAGAACCCAGGCAAATATTGTTAGGGATACAATATCCTATCCTATCATCCTTTGACCATCCTTATCATATCATGACCTCCTATTCAAGTATTTCTACGGACGTCACTATAACTAGAAACTACAGTCTGTCTAAATTGTGTTTTCCAGGGGCCGGTTGTATCAAGCCCGTTTAGCTTAAACGGTGGATAAGTCAAAATTAAATAACACTCTTACATCTCTCTTGAGTGAGTCAACTTGAATATTATGCACTGAATATGTAGTTGTAAACAGTATCTTTGTATTAAGGTTAAAAACATTTAGTTCGCTTGTCGAATAAAACGATAGACTTGCTTTCTATTTTCAACTTAACCACCGTTTAAGCTAAACGGGCTTGATACAACCGGCCCCTGAAGGCCTAGTAAAGATCGCATTTTTTCGATCCAGCAACTTTCAAAGCGAAGAAGAAAACTTAAACAAAAGTAAATCTATTCTTGCGCTATTTCTAAACAGTTTCCCCGTAGAAGTTTGCCATATTACCACAGGTCAAACCCCGGACTATATTTAGACAGGCCTGTCTTGAGGTCCAGTGGTTCTCAAAGACACGACTCACCAGAATGCACGTTTTCAAGCATTTCTTCTAATTCTCCTGTTGTTGTATTGAACACTCCAATGGAACGTCCCATACTAATTGCAACAACGTATGCATCAGGTGAGATTGCTATGAACATGTTATTGTGATGCCCCGAGTACACCCCTGTCATCAATAAGGAAGGATCTTGCCCTTTATTGTATTCCACTGGAAAAGAAACAAAATATTTCAAGTGTATCACTCTAAATCCTGCCTGTGCGTGATAATGATATCTATTAGCCAACGACTTTCATAGAATTTTTAAAAATTTGAGTGTCCAGTGCGGTTATCAGGTGCCATATCTAGTCAATTTTCATGCACTTCTTTCATCCCCCATTAAAACTTTCGCTTGTTAAGTCTTATCAAGGCACTAGACCAACCATAAAGGAAAATATGTACCCAACAATGTACCTGACTGATCCAACACTTACCATCAATATCCCAAATTTTCCACGTGCCATCTTTCGACACAGTTGCCATCCTGAAGAAAAGATGAACTGATAAGCTAAAGCGATGCTTACGTAGATTCACGTAGATTTCCTGCATTACTCTCAGAGACAAACCTGGTGCAATCAGCTGAGAAACTAAAATGATAAACACCAGCGCTGTGTCCTTTCAAATCCATCGCCCGCGACACCTGTAAAAAATACAAATAAAACCATCTGATTTATGCCTGCATAATAAAAACCTACGAGAACCCGCTGATGGCGACGATGAAAACAAGATGGAGGGCGTTCAGACAAAATGGTGGAAAATGTAAATGTTTAAAATACCTGCTTAAAATCTCCAGTCTTTGTGAATTCCACCTCGTAGAGTTTCACGTCTGATGTAAAACCTGTACAATTCAATATGACGAATATAATTTTCAATTCGACGCAAGAGAAACGAGAAAGCAAACTAAGTAACAACCAAAACAAGTGAGAAAACAAAACAGAAAGGAAATCAAAACTTCAAAAAACTCGCCTGCCGAAGCCACAAAGCGGCCACAAGGTGAAATACAAGCAAAGCTGTTGTTCACTTGATTTGTGTTCAGAGTCTCCAGAACTTCTCCTAGAGAGATCGGAGATGAAATGTTTTACAAGAGTGAGAATTACCCATACGGTCGTGCTCGTTCAAAATGGCGCTGTAATTGTGCAAAAGGTCCATATCACACCTTTGAGATTCCAAATGACGATTGTGGTATCGTTTGAGCAAGACATGATGAACTTCCCGGTGGCTGATACACCGACATTGATGATATCAGCCTTGTGCTGCTGGGGAAAGTCAAACTCCCCCGTCACGGTGTTTCCAGTTCCGTCGTGCTTTTTCTGAACTTTGAATACGCGTATCGTGTTCCCATTGGCCAGCGCAGAGATGAATGCTCTAACGGACAAAAATACACGTTGAAATCATTGCACTCCTGGAGCTGGTTGTATGATTAAAATTAATGCTTCCAAGATTATACGCGTTACATTTTGTCCAGATTAAGCGTATGATAAACGTAAGACATATCGCCTCTTGGCTGAATTTAATGGTTGTTAGAGCTGCTTTCCACTGTTGCGTTTTTAGCACCTACGTACAGGCACGTAAAAGTTTAAATGCTTCTAAATTTTTATTATTCAAAATCTAGCTCAACAAATGCGCGAAAACTAAGTTCTTTCGATTTATTCACTTAGCATTTTTAAAGATAACTTATTTAGACTTTTACGTGCGTGTACGTGCATATGAAAAATGTTAGTTAACCAATTTTTATATTTGTGTATAAAATTACATGAAATACGAGGTTAATTAGGATTTGATACTTTAAGACGGAGTTGGGAAATATTTATTAGAGGTTTAGGGCATTTTAAGTTTAAAAATGTTATTTGCCAACCTGAATTTTACTGGCTTCTCAACATCGCCACTGAAATTAAGATTAATTTTTAAATTGAGTTCGTTAGTTTAGTTTACAAATTAGGTTAAATATTACCACCTAACGTTTAATTTTGTTCAAAAGAATATAAATAGCTATATGGCTAGCTGAGCTGCAGACCAAGGGAAGCTTAAACCTCTATGCTTTTAGTAACCACAAACGTATTTTTTAGGCAAGCAGACATTTACTTTAGTGGTATTACAAAAATACACGAGGAACTACAAAAGTTAAATTGGTTGTGATCTTGTATTTTGATAGTAAACCTATACAATATTGATGATATCAATGAACATAAATGCAATCATATGATCATCGTATATCGTACGTGTACCTCGCATCTTGTGTGAGATTGATTTTTGTCGCATGATCCCACTCTACGTTACCACGAATATACCTATAAAGAAAAATAGCTGAGATGTTTATCCACCCTTTGAATGATCGCCGTTCGTTTGACTGCAAGATAATCAATATAGGTGAAAAGAACCAACTTATGATCTCTTTCATTAAAATCTTTAACACTCCACAGCCTTATCGTCCTATCTAAAAAAGAAAAGGCACAATAGATTAGTCCTCTTCAGTATAAGTCCTGCAACTTTCCATTGTCTTGTCATATTTAATTTTATTCTACCTGACGAAGTGGAACCTAACAATTTCCCGTTGTTCGTAAACTCTATATAAAGCACATCAGATGTATGTCCCTTAAGTATACACAATTGTTTCGGATGCTCGCTGGCTGCAACGCGTTTCGAATTTTTTGTAGGTGCCTTTTTGGAAACCTTCGAACTTTCGGCAGTATTGTTCTCTGCTTTGAGGTCTTCTACTTTGGTTTCGCTACGCGAATCGTTGCTAGCATCTTTCTTGCCCTTTTTCCCGCCAATGGAAAACACTAGGTACACTAGGAAGCCGCCAAACACGACGGTAACTAGCAGTATTACTGTGAATTGTACAATTCCTAAAGATTCTTCTTCGTCCGCCATATTGTAAACGTCAGCAAAATCACCGCTGACTTGATACGAGCGAGGGGCTCGTATTAAAATGCAGTATTGCTCCAGTTTTTATATTGCGCTCAGAAAGATGAAGATAATGGTAGATTTTGGATTTGGAACCCTTGACTTTGACAGAAATTGGAGTGTACAAATTAATCAAACAAACACAACTAAGAGATAAATCACATAGTCGAAGCGATCGCTCTAAAGCTCGCTGCCATTATTAATATTACATGGTTGTCTTACTTTGTAATTAGATTCGATTTAAATTTTAAAACAGCTAGCCGTACGGCCCCGTACTGATAATGCAAAAAACCAAAAGAACTTATCAATTCTTTACATATTTTGAGGTAAACCACTACGTATTATACAGGAAACCCAAATCTGTAGCTCACAAGAAAGCATATGCGAAAAGTAAATTATAATTGTTGCCTAATGGGCGATAGAGTTGGATAGACAATGCCCACTAATGATTTCCAAGCCAATTGCAGCTGCTAAATCTGTCAAACAATGAAAGTTTATTTCTTTAACTCACCGGCGGCAGACGAAATCAAGTACTTTCCATTGCTGCTAAACTCAATGCCATCAATATCTGTTTTATTTCCGTCCAATGTCGCGGCCAAAACTCCCTGAATTTCATCGTAATAGTTGTTTGAATTCAACGAGCTGTAGCCGTTTCGTCCGTTCGACAACATAGTTCCAAGCTTTCTTCACTTTAAAACCCTGGTTTTGTTTGTTCAGACTATTTTATCAGACTATTTTCGTACATCAATGGTTCACAAATTTGATGTTAGGCCTGAAAATATTCGAGTGCAAAAAAAAAACGCTGGCAGACGCTAGTCGATAGCCGTTTAAGTATGCAAAAATAATGCATCAAGTTTGTCAACTTCCTGATGGATATATACGCTTGGCGAAAAAAATCGACTATTTTACGGTTTTCAATTGGCTGAATGGTTGTATGTTTTGAAAAAGAAATTAAATTATAATAACAAATTATAATGCACTGTCCAAGCATATTAGTTTCAAGGGAAGACTCGATAAACTTGCTTTCAAAATCTCAGTGGGAAAAAGGTTGAATTCTTCAGTTCAATGTTATTGCTATTACTTGCAGATATTCTAAACCGATCGTACCGAGTTTTCACAGGAGTTTTCAGTGGAAATGCTTTACAGGTCTAACAGCACTGAGAGAAGAAAGAATATCTAATTTACAGGTGTCGAACAGGTGGTTTTACGGCGACAAATCGACAACAAGTTCCTTATTGTCCACAGATGCAGGTGCAGCTGACGGTATGTCGGTATCAGTGTTGCCAAGTCAGTTTTCCTAAAAATCCCAATATAGCTCCCAAAAAATCCCAAGATTCCCTATTTTCCCCCAAAAAAATCCCAAGATTTTTTTCATTAGTTCCCAGGTCCCCTCATCAGGCGAAGTGTTCAGCCATGCGCGTTAACCGAAGCCTGGCGAAATACTTGGTCTTGTATAAAGTATAAACGATAGGAAGAAACCTTCTCACTGATCTCATCACTTAACTGCTGTATACTCTGTATGGTATATTAAAATATTTAGTGAATAACAGTTATACCGAGCAGGCAGATTAATCAGTATTACAACTATCATTATTAAAACATTATCTTGTCTCTATTCTAAAAAATCCCAAGAAAAATCCCAAGGTCTTATTAAAAAAATAAAAATCCCAAAAAAATCCCAACAGCCTTAAAAAATCCCAAGATCTTGGGATAAAATCCCAAGGTTGGCAACACTGGTCGGTATATTTCCGTCAGAGATTCCTTCACATCATAGTGATCGAGAACATGACGTATCATGTAAAAGTATCGCCGGCTCGTTTCTTTCCGAAACAGAAAGTAAACAAAGAGACGCTGAAGAAGGAATATGGCGGACGAAAAGCCGAATATAACAAAGAAAATAATATATCCTGGCTCTGGAGATGAGCTCGAGTTTACTCCAGGATCTAAGGTACTTGATCTACTCGTCTACTAAAACATCCATAGTCTTTTCACTACTAAAACTGCGCACTGATTTTCAACTTGTCTTCAACTTCAGGCGACCTTCCACTTTAAGACATTTAAACTCACTAAAGACAAGGAAAGAAAGGAAATTGATTGCAGTAAAAAGCTTGGCCGACCTTTTGAACTTCTTATTGGCAAGCAGTTCAAACTTGTAGTATGGGAGGAGCTGATACGAAGCATGAGAGTTGGAGAAATATCGGAGTTTACCGTTGACAACTCGGTTGGTATTTTGATTTATCAGTATTTTTATTTTCACAGGGCGCTTACAATATTGTAGAGTGGTTCCTTGAGCACTTTATGACCTGGTTTCACCGCATAAGCACTATTATTATATCCACTTTAACAACTTGTCAACTGTCATTTTATATCTTATAGTTGGTTGAAAGTTATCCTTTTGTATCAAAGAATTTGAGAGATTATTCAGTCCAGCAAGGAGGTGGTCATCATCATGGACATGACCACAATGATGAGAAACACAAGCATCATTGTAGCATGGCTGCTTTCCAGGATCAAGGAACAGGTGAGATTCTCAAAAAAGTGTAATTAAAAGTGTAATTTCCTCCTGCAGTAACACTAGATCAATAAGAGATGATCCTTACTGGACCTCTAGGAAGAACAGTTTAGAACTGATAGAACTATCCAGTATAAATAAAGTTAGCTTAGTTTAGGTTTCCTCCTGCAGTAACACTAGATCAATAAGAGATGATCCTTACTGGACCTCTAGGAAGAACAGTTTAGAACTGATAGAACTATCCAGTATAAATACAGTTTGTTTAGTTTAGGTTTCCTCCTGCAGTGACACTGGATCAATAAGAGATGATCCTTACTGGACCTCTAGGAAGAACAACAGTTTAGAACTGAAAGATTTCTTCATATTCTTTAAGGCTACAAAGATCTTGATGAGCTTGTGAACGAAAAGCCAGACCTCATCTTTGAAATCCATCTTGAGAAGTTCCAAAAACAAGGTGACTATGAAAAGGAGGCTTGGCAGATGGATGAGAAAGAAAAACTTGAAGTTCTACCAAAATATAAGGAAGAAGGTAACAAGTTATTCAAGGAGAAAAAGTATGAAGAAGCTGCACAGAAATATAGCGAGGCTTTGGGCTGCCTTGAACAGCTTTGCTTGCGTGAAAAACCAAAAGATGATGCCTGGAATGAACTAAACCAAAAGAAACTACCGTTTTTATTAAATTTTGCACAGTGCAAACTTAGTTTAGGTGAATACTATGAGGTGATTCGTCACACAACTACAGTCCTAACTAGTATTGATCCAGATAATGTCAAAGCTCTATTCAGGAGGGCAAAAGCTCATGTTGGTTGCTGGAATCCCAAAGAAGCAAGGCAGGATTTTGAACGTGTTATGGAACTAGATAAGAGCTTGGTGAAAACAGTTAAAAAGGAACTTGAGCAATTAGATAAGAAAGAGAATGAGCATAAGGAAGAATATAAGAAGAAATTAAAAGGATTATTTCCTTGAGAAATTAGTAGAGTTTATAATTGCTATTTAAAGTGTTTTTAAAAACATTTTTATTGTATAAGACTGTGACAAATATGAGAAATTGGGACAGGAAAAAGTCCAACATTTTAATAATTTAAAAAATTTTAAAACAACACTTTGCATTTTAAGAATAATCTGAGTATAAAACTAGATCGTATATTTTTTCACTCAATGTTTTAAAGTCACTGTGTTTTCTTGTTAACTCGACTTGCATCTGATTGATCTTCGCAATGACTTGACGCTTTTGTTTCTGAATATGTTGGCTTTCTTCTGCAGACATCTGAAGCACAAGACGGTATTGCTGACTCAGCAATTGTGAATTTTTCTTACACTCGTTAATAAGATCTTGATACGTCGGTCTGGGCTCAGGCAGCCGGGCTATCTCTGTGCGACCAACGACTTTTTTAACGCTTTCCAAATCTGTTTCCCTGACCCCTTTTACTCTCATAAAGTGCAGCACCAATGGGCTATGCCCTAGTATATTGAACTGGACTTTATGGAAGTCTGGACCGCTTCCTGCAGGATGGGACTTATAGGTCTCAGAGCTTTGTCCAGGGGAAGGGGATCTTGCTTTACTCTTCTCAGAAGGGGATACTCGCTCATTCTCTAAGATACCATCAATGTCAAAAGACAATGTTTTTGGAATGAGTGATTTCCTAGCTTCCTCGGAATTTTGAAATCCCGCTGGTTCCAATTCCTCTAGTTGCCAGGTTTCCCATATCATAGGCCGAGGACGGACGCCCGATATCCACTCAAAGATGGTGTCAGTCAAAGTGGCTTTAAAAGGGTTGCCAAATATTTTATACGAATCTGGGAATGCCTCGCAGAAGCCAGCATACAAAGCTTGTGCCAGGCAGTCGGGGTAGTGGTGGAAGAATCGATCCTTGTATGCCGTTGGGATATGGAAAAAGAGTGCAACAAAACTATCGGAAATACGTGAGAATATCACATCTTTGGATTGTTTTGGTTCAAACAGTTGGCAAAATATCCACCAAAATGAATCTTGAAACACTGCAACAGATGCTTCGGATAAAATCGCCTTTTTCCAAACATTCCTAAAAGGTTGTGGGAAATTTTGAATTTTGGTGACTTTGTTTAGGAGTTGTTGAGATTCCAAGTTTCTTGGTAATGGCGTAAGCTCGTTTGGTGTGAAACCAAAATATGTTGTGTTCTCAACTGTTTTAGCTTTGCGATTCTGAGCTTCCTTCTCTTGGGATTTCCTTGCTGACTCCAAGACGTTCGATTCATCATTGCTTCTATAATGCCTGACTAAAGCCACAGGTGTTACAACTTTCTTCTCCGCATCAGCTTGCTGATCATTTTGATCATTTACCTCTTCATCCTGTTGTGGAGTTATCTGAAAATAGAAAAAAAGTTTATCGAAACAATGATAGTCAGCTGCAAATTTCGTGAAGTTATTTTCACTGACCTCAATATTGAAAATCTTGGATGCATAAAAGTTAACTTTCTTTTCTAATTCTTCAATTTGTTTCAAGACTTCATCCAAAATGCTAAGGTCAAGCGGTGCATGAGCTGCTAGAGCGTTGATAATATCTTCAAGTGTACCAGTTCCCACATCTTCCGGTGTTAAATTAAGTCTGTCTTCCTCTTCCAATTTTATAGGCCATGTAACATAACCCATTCTTGCAAGCCATTCGTCCGCAGTTTTTGGCAGCGGGCTGGATTCTTCGCTCTCCTCTCCCTCCTCTAGCTCTTCCCCATTTTGCTCTGCGTAATCCGATAAAAAAGCGTCAATTCTGCGGTCCATTTTAATGCAAAATAATTGTACATTTGAAGAAAACTGATTTCCTCGCTCTCTTTTGCGAGGCCATTTTGAATATCGCGAATCACGACATCACCGTCACCATGGCTACGAATCGCGCACGTCGATTGGTTAGAAATCGCGCTGTTTTTAACCAATAGAAAACCATTTTGGGTTTTAAACACTATCACAGAATAGACATTATACCATAAGGCTCACCCCTTTTAGTATTCAATTTGTGTCTTGCTCACGCAATCCTGGTGCGTGTAGGAACTTTTTCATGGGGGTACAAACTTCCTGCACATACCAGGATGGCGCCGGAATTGCGTACAATGACGCGTGCGCTTCTGAAAAATTTCGGACACGAAAACATTAGCAAAATCCAAAGAGTGAGGCTTGTGGTATAATGTCTATTTTGGTATATGTAAAGTTGACCACGAGGTCTTGTGCTGAACGGCTATGGTTATTTAATTCATCTTTTTCTCACGTTGTTTTAATGGTCAAATTTTTTGTCCTATGTAAAATTTTCAACATATTTGGTGCTCATATAAAAACAATCAATATAACCAATGTTTGGTTATAGTGTCAAATATTTTGACATGGATAACGATGTTGGTTAAATGGTCTAATTCTGGTCCTATGTAACTAATCACTCGTTCAGATCTATCCAACGATAAAAAAATCGCATATGAAATCACAGCAAAAACATTAAACAATATAACCATGCTTTGGTTATGATGTCAAATATTTTGAAATGGATAACCACGCTGTTTTAATGGTCAAATGCTTGTCCAATGTAAAGTTTCCAGCATGTTTGGCGCTCATATACAAACATTAAACAATATAACCATGCTTTGGTTATGATGTCAAATATTTTGAAATGGATAACCACGCTGTTTTAATGGTCAAATGCTTGTCCTATGTAAAGTTTCCAGCATGTTTGGCGCTCATATACAAACATTAAACAATATAACCATGCTTTGGTTATGATGTCAAATATTTTGAAATGGATAACCACGCTGTTTTAATGGTCAAATGCTTGTCCTATGTAAAGTTTCCAGCATGTTTGGCGCTCATATACAAAAATTAAACAATATAACCATGCTTTGGTTATGATGTCAAATATTTTGAAATGGATAACCACGCTGTTTTAATGGTCAAATGCTTGTCCAATGTAAAGTTTCCAGCATGTTTGGCGCTCATATACAAACATTAAACAGTATAACGATGCTTTGGTTATGATCTCAAATTTTTGGAAATGGATAACCACGCTGTTTTAATGGTCAAATGCTTGTCCTATGTAAAGTTTCCAGCATGTTTGGCGCTCATATACAAACATTAAACATATAACGATGCTTTGGTTATGATGTCAAATTTTTGGAAATGGATAACCACGCTGTTTTAATGGTCAAATGCTTGTCCTATGTAAAGTTTCCAGCATGTTTGGCGCTCATATACAAACATTAAACAGTATAACGATGCTTTGGTTATGATCTCAAATTTTGGAAATGGATAACCACGCTGTTTTAATGGTCAAATGCTTGTCCTATGCAAAGTTTCCAGCATGTTTGGCGCTCATATACAAACATTAAACAATATAACGATGCTTTGGTTATGATGTCAAATTTTTGGAAATGGATAACCACGCTGTTTTAATGGTCAAATGCTTGTCCTATGTAAAGTTTCCAGCATGTTTGGCGCTCATATACAAACATTAGACAATATAACCATGCTTTGGTTATGATGTCAAATATTTTGAAATGGATAACCACGCAGTTTTAATGGTCAAATGCTTGTCCAATGTAAAGTTGCAAGCATATTTGGTACTTATATACAAACATTAAACAATATAACCATGCTTTGGTTATGATGTCAAATATTTTGACATGGATAACCACGCTGTTTTAATGGTCAAATGCTTGTCCAATGTAAAGTTGCAAGCATATTTGGTACTTATATACAAACATTAAACAATATAACCATGCTTTGGTTATGATGTCAAATATTTTGAAATGGATAACCACACTGGTTGAATGGTCTAATCCTAGTCCTATGTAAAGTTGCAAGCATGTTTCGTGTTGATATAGAAACATGCTTTGGTTATGTCAAATTTTTTGATATAGGCAAACGATCTTTTAGTGGTCAAATGTTTGTCCTATTACCAAGGAATGTCTGTAATTGCATCTTCATTAGCTGTGTTCATTACAACATTAAACATCACACGTCTTCTTTATCATGAAATGCTCATCAACGATTAACAATACTCGACCACTTTTGTCGGTGAACTGCCTTGCGCCGGAAATTCTGCGGTCTCCAAAATTCTGCTTTTCTTGTAGTTTGGAATGGGACGAAATCTTAATTTTAGCAGCTTGTCATGTAAAATTAAGTTAAAATGGCTAATAATTATAGATCTAGGCTTTGTTGCCGATGAAGAACAGTTTATACCCTGAAGGAGAGCAATACAGTGTACCAGGAATTGAACCCAGTAACCGTGTGCACAGTCAGATTCCATCAATTTAAGTTCACTTTGAAGTCTTAACCCACAAAATAAATGCCTATTGGTTTGGAAAACATTCCTATAACTTTGTATCGAATGTAGTTATGTAGATCAACGTGAAATGGGGTTAACACGACATTTTGTAAATTTTAGGAAATGAATCCGGAGAGAAGTTAAATTTTGAATGGAAAACCAACCATAAACGCGGTTCCGAACACACGGACACTGTTTTTATTACGAGGGAAACCAGAGTTCCTGGAGGAAAACCCTCACCGAAAGACCGAAAGACCGAAAGCCGGAAGCGAACACAAAGTACACAAGTTTTTTCAGATTTTATTAAAGCATTGTCATGTGTTACAAAGCGTGTGTGTATATTTAGCTATTGAAATCAAGAGACATGGAGACGGATAATTTTTCTACTTTTATTTTACTTTTACATATATAATAATAATGTACAAATATATCAATTGGGATGCAAAATATTTACATATGAAGAAGGTGTAAGATGTGCACTTTAAGTTTGGCATGCTTTATTGAAAGTGTGAAAGTCTTTTACACTGTGTTTGTGTATTGACCAGTGAAACATGCATGTATATCTATGTGTATAGCTGTATGCAAGTGTCGTGTATATTTTATTCTACAAAGACTTATACACCCAATCCAGTTTGAGAACCGACTAAGGCAGAGTATATATAACTTAGTTTAATTCAGAGCATTTTGATTCAGGGTATTTCAAAGCCCTCGATCGTCGAAAAACTAAAACTATTCTTCTGACAAATCATAGGCAGTGTTCTCCTAACGGTTTTTCGTTTTGAAACTTTGTAGCTTTATTATTTCAAGGATTTATTAGGTTAAGATGTTTCATGAACATTTTGAAAACTTCGGCGTATAGCTGAAGCAAGCTGCCCCGTATATGAAAACAGCAAAAAAAGAAAAATTTTCCTTGAAAAATTGACTGCACATTTTTTAAGCTAAGGCATAAAGCCAAAGCACGCTGCTCTTATAGAAACAGGATTTCAAAAAATATCTTATTGACAAATTGACTACATTTTTGGAGCCTAAACATATAGTCAGGAAGGCTGCCGACGTGAAAGGTAGTATACTGAGTACAAATCTCTTAATTTCTTAATTCTTAGAGGTGAAAAATATAACCAAATTAAGATTTAGCCAAAGCAAGCTCCCCTTTGAAAAAACAGCACCGAGTAGAATTTTTTTGTCTGAGAAACTGATAGCACACTTTTAGAGCCAAGGCATATAGCCAAAGCAAGCTGCCCTTTAAAGAAACAGCGCTGAGTAGAAATCTTTTGTCTGAGAAACTGATAAAACACTTTTAGAGCCAAGGCATATAGCCAAAGCAAGCTGCCCTTATAGGAACAGCGATGAAAATAACACTGCAACGTTATTAGATATCCCAAGATACCTGCTAACACTTCGAACCACTCAGCAAGGTTAAACAGTACAGACAAAAAGTGGCGCCTTACTTTTCATAAGCACTGCTCAACGATGCTAGGTGATTAGAAATCTCACAGAGACCTTGGAAAAATAATAAAGTTACAATGCCACTGCCCATGTTGTCTCTTAATCTGTTTTTAACTAAAGTAAGAATGACGCTCCCTCCCCATTTCAAGTATAAATTCACAATCATTAAGAGCATGTTTTATTTTTCATGTGTATAAATTTTGTTAGTAAGTGTGCGTTAATCAGATTGCATAGTTTGATGTATTTCAGATTTATAGGAAGACAGTATGTGCTTTAAATATTTCTGAAAATAATTAGTCTTGCTGATAAACAAGAGAAAAGAGGGAGAACCTAGAAGAAGCCTATTGGATTATGTCTGCCATTAGAGGCTGTTGTTTGCATAGTTTTTGCATATGTTTGTTCATGTGTTATATGTATTATTATATGTAAACAACTAAGTATGGTAATATGTTTTAACTATATACATTCGTACTACAGTATTTATCAATTACAAAATATGGTAAGACAGTTGAATAATGGTATATTTACAACTCATAATTTTACAATCGATATTTCCGAAAGCCGCATGTGGCCGGGTAAGACTATTTCAATAGGACAAGAGCCGAAAGAGACAGATGGAAGCAAGAAAGAACCTACGGGATTATGTTTGCCATTTGAGGCTATAATTTGTATGCGTGTACTGTACAAAATAGTGTTTCTCTTATAATATTACAGTTTACATTCGTAGCCGTAAATCACCCAAGAATAGCGTTCCGAGAGATGGAACAAGGTAAGAACCTATGGGATTATGTTTGCCATTTGAGGCTATAATTTGTATGCGTGTACTGTACAAAATAGTGTTTCTCTTATAATATTACAGTGTACATTCGTAGCCGTAAATCACCCAAGAATAGCGTTCCGAGAGATGGAACAAGGTAAGAACCTATGGGATTATGTTTGCCATTTGAGGCTATAATTGTATATGCGTATATATTGTGCAAAACAGTGTTTTTCTTATAATATTACAATCTACATTCGTAGCCGCAAATTAACTAATAGCGTTCCGAGAGATGGAACAAGAACCTATGGGATTATGTTTGCCATTTGAGGCTGTGATTAATGTTCGTGTGTCTGGCGTTTTAAGCCATTTCGTATATGAAAATTTATGTTTTAATTAAAGTTGTGACATATAATCCTAGTTTGAACATGCAACTTTATCAACCTAAACCTTAGCGCGTAGCCCTAAGCGCAGCGCGTTGCCCTTAAGCGCAAAGCCGGATCCTATGGCCGAATTTATTTACTCACATGCAAATTAATTTAAACATGCATCATGCATTAGCTATGTTCCTGGTGGCCAGAACCTAAGTAACAGAATAACTTTATGGTTTAAAGAACATCGCGACCCTTTAAGACGAGCAATGAACTTCTGCTTTGCAGAAGAATTGCTCGTAGACCACGCATTTTTCGTGCGAAATCACATCCTAACCCTAGCATGCACATTTTTTGACCACCAGGCTACTCTAACCTTCAACGATGTCGGGGAACATCGCCAATTTACGCTGCTGTTTGACGTCGTATCGTATTGTGTCGTTTTGGCGTGGTTTTAGCGTCGTTTTGGCGTCGTTTGGCGTCGTTTTGGCGTCGATCATAGCTCCACAGAGGCGGGTGATTTATATTTTATCAACCTGAAATAGAATTTAAAATAAGAATAAGAAACCAATTTTTAACATATGGGGAAGATTGAAGAATAAAAACTGTACATAATATAATGCAGGAGGGTGAACTACGCCCGAACATTACACATAGGCACACCCTCTATGATTGAGGAGGGGAGCGTGGTGAAACTTTTAAAGCGAAGCTCCGCTATAGATACAGCAATTCAGCCATCGTTGTTCGTCCTAAGGTTCCTATGTTCGCTCTAAATCTAAAATGGGCAATCGCTTAATACTTACATTTTAATTTGAACAGGTTAATCTTTGTTTCAAATGGCTTTGACTCGCTCAATCTCTCTCTACCTGAAGTAAAACAAAGCAATACTTGTTATAGACGGTGATATCCGCAAGTTATTCCATAAAACAAACTTAAATGTTAGGAGAAAACACGCGTTGATATAGCTACTTCTCCCGTGTATGTGAATTAAATAGAAACGAATAGATATGTACCTGTTCATTTCAGCAACTATCAGACGAGCAGCTTCGGACTTGCTGTCTCATTAAACGAGAGTCATCTCGGACAATTTCAGCCGTTATCGATGGCGAATTTCTTGCCCACGGTATTTTTTTTAGTTTGACTTTAGCTCTTATAACTCTGCCTGAAAAGAGTAGAAGGCAATGTTAGTTTTCCGCAAAGCCTTTAGAACTTAATTGAAAGATATAATTTGCTAGGTTGGTGGTTATAGGATTCAGCTGGTTGAGCTGGACTGCGCGGCATCAAAACGTCCGCAAATTCACATGGATTTTAGCACGTGTATTAATTACCTTTTTCATTTCACCAATAAGCTCCGAGAAAAAGCTAGTCGTGCCCTCTCTTCAAAGGCGAGTTATCTTGAGCTATTTCAGCCACAATTTATCGGTCATCAATCTCTTGTTCACGAATTTCATCGTCAAGCTTGGCTCTCAGTCGTCAGAATCTTGTCTGCAATGAATAAAAAGCAACGTTAGTGTTATAAGGACAATTTCAAATCGAACACAAGGCGAATAAACCCGGATTTTTGGGCATTACACGTGGTGAAGTTGGACCACGTTGCTGAAATATTCGCCCAAAATCTCTCACTAAAGCAAGCTGATAATCGTAAAGAAAAAGGCATATCAGTACCTGTTTTTCACACTAACGACAACGGCACAGCGCCACAAAGATACTAAACTTCTCTTCTGTAAAAAGACGTTATCATTGATAGCGATTTCAGACGAAATTTTGAGCATTAGAAGTGACTTGTCTTTATGCTTTGAAGACCAGCGCCCAAATGAAGCCTCGAACAGGTTGCATGGTATATGACTAATAAATTAGCCCAACATTGTTATAAGCGGGCCTTTGTTTGTTTTAACTGGGGAAACAAAGATTATGTTAATTTGGCTTATTTTTATCCAGTAATCTACGAGTAATCTTGCCTCAAATTTGAACCTGAGCTAGATCATTTCCATTTTGTCCGCTCCAGTGCTCCTTGCGATGAAGAATAAAGCCAAGCTATTGGCTGACAGACCCGTCCTGACAGCTCAGATTTAAATAATATGATTAATTCGTCTTCTGAGCACGGAATGATTGACATAAAAATTGAAAGCTTTTGTTATTTGAAAGCCTATTACAATACAATAAAATCAATCAAAACTTTTGTTAGTGGTACTAAAGCTACATTTCCACTTGCAAAGAATTGGCGAAATATTTGCATTTGAAATGCAGTCAAGCTGAATTAATTTCCTTGTTTTCTCAAAGTTACCCAAACGCTTACATTTATCGATATACTTTGGTCAAGTTTGACTTGCCCAGGTTCAGCTTAGATTTGAACCATCGGCTTACCACTTGGCAGACCAGGCCACGAGATCTTGGCTGAACTGCGATGGTTATTTAATTGACATTATACTTCTCTCGAAAGTCGAAGGTCAGAAGGAAGGAGAGTTAAGACCAGATTCGAACCATCAACTTACCACTTGGAAGACCATTGTCTTCCCCACAAGACTACGAGATCCTTCGCTGAACGACTATGGTTATTTAATTTACTTTATACTTTTCTCGAAGGTCATAAAGAAAAAGAGTTAAGACCAGATTCGAACCATCGACTTTCCACTTGGAGACCATTGTCTTCACCACTAGACTACGAGATCCTTCGCTGAACGGCTATGGTTATTTAATTTACTTTATCCTTTTCTCGAAGGTCATAAGGAAAAGACTTAAGACCAGATCCGAAACACCAACTTACCTCTTGGAAGACCATTGTCTTCACCACTAGACTACGAGATCTTGTGCTGAACGAAAATGGTTATTTATGTTATTTTATACTTTTCTCGAAGGTCAGAAGGAAAAAGAGTTAAGAGCAGATTCGAACCACCAACTTGCCACTTGGATGACCATAGTGTTCACCACTAGACCACGAGATCTTGTGCCGGACGACTATGGTTATTTAATTTATTTCATATCTTTGTCGAAGATCATAATGAAAAGAGTTTAGCTTAGACTCGAACCATCGACTTAACACTTGGAAGACCATTGTGTTCACCACTAGACTACGAAATCATGTGCTAAACGGCTATGGTTATTTAATTTACTTTATCCTTTTCTGGAAGGTCATAAGAAAAAAGAGTTAAGACCAGATTCGAACCATCAACTTACCACTTGGAAGACCATTGTCTTCACCACTAGACTACGAGCTCTGGTGCTGAACGGCTGTGGTTGTTTCATTTACTTTATCCTTTTCTCCAAGGTCATAAGCAAAAAGAGTTAAGACCAGATCCGAACCATCAACTTACCACTTGGAAAACCATTGCCTTCACCACTAGACTACGAGACCCTATGCTGAACGACTATGGTTATTTAATTTACTTGATATTTTTCTCGAAGGTCATAAGAAAAAAGAGTTAAGAACAGATTCGAACCATCAATTTACCAATTGGAAGACCATTGTCTTCACCACTAGACTACGAGATCTTGTGCTGAACGGCTATGGTTATTTAATTTACTTTATAATTTTCTCGAAGCTCATAAGGAAAAAGAGTTAAGCTCAGATTCGAACCATCAACTTACCCCTTGGGAGACCATGGTCTCCACCACTAGACTACGAGTATTTTGGCTGAACGGCTATGGTTATTTAATTTACTTTATATTTTTCTCGAAGGTTATAAGGAAAAAGAATTAAGCTTTGGTTCGAACCATCAACTTGCTACTTAGAAGACCTTTGTCTTCACCACTAGACTACGAGATTTTGAGGTGAAATGCTATGGTTATTTAATTTACTTTATCCTTTTCTTGAAGGTCATAATGAAAAACAGTTGTGCTTGAGCTCGAACGCAGCAAAATTGCAGGTGTAGACGGGCATTTGGCGACATCGTTCACTACCCTGAGTTAGGGTAGAGAATAATACAATGTATTACTGAACCCTGTAATTTTTTTGGCTAATTTAGTGAGCGTGTGCGGGAGTGCCTGACTGCGCATGCTTGGCAAGTGCCTGAAATGTTCTGATATGGCTTGGATTTCTTGATGAGCTTCGACAGTCGAAACTTTACAATATCGTCATTTATATAGAAATTTACGCCCTTGCAGATAAATTGCAGATTTGCTAATACATTCAATCTCAGGCATTGTCTAGCATGCGCACTAAAAAGTGGGACACTAGTTCCGGCCAGTTCCGGCTCTGTATCGCTGTATCTATTATTTACTCTGTGTTTAAAGGTCTATGGGAATCCGCAGTACTTTTGTCCAGTTTGCCTTTTCTCTATACTTCATATACACATGGTTTGTTTTGATCAGAAAAATTCAAAATTGTAGTTTTCGAAGAGAAATTTACGATCAAACAAAACGATGTCGGCTAAAATAACAGACACGTTTGCTGTCGTAAAGAAATCAGAGGCAGTTAAAAAGAAGACTACTCCAAGAAAGTCTAAAGATCAGGTTAAAACGAACGCTGATCAAAAGCCTAAAGGTAAGAAAGCACTCGGGCGAAACTAGGCAAATTTGGGCGAGTTTGAACGTGATTAAAACACAATTTTCTTTTTAACGATCTTCGTTTTTCTTGGCCTTAAATCTGACATCGCATTCATCATGGAGAAACTAGGACCTGCTAGGTTTATGATTAAACTATTGTCTGGTTAATTACACTTAAAATTGTATAAAATACTTCATGTTAATGGCTAACCTGACTGTATATTTTTATCATTTGTATATGACTTGATGTAGCTTTCGTATTGTATTGTAGTATATCCCGCGGCAAAAGATGTCTCGGATTTGAAAATTCTTCGCAATTTTGATCTGAGATGCGAATTCGGACCATGTATAGGTTTGTAGAAATGGATTAGGAGAGTTCATTAAGGGTTAAAATATATATATTATATCTATGATTGCCATTTTATTTCACTTTATCAGCCTGTTAAGGCATTTTAAAAATATTCACTCAGGAATCTCGAGATTAGAGAGATGGACCAGAGCTGAGACGTATGATCTTAATCCCCCTGAAGAAGTAAAGAAAATTATCGAAGAACATCCAAACGATGACAAATTCACACAATGGTTGGTATTAACCGTATTATACATGATTAATGTTCACCCCTGCCAGGGGGGGTGTACATATGAGCAATGCTGAAACTATTGCCATCTCTACAATTACTCATGTCAAATATATTTTCAGTTTATGGTATGACGAGGAACTCATATGAACGAGATGCTGCAACCTTTTTAAATTCTGGTTTTACAACAAGTGCAACTTGATGACAAGCCAGGAAATCCACAATGTGTATAAAATGCACTGGATTGATATTTTAAAGCAATATAGGTTGTGATGTTTTAGTACCGAAATCAGTGCCATCATTGGTGCTGAGGGTGACTGTATCTAGATAGACAAGCAACTGTTTTAGATTTTGAAATTATGTACATATAAATACAGTTGAGATGAATACACGTATGTATGAACACCAGGTACACCGTCTTGTTCGATCATGCTACACTCATAGCAACCGTGGTTGTCTGTTGTATCTTTTTATAACACCCTAGGCTGCAGAGGGGTAGTTTTGTCTGAGAACAAGAATAGCGTTTAGCATTTCCACATCCGTGTGCAGCGCACATCACTGGCTCTGAAGTAGGACTGAAAGAGAAGACAGGTTACTTTTGATGTTTCAGACTTTCAGATGCATGCTTTTGACAAAAATCAAGTATGATTTACCTTCTAGGAACTCCCCTTTTGAACGGCACATCCATGTCAACAGGAAAAGATATGGAAATGCCATTTTTGTTGTTCAAATACATAACCCGCGGTACATCTGCCTTTTGAATACGCTTTTGTTTCTCAACTTCTTTCCTGGATTTCACTTGTTTTTTCAAGAGTCTTTCAATTGTTTGTGCCTGAAATAAAAGCTCTTAAAATGAGAACATGCTTACTGTATCTATTATATCATATTTGAGACATAATATATATCACATAATATATATCACATTATATATATATATATATATTTATATATATATATATATATATATATATATATATATATGTTTAAAAATTTGTAATCCAGGCATATTTGTTTATCAATGAATGTTCTCCGGATTTAAAATTGTAATAAATAAATAAAAAACAATTTTAAATCCGGAGAACATTCATTGATAAATATATATATATATATAAATATATTATATATATATATATATATATATATATCACATTTGATATTCTAAATTGAAGATAGCCATGACTTACTTTATTTTCTTCAATCTGTTTCTCCATTTGTTGTTTTCTTTTCTTTGCTCGTTGTTTCCGCCGTTTCACTGCCTCCTCAGAGTTCTCATCCTTTTTCCTCACTAGAAATACAATGAATAAAAGAAAACTAATATTTTCCCCTGCCAAATCAAGAAAGAATGTTTTGTCAACAAAGTCCCTTACAACAACTCCTTACAAATAAACTCATACCTGTTGGTAGTTCCACCAGCTCATTTTCACCTTGTATTTCATGACCCAACATTGCTCGCTAAAGAAAAGGATAACTTAGACCTAATGCTGACAGTCAAAACAAGAGAGAACAACATGCACTGATACTGACCTGTCTTGCTGTCATCATGCTGGTATCTATTTCCTGTTTCAACCTCCCAAAATCATCAAGTTCCCCAGCCTCTAATGCATCAAGCCAGTCTTCTTCCTCCTGACTGGAAAAATTTCATTTGAAGAAAGGTTTTAGAATTTTTACACCCAAACCAATAGACAAATAGCTAAGAATTGCAGAGTACAAAGATTTATCATTTTTAGAAAAAATACTCTAGGATCAATCAAGCTTTGATGCCAAAACAAGTAGTCTGTTGTACTATAAGGTGATCTCAAAACAACCTGGATTGACAGAGATAGGAAATACTTATAGTGTAGGTAAAACAATCATAGCAGAACCAGCAGATTTTGATTGTTTGAAGTATTTTTAGAAAGAAACTAGTTAAATGAGTCTTCTAAGTTCTCATGATGCAAGCTCTACTCACTCTTCAGTATTTTTCAAGTCTTGTACGTCGCATGAATCATCCTCCGCTTGCCATGGTTCATCAACCCACGCTGTTGTGAGTTGTTCTGGTTTCGAGCTCTGCTTGGCTGCTTTACTGCCAGATATCTCCGTCACTGGACTTATCGTTGGAACCCTGAAACAAAGAACTCCCGAGTCATAATCCTGAAAACATTCTCAAAGCAAAATCATCGATTTCCTCCAGTGAAACAGCCATGAAATACGTAGACTGCTGTTGAATATCAAGCCAGACATCCCAACCCTTACTCTTTAGTTGTCAAAGTTCTTCCACCCAACTTTATTTTTAATTTTAGGGATGATCTTCCTTCATCTTTTTCCCTTTCTTTTTTCTTTCGTTTCTTTTTCTTTGGTGACTCAATTTCTCCAACACTCTCACTCTCAGTCACATCGCGTTTTCTCTTGTGTTTCTTATGCTTGTGTTTGTGCTTCTTCTTAGGTGAACTCGAGCCCTCTGTTGTTTCAACAACTACAAACATCAAAAAATGCCCTTCATTTTTGTATTCTCTGTAATTTTGCATGGCAAACCACAAAATAACAACCAGTTTGAAGATACACAACACATATAAGCGGGTTGAAAGTTTTGCAGTATTAAATATACGTCGTATACATGCAAACATATTTGCAGAACTGCAGTAAAAAATTATATAGGTTAAAACTTAAATATAGGTTTGAAAACCGCTTGATTTTAAAAGACTAAACCACTATCCATATAGCATTATACCAATATTTCGAAACACAATACCTCTTAAATCGTCATCGCTTGTAATTTGGTTCTTCCTTCCCATCGTAAAACGCTGTTTAACTCGTTTAAAACTTCATTTTTACTTTTTCCTGGATTTCACATTGGCGGCCATATTGGATGACGTCATGCGCTGACCACTGAGCTATATATAGCATAGACAGTTAACTGAACTGAAATAAGAAATCTAACAAATATATAGTCTAAAATACATAAAAAAATCTCCAAAAAAAAAATTCAACCTTAGAGATGCACTGATTATCTACTTTATTTGACCGCAAACTTTGAAGCGAAGACAAAACCTTTTAGTTTTGCTTATGGTACATAAAGTGTTCAAATTTTTATTATTATTGTCCAATCTGTTCCTCTGCTATTTTTAAAAATGTCTACATTTCTTATTCACTGTTAAACAGTGTAAATGTCATCTAACGTTATTCTGATTCTTCACCGAATGCTTTTAGAATAGGCTGTTTCAAGACAGCCTTCCAAAGGCTTTATCATCTTGTGGGCATATTGGAAATTTCATCAAATCTTACACCAGCAATTCTATCCACTTCTGTCATCCTTTTTTTACACAAATTCCAATCAACTAGCTCGTTTAAATGGTTTTTCCATAATTTGTAATGTTCTGAACAAAGCGCTGCTTGAGTGAACGCAATCTATCGGCTCACCAACTTCAACATAACCCATCTTTCTGAAGAATACGACAGCCTTCATTGCACTTTCGATCCTGATGGTTGCAGGTGATTGATACCATAGGAGCTGCTCCATTTTATGCAATATCTGTCTTCCATATCCTATACCCTGTAGGGAGGTTATCAGAAGAGTTAGTTAGGCATTTGATGCAAGGCTATTAGTAGATGGTGCTATGCTGCTTCTTGATAAAGTACCTGGTAATCTTTCAAGACAAAGAGAAAATTAATCCAGTGGTACAAATCTACATCTTGTGGATTGTCGCTGACAAAAATCTTCTGAGGACGTGCACATGCAACACTCACAACATCTAAAAAGGAGCATTCATTATTCATGCGAGGGGGTAGCATGTGAAAATCAGGGCATCCTCAAAAAAATTAATACACTGGAGGGGAACCCCACATCCCTCCTCTTACTGGGTATCCACCCCACTGGCATAAAACTGCACTTTATAGTATTAAGTATAAGGTTTTGATCTAAGGCCTGCTATATCGTTAATTGTGCAAAATTCTACCTGTTTTCTGTCCAGGGCCACCAGAGACTCTACCAAACAGCACCACATCGTTCTCCCCAGGTTCCAACGACTCTCCACTCACCCCACGGGCGACTTGACGAAATATACGCAAGGTTTTTGAATTGTATTTTTCGCTGCTTACTGTAAATGCACTAGAATGTACAAAGATATGTATTATCTCACTAAAATTTAATGGGAAATGCATCTATAAAGTACCTGGTTTTGTCCATTTGTTCACAATATATCTCGTGCCCAGACTTCTCACCAGGCTCCGAGGCTCGGATTATTGGGATCAGCAGTGACGGACGGCGGAATTACGCATCCTGTTTCCCGAGCCTGCGGATGCATGTTGATCGATGAACGGAGAAATGAATCGAGACGTTTAGTTTTGGTTTCCTCCTGTAGTAACACTGGATCAATAAGAAATGTTACTTACTGCACCTTTAGGAAGAACAGTTTAGAACTGAACTGATAGAGCTATCCAGTATAAATAAAGTTAGTTTAGTTTAGGTTTCCTCCTGTAGTAACACTGGATCAATAAGAGATTATCCTTACTGGACCTCTAGGAAGAACAGTTTAGAACTGATAGAGCTATCCAGTATAAATAAAGTTAGTTTAGTTTAGGTTTCCTCTTGTAGTAACACTGGATCAATAAGAGATTATCCTTACTGGACCTCTAGGAAGAACGGTTTAAATCATAACAATTACACACAAGAGAATAAAACAAATTAATGCTTTATTAAAACAAATACAACATCCACCAAATAAAATTCAACAATTTACATAAAATTTGTCGTCAATTGATGTTCGTGACTCTGAATTGCCTACAGTTAAAAGTGTATTTATAAGGAATAAAATATTTTAGACATTAATAGCGTGTGTAAACAGAGGTCGGTTGTACGAAAGATGGATTGCGTTATCCACCAAATAGTGACACTAAGGTTTAATCAATGTTTTACCGAACAACGGGCAACTTTAGAGCGATTGAGAAGCATTATCCGGTGGATAGCGCTGTCTAGCTTTCGTACGACCTTCCCCAGAACGATAGGTGAAAGACATAAACGATTGCATGGTTTCATTTCCATCAGTAACCAATGTCAGTTTACTCGCGATAAAATCTTTTTGGTTATCACAAGAAAGTACAGCTCACAGTTTGAAATTACTCAATATTAACATTTTGTTTATCAAGAATGATGTATAAATGATAAATTTCGCACCATTTTACGCACTGAAGCAACAAATGGCAAATTCGTGGCAAAAATTGATTTCATTGCATAGTAAATAGATTATGTCATAATATACGTTCACGAATGTCATCTCCTGGTTCATTCACGTGAGGACATTTTAATTAATCAACATGCAGTAAAATCAATTTTTTGTCGAAAATTACGGCATTTTGTTGGCATTTTAACAGCATTTTAGGCTGACCAATATTCAGTTTCTTTAGACTTTATCTCATATCTTTCACCCGGCAAGCTATATTACATTGACAGTGCATTGTGTATCAACAGAATAAGTACATATCTTTTTATAATATTGTTCTATATATATATTTATATTTATATAATGTGAAGCAATGATTTTATATACCTAGATTATATCGACTAATATATATTTTAACGAGGGACATAAATACCCTGCGATATGTGTACCCGGGGTTGGTGAAAGGTTGTAAGCGTAGGAGTGCATTGCATGCTGGGACATATATCTGTTTTACAACCCCGTGATGTATGAATGGGGTAAGATGAAGTAACCAGACTGAGAATATGCCGTGGTTATCCCGTTATCGTTACTTTCATCTTGGCGGCAATTTTAGAGTTAGTGTCTCGCAATCTCACGAACGAGACACGAATGGATCTGTGGGGACACCGAAGACATCTCGAGAAGGAAATCCACCTCGGACCACTTCTACCCTCAAGAGTATCCGCCACATTCGTATGTTGTACCCAATAATCCAGGCCTGTCTACTGTACCATAGTAAAATACTTGTGAAAATATCAACCCCACCGCCCTAGTGGAAAATATGAACTCCAAAGACCGCTGAACTTCCCCAGATCTCAGACCTCCCGCATGCTGATGTAATAGATTGTTTCATGCAGTTTACAAAATCTTGTATCTAATTTCGTCATAACGCTCTCAGTTACATTTCTTTGAAGTAAACGAAAATATAAATATCTGACAATTGGCGAATATCACATTTTTACGTACAAATTCCAGCTGTTTTTTCATTCCTGCGACTTTCTTGAAAATCCTATAACTACCGCTATTACATCAAAAGCATGCAGGGAGTTTCGTCTCTAAATATAATCTTATACAATTTTTTATAATTATATTTTTTAACATTTCTAATTTTGGTGCTAAATTCGCTCTGTGCCTTTCATTTATTTTGACACAAATTTCGTCGGGAATGTGAAAAGTACTATGGGTTAAAATCATCAACTTCTTCAGCAAGGCTTACTTTTAAAACCCAACGACAGATAAAATCTATTATGGTGCGCTGTATGTACGTTCTGACTAATATAATCTAATATGTGGACTATTTTCAAGTCGTCTATTATCGAGAAACTCGATAAAGTACAACCCTGTGTCTTCAGTTGAGAAGATGATGTAAAACCAGCTACATATAGAGCTCAGTAGTAATACGCACCTCGACCATGCTACAGGAGTCTGAGAACGAGTCTGAGAACGTCTGTTACGACACCAACAATAGGGATGAATCCCCGGGAGGCCTACTTCCGATTGGCCCAAGTCTCGCAGACACTAGGTTCTCATGAATGGGAAATGTTTCTCTCCGGGGGGAACGACCCCCGAAGCTTATGCCTGCTGCCGCGGCGACTGCGGGCGCAACTGTTGGAGCTGAGGGTGTGATGGTTGAACTTGGTGAAAATGCCAGTTTTAGTGTGTAAGAACCGCCACCTGAGATGTAATCAAACGATTAGTTAGCTAGAACTAAATTAGCTGAACTACTTTTTTCCATACAGGAAAGCTCTGTCAGTTCGAAACCGGTCTTCCTAAAAGATCCAGTAAAGATAATCTCTTATTGATCCAGTGTTACAACAGGAGGAAACCTAAACTAAACTAACTTTATTTATACTGGATAGCTCTTCCCCAGTTCTAAACTGTTTTCCAGAGGTCCAGTAGGTATCATCTCTTATTGATCCAGTGTTACTACAGGAGGAAACCTAAACTAACTTTATTTATACTGGATAGCTCTATCAGTTCTAAACTGTTCTTCCTAGAGGTCCAGTAAGGATCATCTCTTACTGATCCAGTGTCACTACAGAAGGAACCTAAACTAAACTAACTTAACCCATTTTTACCTTCAGGATTAATCGTCACATGATTCACAAGAACGACTGCTTCGGCTGCCGACTGCACTCTTGGCATTTCAAGTAAACCACTTGAAGATTTCGCGCTTCCTGAAAATAACATGGTGGTTATAAAACAAGGACGCTGCGTTTCAAAACTGCCCGGAATCAGAGCTTCAGTCGAAGAGAATGCGCATGAGCTTGTTCTGAGCTTACCTTTGGAGAAGAAAGTTCCACGAATCGGAGATTCGGCTCCTGACGTCAGAAACACCTGAACAACAATGAACGAGTGATGATTGTATTTGGCAAAATATTTCACTCTGGTCAGCTGGAAAGGTTGGTTTTGCTATTACTATGAAGTTGTATCACTTACGTCTTTGAGTCGATCTAGGGTGCAGTTGCGTGGTGCATTGAAAAAATGAAGCATGCGCGTTGGAGGTTGATATCCTAGATACAGCGTCAAGGAAACTAAATACAATTCAATTCCTCCGCCAAGGAGGAAAAAACTTGTACGAATCATTATTCAACTAAGCCCCAGAGAGAGTTAAAGACACAGGCTGCTTGCACTTTGGCAAGAACAGAAAATACTCAACAAAGGATACGTTTTTTAGGCTCTGCCCTCCGGAATGCTAAAATACAAAGAAAAATGAGTTATGTTGCCGGAAAGATCACAGATATTGACTGACATTGTTATTGGCAACTGGAAAGATATTCAACATCAGTTTAGCAAACGCTAAAATAAAACTAATATTTCACAAACAGGTGACAATCTTAGCTGGGATATGATAACTGTGACTGGACTGTGATATAGGTCAACGCTTGAAGTAAATCACTCACTTACTATTTAAACCTGTTATTCCTGTTTTCCGTGTACGTCACAGTCGCGGGCGTTCCATCGTTTAGGGTGTTCACGGTGGACGAACCCGCAATGTAGGGGTGTTTGGAAAATCTACAGGATCGATGGAAATAGTTATCGGTAAATACGAAAAGTTTCGAGAGAAGTTTAGCAAACAGAGGTCTACTCACGCAATCACGAGCTTGCAATCAAACAGTTCCAGACCATTTAAATTTTTTATTATCATTTCGGATGCCATCTTGTCCGACATCTGAATCATGGCCACACCTGGCTTGTTTGTTAGAAATTTTATCTGAAAAGAATGACAGATTCATAATTTGAACTAAAGAAATAACATGGGTTAGTTTAGTTTAGGTTTTCTCCTGTAGTAACACTGGATCAATAAGAGATGATCCTTACTGGACCTCTAGGAAGAACAACTTAGAACTGATAGAGCTATCCAGTATAAATAAAGTTAGTTTAGTTTAGGTTTCCTCTTGTAGTAACACTGGATCAATAAGAGATGATCCTTACTGGACCTCTAGGAAGAACAGTTTAGAACTGATAGAGCTATCCAGTATAAATAAAGTTAGTTTAGTTTAGGTTTCCTCCCGTAGTAACACTGGATCAATAAGAGGTGATCCTTACTGGACCTCTAGGAAGAACAACTTAGAACTGATAGAGCTATCCAGTATAAATAAAGTTAGTTTAGTTTAGGTTTCCTCTTGTAGTAACACTGGATCAATAAGAGATGATCCTTACAAGAACAGTTTAGAACAGAGCTATCAAGTATTAATGAACTTTTTTGCTCTATACTTACCTTAATTACGTTACCATAAAGACAAAACAAGTTAAACAGACGATCACAATTCATTCGCTCTGGATGCAGACCATAGACCATGAGTACACATCCCAATCCCCCGTCTGTGGGAAAAAGGTAAGTAAAGTATTATGTAAGTTGAGAGACGAAGGGGGGGGGGGTCTAAGGCATTCCAGGAAAGACGAAGGAAACAAGGTTTGGATGACGCGGGGGGGGGGTCGTAATAAAAAGAGTTGAAGACAAGTCGGTCAGAAACAGAAGTGTCACAAATGACCACCAACCTGGATTAAGGATTGTTTGGCCAGAGCCAATCACACTCTGGGGAGCTAAGGATAACGGTGAAAGACCTCCAGGACTGTTAGGAACACTTGGGAACAAACCAGCCAAATCAGAGTTATCCATACCAGGAGTAAGCGAAGTAGACATTGGATCGCACGAAGTGGAATCACCAGATACACCACTACTACCTAAAATGAAATCCGGGTCATTGGTATCACATGGGTTACTACATGTGTTTTACATTGCTTTGACCTCATTTTCTCACCTTGCAGGACACTTAGTTTGGACAAAATACCTGAAGAAGAAAGCAATAAACTCTCACAAAACTGAATCAGTCAAATAGACAGGCAACTCGTCAGTTTTACTTTGTTTTTCTTATCAAAATGGCCACAATTGATGCAAGCAATAATGTTATTAACGTAGTTTCTCACTATGAACTGTTGGAAATGCAGAAATCTTTGCCAAAGCATCATTTGAGATAGGTAATTGACCGCCAGGCATTGACATCGCTGGGAAAAAAAACATGTGACATCCCTATAAGCCCAGGTGACAAATGGCTGTAGATACATCTTCAGATATACCTTCAATCATGCGAGGGATAATATTGTTTTCATTAAACCCCATATGTTGGGTCGTGAGTGATTAAAAAGGGTCATGAGTGAATAGGAAGGAATGATTTAATAAAACATGTTCAAAAAAACAAGCATATTCTACAATTTGCCTCTTAAGACTTGTAAATTGTTGAAACATAAGACTACATACTGTTGAGAGGCGCAAGAACATTACTGGATCCACAGTCACCTGAAAATAAACGGGAACAGATCAATGTTAGGGTGCAATGTGATTAGGAATTTCTAAGCGACTGGCATTCGGTTCTTTAAATCCGTAATCAAGATGGGAGGTCCGGAATCTAAGAAAGGAATCTGGATTTCAAGAAATGCAACCCAAAATCCCTGAAAAAAAAAATGGAATCCAATGTATTGAATTGAGAATCCAATAAGGAAATCCTGAATCAAAGACATTCAGTCTGGAATCCAACAATCGGGAATGCAGGATCCAAGAAGAGAATTCGAGATATCCAGTCCGGAACATGCAATCCGAGAGACGTAGAATCAAGACGTAGAATCCGAAATCCAAAAAAGGCAACCGAAAATCCAAGAAATGCTACCTAGAATCTAGATGCCGCTTCGATTACCATACACGGAGATATGGATAAAACTGCAATTCTCTCAGGAACGTCATTCCACTCTAAAATTAGGCTCGAATTGAAGACACTTACCAGTTATGCATTCGTTATTATCTTGAGTAAAATCCCAGGTCTCTTCGTCATTTTTATACACATTTAATTTCTTCGCCTGAATGAATAGAAATCTGAACTGTCAAAACATGCATCATTCAATAGTTGTTAGGCAAACTGCAACATGCACGTAATGTTAGAGGTTAGAGTACCCGTGAATATTCGACTTTTAGTGTGCAACACCCAGGATAGATATCTTGCCCATTCAAATGTAATTTGGCCTGTTCTGCGGATTCAATACTGTCAAATGTGAACTTTGTTAAGGAAGAAATACAGTTAGGAACAGATTATATTAAACGTAAAAGGATCATATGACAAAGTGTGATGAATGCAGCAACGAAATCTTTCCCTAGCGATATAATTAGTCTTGGAGTGGTCATGTCTGATATTTTCATGATATTCAATCCAATGTCGGATTATACAGAGATCTGTCAAACGAGATATTCTGATAAATATAGCGACTTCTACCAGCGATCATTCCAGAAGGAGAAATCCTCACTGGTTTTTTAAAACTATAATTCATCTGTTATCTTACACACTTAGGACTAGTTGGGAAGCAACGATTATATTTCAAGGTACATGTGAAGCTTTTGTTCAACCAGATGAATAGTCTTCAATGAAATTTATCTTATCTTTACGAAAGTTCGCAAGGGGGATCTATTCGGTCTATCTTTACCAGTTCATGTTTAAAAGGATATTCGACAAGGCACTGCAAACCATTTTTATGAAAGATAACAATCTTTAAGACGTTGCCATATGGCGAGCAGACATGAGATATGACATTCTAAAATTATATATCATTTATCAAATGTCAATTTGCCTTGTCCTTTTTCTGTCAAAATACTTAAAAAATACGTGACGATGTATTGATATAACGGAAAGCAAAACAAGAAACTGTAGCAAGAGAAGCAATGAACGGGGAAACAAAAATACCAAAAAAATATCAACAACAATAAAGTCAATTAGCGATTAGATCTTGAGTTAAATTGATTAAAATACTAAAATATAGGGTTCTTCAACTAGATACTAATGGAAAACAGTCTGTGACGTCAATAGACAGGGAGAAAACAAGAACAATAAGTTTTAACACACAAATCAAACTAAGATTTAACAACAAAGACTGTTAAATTAAAGACAAACAAACGCAGGAAGACAACTAACCAACGTAACAGGTAATCAAAGTGGAGCATACTACTCACAACATCTATGGAATATAGCGCGTTCATAATCGTTAATAATAAAATATTTCCACATATATCTTGTTCACCAGGACTTTGAGGCGACATTGGAACGGGATAGTGACCGCTGGGAATCTTGTCTCTGAAAACATTTAACATTGAATCAACGATAGAGCAGGACAGGGGTTAATCCATGTCTAAATATGGGACGGTTTAGAGCAAGCTATCTCCGGGTACGACTCGATTCAGAAATCGCGATAAACCGTAGCTATATAGACAATACCTTTTTATTTCTTGACTTTTTGAGAAATTCACGTACATCTGTCTTCCCAATAATACAATAGGATTTCCCTGGAAGAGGCCAAAATATCGAAAACAAGTTAAAATTATACTTCTTAAGAACGTTCGTAAAGGAACTAAACTTGAAAATGGAATGGTTCTATTATGCGTTGGGCCATGGTCACATGTGGCTTATCTCATTCGCTAAACGCATTCAAAACAAAAGATAATAAGTAGAGATGTCTCAGAGTCAACATTTCTAAAGTTGATCAGAATTTACCGCCTTGGAACGCATGGTGCCACACGCAAAACGTTTGTCGTGAAGGTGAATAGTTTATCAGAAGATCTTTGAGTGAAGTCATAGTTGTATTGTTAAGGTTGAAAGTATATCGTGCTTGTTTGTACCTGGGCGAAGCGGACAAGCGCAACAGCAGAGTCAATATCCTAGAATAAAGATTTGTTAACTTAGAAAGGCTTAAACCATGATAAATTTACAGGACATTTGAGATATCAAAAAGACAACACATGCAAAGGTCGGGGAAAAATCTACGACAGTCTAAAAGGCTGTTCAACAACATTCTGGCTCGTTCTTGCGTCCCCATGCAGGCTGCCGGACAACTTGATAACGTTTTGCTTAAAGATTCCCCTCAGATTGAATTTACAAGCTTGTCACAATTTGTTCCCCCGAATTGTTATCGTCCCTACAATTCTGCAACTTGGCAACACTACATCCCAACATGCAACAAGTAAACGAAACTAAGGCTTTTATTGTGAAGATATATTGATAAAGCGATATCAACTGCTCTAAGTACCTCGAATTCCACCAAAGCTTGGCGTATTTTCGGAAGAAGAGCTACGTATCTGCAGAAAAAAACCCCAGCAACGTTATCTTGAAACATCGGTTCATTGGAATTAGGAAGGGAATTAGCTGGAATCCTGGCCAAAACCATCGCCAACACTTTAATTGATTTGTCACATTTCACGCAAATCATCTACGCTTCCGTGTCGAATTCCTCCTCGTCCCCTCCCCCCCCCACCAAATCATTTCTACATCTATGCTAAATGTTCGCATGACATATGACATAGTTGATTTGTGGGAGAAAGAGGGACAATTTTGAAAACAATCCTGCGACTTCTGATTGTCATGTGTGAATTAACAACGAGTGTTTAATGTTTTGAAAGATTGTGGGTAGCTTGTGGTTGTACCCCACCAGCATATCTCAATCAAATTGGGGAGTCCCCCTTCTTTCCCGCGCCCCAAAAAAAACTTCGAGAAGTGTCTATTTTAGACAGTTGTTATACGACATTTGATTGCGTCTAGTTTCAGCCCAGTGAACTTACGTTATTAACGTTGACAAACGGTTGTAAAACACCGATGAGATCCGTTTCTTTCGTACCGTCAGCCACCGCGCGGCAGTGAATAACCCTTGACGGAGGAGTGTCGTGGAGAGGATTGGGGATAGGATTCGATTCTAAAAATTGACATGACATATTTAAGGTGGCTGGCTGGCAAATTTTTTTTTGTCCAAAGGAAAAATCTTATCACACAGTCAGATAGCGCCAAAACCTAGTTACAACTTATCTGATGTCAGAATAAAAACATACAAATTAAGCTAACAGGTTATTTTCAAACAAATCACCTAGTAAGCATAAAATTTAGCCAAGGTAATCGATTTTAATTTTCAGATAACTGCTTCGCTGCCACTGTTTTTATTTTAACTTTAGACATAATTTTAAGCATAGAATTAAAAAAATAATCAAGTCTCATGCTTAGTTACGATTGTTTTGATGTTGTGGTAAACATAAATAAATCGTAATCAATGCACATTCTCTGATAATTCTTTATTTTCATACCAAGATACGACGATTCTGATAAAGAAAGCATAAAATTCATGACAAACTCACATTTTCTTGTAACTCCCAAACCTAGCTACGGTATTTTTAATTCATATTTTTGGATAAGTCTCATGCTTAGTTACGATTGTTTTGATGTTGTGGTAAACATAAATAAATCGTAATCAATGCTGATAATTCTTTATTTTCATACCAAGATACGACGATTCTGATGAAGAAAGCATAAAATTCATGACAAACTCACACTTTCTTGTAACTCCCAAACCTAGCTACGGTATTTTTAATGATGTGAGCATAGAATTAATAAACAAATTGGGTGACAAGAGACAAACAAGGGAATATTAGGACAAGCCAATTTATCAGCTCGCAAACTACACCCCTGTGTTTAAGGCAACGATGAGTAAAATTATTAATGATTCATCAAAACCTCCGGGGGGAGCGCACATCGTACCTTGCCACAACTTTCCGTAGTTGCGTCTAATTTTTGCTCCCAAATTAGTTAAAGATTTACTCATATAGCTACTAATGACCAATACGGTAATTGACGACTGGATATAAGCACATCTGAGATGAATACCTTTCTTTCTAACATGAACGTCTGAATCTCTTTCAAAACGACTACACTTCTTACCTTTTTTCAACGAATACATTTAGGTCGTAAAACATTCGTGCACAACTTGACAAGCTCTCGTTAAACATGCCAGGAAAACGCAGCCGAACGACGCAAATGCGTTGTTCTTTAGAGTCATGCTAGCTAAATTTAGCGCGACGACAGACGAGTCGGTTTAAGGAATTGTCCTCTTTGACCTTCTAACCTAGTTAAGACGTATATTTGACGTACTAGGTCTGTTTACCGAAACAACGTTAGAAAAAAAATTTGCATTAATTTCAAGAAAACCGTTATCTCGGGGTTTTGGCTTTGTTAATACGCTGTCAGTTGCCATGTTTTCGGTTAACCAAATCTCGTTGAAAACGCAGAGGTGAGGTACTTCAGAGAACAATCAGTCCCTTATAAGTACAGATGTAATACCATATTCGGAATATTTTGGTATGACGGTAATTGCCTCTGTCAAATGATACATATTAAATATAGATTTGCTATAGCGTTAAGGATTTGTGGTGTCTATATCAAAACAACTAGTAAAACAGGCTCGCTTAGTTTCATATTTCAGAAGCATAATCGGATATTTTTTTGTCCAAATAATTAGAATTTAGAAACATTCGATGGACTTCTTAGAATGTACTGAAACGTTTCGAATTGTTACGGAATTTCTGAGAATGTAATTTGACTTTTCAGGAAGTAATTTATCAGGGAGAATTTTAAATTCTCAGACTGTAACGTGACTTTTAAAAACCTAATGTGAATTCTCGGGAAGTCTTGCATGCAACTGCCTAAGGTTTTTTAATATAGAGTAACATAACATAAACGAATTTTCTAAAATTTCTATTTTAGATTCAATCGTTATAAAACATTTTATACTTAGAGTATAATATCAATAAAAATAATACTTATTCCAAACAAAGATGGTAATTGACCACAGCGGTTATTATCGTATGAAAACAGAGTATTTAAAACTTCAATTTTGAAGCCATTTTCTCGGCTGCAAGAATAAAAGCAAATACACTTTTATGATCCAATTCATATTTAATCTCCAAGTGTGTCAAAGAAGATAGCTTTCAAGTGTTTTTGGTAACGATGACCCACTTTATAGCTACCGTCTTTATATTATTATAAGGACACACACGCAGGTGCAATGAAGCAAACAGGAGTCGCGCAAAGGTTTCACAAAACTGTCTACGGTTTTAACTCAGCGAGATCTCATTCAACGTGGATTGCGCTGATCATGAAAGCATTGTGAGAAACATTTCGTGAGAAACGGCAATCTCTATCTAAGGGGTTGTTTACACAGATATATGCATGCATGCATGCATGAATACACGGAGAGTGCATGCCACGTTGGATTTTAACACCAAACGTTAGCTTCAGGGCGAAAAGCTGAGAGGAAAGGGAGGTTACCGGCTATTAGAATAAGCGCGAACTTGCTTTAGAGTTAATGAAAGCGTTTCGTTAGCCCAAGAAAAGGTTTTCGTGACTTAAACGAACCCTTCTAACGTTAACAGCACTGAAGATCGATTCATGCATTCACAAGGAGTAGCTTGATGGGACTTCTGCACTCGTTAATACAGTTAGGCGGTTAATGCCTGTTGTTTGTCCACATACACTATGCTTATATATACTCCTTATATAAACAAAGTATGCTCAAAGATGAACATTTGCTTTCGTTGATTCTGTGAAAATTGCAGCAGATTTTCTTAAGTGTTCGTCGACTGCACAACACTCAAGGCTCTCAAACATACTGGACCGAATCACTCAACATCGCACTTTGCATTTTGGCATTTAAAACAAGGAAATTGATGCAGTGCGGATTACCTTTAGCAACGATTAGGGAATGATTGAAAGAAAGAACAACAAAATTTCAGGATTTGGATTTCTTATCTCTGCTCAATTGGACTTTTAACTCCGCGAGAATGAAAGCCGTTTGACGTGAAGCCCTCGTGAGACGAGAATAAGAGCAGATATCGTCGAGATAGGAAGAGTTCATGATGACCACTAGTATCTGATCAACTACCGTTAGAAAAGACTGAAAACGTGTTGCAAATGAAACTAAAAAGCGACGTGTTGCAAATCAACTTTGATGATGAAAGTTTCATAAACTATATCATCTCCCAGGGTAAACGCCGGCTACCCCATGGTCAAAAGATTACAAAATATTAAAAAAAAACAACATCACGTCACGAAAAACGACTGTTGTTACAAGGGAAATTACTGCATCTAAACGTGCTTTCGTTAGCCGCGCTAAATCCTAAACACGCTTTTTGCATTTATTAAACAAATCTGAGTATAAACCATTTGTGTTTTATACAAACGAGCAAGTTGCGCAAGAGAGGTGAGATGAAACAAGTATATCTTGTTTGGAAAATATTAAAGCCGCTGAGTGCAAGTTGTATGCATGGAGGGGGTACAAATCGTTTCTCATTCAGGTCTGAAAAATGCAGGAAAATTATATATAGTATATAATCCTTTCACAAACGATTTCCACAGATATATCATGCGGCATTATAGATTGTACAAGATTTTTCCCGAGAGATAAATTGCTTATATATCTGAATCAATAATTTACAGTATCGCTTAATTTGTGCAATTCTCTTAGTCTGGAAAGCGCTAGACAGCCAAATAAAATCGCTCTGTAGACACCACAAAATTTGGAGGTTATTAATCGGCCGCGATCTTGCGTTTGCCCGCTAAAAATCGATGTGAAATCATACGTTGATATCCGACGCGCACTAGTGCAATATACACAAGTGAATGTTGCAAAATACATGTCTCTAAGCAGAAATATACGTCGACAAATATATCCCTCTCTTCTCTAGTGTTTACACTTGGAAAGAAAAACAGCTGCTCCGGGCAACTTTGTGCGACTGAACACTTCCAATTAAAAATGCCAGACTCGAGCAAAACAAAACGAGATTAGGAGAGACAGAATTTTCTCGCTTGGGAATGGATGAGCTTAGGCGAATGCGATGTTCTGCCTATTCTATATGATTTTTAAGAACTTTCCCATGGTCTTGACATTCTTGAGAAATTTGAATAAGAGAAGCAATTAATAGATTAAAACTGAAGCTTTAATATGAAATATTTTTCACAAATGCTGTCAGGTAAATCTTATTATATAATCTGCAAAATTTCAATTATTCCCGATGCAATTACTTTTAAGGCTTCGACGTATAAGAAAAATCCAGCCTATTCCTTCAAGGAATATCATGATTTCGGAGAAAAATACTCACAAAATGTTGCAAGTTAGAAGCTTGTAAAACGCTTCGAGGTTTCCTGGGTCGGTTTAGCTGAAAGCTTAAAGTATACGCTACAAACAATACTAATTTTGAAAAACAAGAGTCGTAGTCTGAACCGACATTATTCAATTCAGACATAAACATTCACGAACAATATCATAATTTGCAATGTATTTCGACACAATGCCGAGGCACTTGCAGATAAACGTCATTGAAGAAACGAAGTATGGCTGCATGACGGACAGAATAAGCGTTTAGATGATTTTATTACACACGAAATGAATAGGAAACGATGTAGCATTGCGCAAAAAAGTTACAGCTTTACCTCAGTATAAAAAAATAATCGGCTTGAAGCCTGATCGCGAGCCAGGCAATTTTAAATTATGATAAACATTTTAGTTGGGGGTCTTATGGAAATCGTATTTTTTGTTCTGGTCTGGACAGTCCGTTATCTGCGCCCATCTGCCATCGATAATTAAGCACGAAAATTGCAACAAAGCAGAGAAAACCAAAGCATAATCAATTTTACTCTCTAGATAATCTGTTTGTGAAAGAAACGGCGATGTAAGCTTCGCGTAGCAGCGAATAAGACGACCCTGTTATACATTCGAGAGCATTTTGGTTAGCAATGGGGGGTAACTAATCATTAAGTTGTTGTAAAAGGGCACAGTGGGTAGCGATTTCAAAACAAAGAATTCAAACAGAAACGAAACAGATCAGGAATAGCTGTGTCTTATTTCTCATCCTTTTTAAACGCTTTTCGCATTCACATTCAGGCTGTATTTCCTAGTTTATGAAATATACTGGATTGAATATCGAATTAAACTCTGTCTAATTGAGATATTAAATAACCTGCGTTTTCAAAATATTTCACTCGTCTGGAACAAGTAAAACAATTGCTTCAGTCTGCCTTCGCTAATTTCCGTTTTTGGTATCATATTTTGGTCTTCACGAGACAGCAAACGATTAAAGGTCATATAAAGACACTTTCCTTTAAACCTCATGCATAATCGGGGAAAAAGAAATCAAAATTAGTGATTAATTAATATGTCCGACTATGCCTCATTTACATAATAAACATACACTTATTTCCTCGTGTATTTTGAAGCAGAAATCTACGGCAATACGTGAATCTCGAATCGCAACACAAAGTACATACGAAGGGTCAGAAATAACATCGCTAAATATGTTAAACATTTATACCCAAGGCAAGTTTGCAACACCTTATGTATTCATTTACGAATGTAACTTTGATCAATCGCTTAGCAAAATACACAAAACCATGCGTTAAATATTTATAATATGCCCTTTACGCGTTGCGAGAATAACAAAGACCATGTATACAAATTTGAGCATACCTGTGAGTTCTGTCGTTAAATTTTCTTTATTTTCGCAGTCTAAGTTCGCCGAGAATCTAGCGCTGCCATCGATATTACTTGAAAAATTTAAGCGTGTCTCGTTTGGGCTTAAATTCGAGCCATAACAAGAGTTCTCGTTTGGAGTGTCTGTGGATGTTTTGATTTGCGCCTCTGTCGGGGGGCTTTGCGACAAGCTACCGATGCCTGCTTCAATGTCTGCAATGTTTCCCGTTTGATTAACGCCAGCCTTGTAGAATTTGACAAACTTGGACTCGGAGAAGTCTGTTTTTTGCCGTCCTTCCATCTTGGGTTTCTTATGCGGGGATTCTACAGCGGGTAGCATAGCGGTATCGAGACTCCTTCGCTCCGTTCCAAAGGTTATAACATCTTCTGCGGACAATTCGCTGACTCGACTGACTAACACGAGGTCAGCTGTACGCCTCACGGGCTCAGGGAAAATCTGGGGAATTTTTACGTATTTCCGTTACATGCGTCAACCAATCACAGCGCGTTCGAATAATTTCTGACCAATCGCGGCTCGCGATTCAACATCAAATCTCCAGCCCACTTTTCGCGTTGCCAGTAATCAAAAACCGCTTATTAATTTTGCATATCTCCTGTCTAGTGTGCGTAATTACACCCCTGGCTTCAATCTAATGATTTTGTTCTAATTGGTTTCCTCATCCAATCAAATTCAATCAAGAATATTCCAGTGATATTTCACTGCAATTTATACGTTTCGCGTCGTTATTTGGTTTCCGATAAATCACTCAATTTTCGGCGATTGCAACTCATCAGAGTTCGAGCATTTTCCCAATCCGACAAACTCGGTTTTTGCAACTTTTGATTCCACGTTGTTTAGTTTGTTCGCACACGTCGAGATTCACCGTTTTTGCGGCAGCAAACTGTTATTTGGAAAGGTCATATGAGTATAGTTTTGATAGCGTATAAAGAAAAACATAAAAAATTCACTACCTTAAAAGGCATGATGTCGCGTCATATATGGTGAACAGAAATAAAAAGATCTGGTTGAAAACGAAATCAGCTTAAAGCAATGCCAATTGTCATTCAGTAACACATTTTGGGCGTAATGCTACGATTGTTCAAAAAAACTGCAAACTTAAACGCAGAAAAAATCCTCAAGAGCCGTTATCAGACCTAATGACTGCTGTTTATTTGGAACTTTAGATATAGTTTGAGGTACGGGACTATGGGTGGCACTAGGGATTCTCTAACCAAGAGTGGGTTAAGTAGACCTCCGGTATTAGAGACTAACAAACGCTGTATCGTTTATCGAAATTCTCTCCGGGGAATTAAGAAGATGTTTTGTTGTTTTTAGAACAGTATTTACATACGAACGCATGGAGTGCTTTTAGGAAAGGCAGATTAAAATTTCATTAGGATGGAATATGGTTCCCCAGCGACAGAACATCTGGTTTGACTGACGAGTATACGCATCGGAAATTCTCCTCCGTATTTACAAACTGGGAATAGTGAGGAATTTAATTACAGTAACCTCTAATACTCCAAATCCCCAGCAGCACTTTAGCCGTTGCAAATACCGAGAGCTAAACTCTCCTTGCTTCGGATTAACAGCTGTTGTTATAAACTGCCGCGTTGGAAGAATAACGGTGATTATCTAATGATGTTGTTCAAAAAAACCTTTCAAACAACGGCTTTGAATTTCTCTTTGTATAAAAACTGAACAGTTTCTAATGATAGTCGAGTTCTAATGATAGGGAATTCAAAAAGGCGCTACACCACCTGAGGTCAACGCCAGCTATATGTTTTAAGTGTGTGAAATATTTTAATGAAATTTTCGAGATGAATAATTGAAAAACCGCTGCCAGGAGCATCGCCTGTAACGGTTGCTCTAAGTATTTGGTAAGCCAGTTGATGATAAGATATCTCAGCCTTAATCCCTTGGGTGCCCAAGAGAGTGCTTAACCATTGATAGATTAAACGTAGGTCTTGCCAAATGATTAATATCACGGAAACTTGAGACTTCTGGATACGTCAATCCGGACTCGGTTGCACTAAATACGGAATTCTTGTAGCTGTTCCACACGCAGGCTCTGCCATTAGTAGTACATCTTTAATTTACGTTGGACGATCAGCTATCAAAACAATAGTACAGTCTCGTTATGCATGTCATTTGGAAGCCTCATTAGAGCTTTTAAACAATCAAAATATTTGCTAATGAATCATTAATAATGATTATCTGTTGTTTTCCACCTCGTCAACATAGAAAATGTTAATAATTCAGAAATAATCATGCGGTTTATATGGACCAATGTGTCATGAAACGTCCCGAGAATATAAAAAAACGAATTTGAATCACTTTGTTGTGCCCGGCTTCGCATAACAGAGACTGCAAATCTCGAAGCTTGTAAACCGTTTTAACGATTTTTTTCCAACAGACGCGTTAACACTCAATCGTTTTGGAATAAATAAATATATACACTTATGCACAAAAAATGACAATCAGTTTGTTTTAAACTTTTATTAAGTGTTTATACATACATAAATTTTAGCGACATTTTACACCTTGAGATAAATAAATAATATATACCGAACACAACAATATTGTTATGCACCTTTCCGTGTGTCCGACAGCTTTGGCCTTTTATTTAAATAAAGTCCATTTTCAGCTGCTAAAATATGAACAATATATGACTTGAAGCAATACGTTAAAGATATACAACATTGAAATATGATTGGTTAACCGTTCCTCTCTCTTATTGGTTAGCTGCATTCGCGCCTTTTCTCCTGGCAGCAGTCAACTGGGCCCTGACCTCGACCAGTTCCGTGCGCAAGTTCTTTACGTTCGTGCGTTCTTTCTCGAGGTCAACGGTCAGATTCGTGACATCGTCGACCAATTCGTTTTTGATTTCGGTCAGTTCGTTGACCTGCGCAATCAGCTGTGGTTTGCCTTGCATATTCGATGCCTTGATGACCGTCTCGAGTTCCTTGCAACGTTTCCTCGTTGTTTTCAGCTCGTCTCGCTGCTTACGTGACATTTCCCTCATTCGACCAATCACGACGAGTTTCTCGTCAAGGAGAACTTGCATCTTCATCACCCGCTCCGTGTCCCACGGCCTCTTCACCAGTAGACTTTGAATTTCGTCGCCCGCATTCCCCTCCACGTCAGGCACTTGCACAGCGGCGTCTACAAAGGTGCTCTGTGGACACGTGGACGTCGACGCGTCTTTCATAACCGGTTTGACTCGTTGAGGGTTTTCTTGTTTCGCAAGTAATTCAGGTTTGATCTTAGGCGCATTTTTGTTTCCTTGTGAATTTTTTACCGCCGTCATCGCCAGATTCTCGCGTCTGTTGTTGTACTCGATGTTAAACTTCTGTCCGTCCTTGGAATACATAACTCTCCTCTTCGTCACGTTGCCGGATCCTGCCGGAGCCTGTCGCGTTGTTTCGCCATTTCCAGGTGGGGTCACACCAGCCGATTTCACGGGCTTTGCAAGGCCCGGTGCTTTTCGCCTGTTTGCGGGTTGGTTTGTGCTAGCGCTCGGAGTTTGCCGGCTGGAAACGTGAGTTGCAGGTTGCTTTACGACTTCGGAGTAAGCCTGTTTTACGGGAGGCCCGATTTGAGAAGGATTTTGAGGGATGACGGTTTGTTGGACGCACTTTCGAGGCATCGGGCTTTGCAGGTGGGCCTGTTGAGAGCCCAGGGTTTGTGACTTAGAAACTGCCGTCTTAGAACTTTGTGCTGAAGGAGTTTTCGAGTTTACCAGCTGGTGCGATTTTGGGTTTTGCCGGGCAGAAGTGCAGCGAGGATCTTGCATACCTGACTGGGGACATTGGAGATCATGAGATTTGGAACTCTGAGGAGCCTTAGAACTTTGAGGGACTTTGGAGCCCTGACTGGCCATGGGAGGCTTTGCACCGTTTCTTTGTCCCTTTTGACCGACTTGTGCTGCGGGGTTTCGCTGCTGCGTCGCTCTTTGATTATCCGGGGAGACTGGTGCTGGATTGACGAGCGCTGAACTGTGTGCAAGGGCTGGATTGTTTGCACAGGAGGCGTTGCTAGGTGTGGGGTTATTCAATCCAAAGCATCCGGCGGTTAAAACATTTCTTAAATATTCGGGCTCTTGAGCGACCGAGGTGCTGGGATCGATATTTTTGTGTTTAACAATCTGCAATTAGACACGTATGATGCTCTTGACTTTCAGAATGATCAAAATAATTTTGGTAATCTTACCATTCAAAGTAAGAGGCTTCATGCTGTACATCGGCATACCAAATTACTAACTCAATCCCCAGACAAGTCAAAACATTGTAAATCTGAAAACATTTAACATTGAATCAACGATAGAGCAGGACAGGGGTTAATCCATGTCTAAATATGGGACGGTTTAGAGCAAGCTATCTCCGGGTACGACTCGATTCAGAAATCGCGATAAACCGTAGCTATATAGACAATACCTTTTTATTTCTTGACTTTTTGAGAAATTCACGTACATCTGTCTTCCCAATAATACAATAGGATTTCCCTGGAAGAGGCCAAAATATCGAAAACAAGTTAAAATTATACTTCTTAAGAACGTTCGTAAAGGAACTAAACTTGAAAATGGAATGGTTCTATTATGCGTTGGGCCATGGTCACATGTGGCTTATCTCATTCGCTAAACGCATTCAAAACAAAAGATAATAAGTAGAGATGTCTCAGAGTCAACATTTCTAAAGTTGATCAGAATTTACCGCCTTGGAACGCATGGTGCCACACGCAAAACGTTTGTCGTGAAGGTGAATAGTTTATCAGAAGATCTTTGAGTGAAGTCATAGTTGTATTGTTAAGGTTGAAAGTATATCGTGCTTGTTTGTACCTGGGCGAAGCGGACAAGCGCAACAGCAGAGTCAATATCCTAGAATAAAGATTTGTTAACTTAGAAAGGCTTAAACCATGATAAATTTACAGGACATTTGAGATATCAAAAAGACAACACATGCAAAGGTCGGGGAAAAATCTACGACAGTCTAAAAGGCTGTTCAACAACATTCTGGCTCGTTCTTGCGTCCCCATGCAGGCTGCCGGACAACTTGATAACGTTTTGCTTAAAGATTCCCCTCAGATTGAATTTACAAGCTTGTCACAATTTGTTCCCCCGAATTGTTATCGTCCCTACAATTCTGCAACTTGGCAACACTACATCCCAACATGCAACAAGTAAACGAAACTAAGGCTTTTATTGTGAAGATATATTGATAAAGCGATATCAACTGCTCTAAGTACCTCGAATTCCACCAAAGCTTGGCGTATTTTCGGAAGAAGAGCTACGTATCTGCAGAAAAAAACCCCAGCAACGTTATCTTGAAACATCGGTTCATTGGAATTAGGAAGGGAATTAGCTGGAATCCTGGCCAAAACCATCGCCAACACTTTAATTGATTTGTCACATTTCACGCAAATCATCTACGCTTCCGTGTCGAATTCCTCCTCGTCCCCTCCCCCCCCCCACCAAATCATTTCTACATCTATGCTAAATGTTCGCATGACATATGACATAGTTGATTTGTGGGAGAAAGAGGGACAATTTTGAAAACAATCCTGCGACTTCTGATTGTCATGTGTGAATTAACAACGAGTGTTTAATGTTTTGATAAAGATTGTGGGTAGCTTGTGGTTGTACCCCACCAGCATATCTCAATCAAATTGGGGAGTCCCCCTTCTTTCCCGCGCCCCAAAAAAAACTTCGAGAAGTGTCTATTTTAGACAGTTGTTATACGACATTTGATTGCGTCTAGTTTCAGCCCAGTGAACTTACGTTATTTTGCCAAACGGTTGTAAAACACCGATGAGATCCGTTTCTTTCGTACCGTCAGCCACCGCGCGGCAGTGAATAACCCTTGACGGAGGAGTGTCGTGGAGAGGATTGGGGATAGGATTCGATTCTAAAAATTGACATGACATATTTAAGGTGGCTGGCTGGCAAATTTTTTTTTGTCCAAAGGAAAAATCTTATCACACAGTCAGATAGCGCCAAAACCTAGTTACAACTTATCTGATAATGTCAGAATAAAAACATACAAATTAAGCTAACAGGTTCATATTTTCAAACAAATCACCTAGTAAGCATAAAATTTAGCCAAGGTAATCGATTTTAATTTTCAGATAACTGCTTCGCTGCCACTGTTTTTATTTTAACTTTAGACATAATTTTAAGCATAGAATTAAACTAAAATAATCAAGTCTCATGCTTAGTTACGATTGTTTTGATGTTGTGGTAAACATAAATAAATCGTAATCAATGCACATTCTCTGATAATTCTTTATTTTCATACCAAGATACGACGATTCTGATAAAGAAAGCATAAAATTCATGACAAACTCACATTTTCTTGTAACTCCCAAACCTAGCTACGGTATTTTTAATTCATATTTTTGGATAAGTCTCATGCTTAGTTACGATTGTTTTGATGTTGTGGTAAACATAAATAAATCGTAATCAATGCTGATAATTCTTTATTTTCATACCAAGATACGACGATTCTGATGAAGAAAGCATAAAATTCATGACAAACTCACACTTTCTTGTAACTCCCAAACCTAGCTACGGTATTTTTAATGATGTGAGCATAGAATTAATAAACAAATTGGGTGACAAGAGACAAACAAGGGAATATTAGGACAAGCCAATTTATCAGCTCGCAAACTACACCCCTGTGTTTAAGGCAACGATGAGTAAAATTATTAATGATTCATCAAAACCTCCGGGGGGAGCGCACATCGTACCTTGCCACAACTTTCCGTAGTTGCGTCTAATTTTTGCTCCCAAATTAGTTAAAGATTTACTCATATAGCTACTAATGACCAATACGGTAATTGACGACTGGATATAAGCACATCTGAGATGAATACCTTTCTTTCTAACATGAACGTCTGAATCTCTTTCAAAACGACTACACTTCTTACCTTTTTTCAACGAATACATTTAGGTCGTAAAACATTCGTGCACAACTTGACAAGCTCTCGTTAAACATGCCAGGAAAACGCAGCCGAACGACGCAAATGCGTTGTTCTTTAGAGTCATGCTAGCTAAATTTAGCGCGACGACAGACGAGTCGGTTTAAGGAATTGTCCTCTTTGACCTTCTAACCTAGTTAAGACGTATATTTGACGTACTAGGTCTGTTTACCGAAACAACGTTAGAAAAAAAATTTGCATTAATTTCAAGAAAACCGTTATCTCGGGGTTTTGGCTTTGTTAATACGCTGTCAGTTGCCATGTTTTCGGTTAACCAAATCTCGTTGAAAACGCAGAGGTGAGGTACTTCAGAGAACAATCAGTCCCTTATAAGTACAGATGTAATACCATATTCGGAATATTTTGGTATGACGGTAATTGCCTCTGTCAAATGATACATATTAAATATAGATTTGCTATAGCGTTAAGGATTTGTGGTGTCTATATCAAAACAACTAGTAAAACAGGCTCGCTTAGTTTCATATTTCAGAAGCATAATCGGATATTTTTTTGTCCAAATAATTAGAATTTAGAAACATTCGATGGACTTCTTAGAATGTACTGAAACGTTTCGAATTGTTACGGAATTTCTGAGAATGTAATTTGACTTTTCAGGAAGTAATTTATCAGGGAGAATTTTAAATTCTCAGACTGTAACGTGACTTTTAAAAACCTAATGTGAATTCTCGGGAAGTCTTGCATGCAACTGCCTAAGGTTTTTTAATATAGAGTAACATAACATAAACGAATTTTCTAAAATTTCTATTTTAGATTCAATCGTTATAAAACATTTTATACTTAGAGTATATATCAATAAAAATAATACTTATTCCAAACAAAGATGGTAATTGACCACAGCGGTTATTATCGTATGAAAACAGAGTATTTAAAACTTCAATTTTGAAGCCATTTTCTCGGCTGCAAGAATAAAAGCAAATACACTTTTATGATCCAATTCATATTTAATCTCCAAGTGTGTCAAAGAAGATAGCTTTCAAGTGTTTTTGGTAACGATGACCCACTTTATAGCTACCGTCTTTATATTATAAGGACACACACGCAGGTGCAATGAAGCAAACAGGAGTCGCGCAAAGGTTTCACAAAACTGTCTACGGTTTTAACTCAGCGAGATCTCATTCAACGTGGATTGCGCTGATCATGAAAGCATTGTGAGAAACATTTCGTGAGAAACGGCAATCTCTATCTAAGGGGTTGTTTACACAGATATATGCATGCATGCATGCATGAATACACGGAGAGTGCATGCCACGTTGGATTTTAACACCAAACGTTAGCTTCAGGGCGAAAAGCTGAGAGGAAAGGGAGGTTACCGGCTATTAGAATAAGCGCGAACTTGCTTTAGAGTTAATGAAAGCGTTTCGTTAGCCCAAGAAAAGGTTTTCGTGACTTAAACGAACCCTTCTAACGTTAACAGCACTGAAGATCGATTCATGCATTCACAAGGAGTAGCTTGATGGGACTTCTGCACTCGTTAATACAGTTAGGCGGTTAATGCCTGTTGTTTGTCCACATACACTATGCTTATATATACTCCTTATATAAACAAAGTATGCTCAAAGATGAACATTTGCTTTCGTTGATTCTGTGAAAATTGCAGCAGATTTTCTTAAGTGTTCGTCGACTGCACAACACTCAAGGCTCTCAAACATACTGGACCGAATCACTCAACATCGCACTTTGCATTTTGGCATTTAAAACAAGGAAATTGATGCAGTGCGGATTACCTTTAGCAACGATTAGGGAATGATTGAAAGAAAGAACAACAAAATTTCAGGATTTGGATTTCTTATCTCTGCTCAATTGGACTTTTAACTCCGCGAGAATGAAAGCCGTTTGACGTGAAGCCCTCGTGAGACGAGAATAAGAGCAGATATCGTCGAGATAGGAAGAGATTCATGATGACCACTAGTATCTGATCAACTACCGTTAGAAAAGACTGAAAACGTGTTGCAAATGAAACTAAAAAGCGACGTGTTGCAAATCAACTTTGATGATGAAAGTTTCATAAACTATATCATCTCCCAGGGTAAACGCCGGCTACCCCATGGTCAAAAGATTACAAAATATTAAAAAAAACAACATCACGTCACGAAAAACGACTGTTGTTACAAGGGAAATTACTGCATCTAAACGTGCTTTCGTTAGCCGCGCTAAATCCTAAACACGCTTTTTGCATTTATTAAACAAATCTGAGTATAAACCATTTGTGTTTTATACAAACGAGCAAGTTGCGCAAGAGAGGTGAGATGAAACAAGTATATCTTGTTTGGAAAATATTAAAGCCGCTGAGTGCAAGTTGTATGCATGGAGGGGGTACAAATCGTTTCTCATTCAGGTCTGAAAAATGCAGGAAAATTATATATAGTATATAATCCTTTCACAAACGATTTCCACAGATATATCATGCGGCATTATAGATTGTACAAGATTTTTCCCGAGAGATAAATTGCTTATATATCTGAATCAATAATTTACAGTATCGCTTAATTTGTGCAATTCTCTTAGTCTGGAAAGCGCTAGACAGCCAAATAAAATCGCTCTGTAGACACCACAAAATTTGGAGGTTATTAATCGGCCGCGATCTTGCGTTTGCCCGCTAAAAATCGATGTGAAATCATACGTTGATATCCGACGCGCACTAGTGCAATATACACAAGTGAATGTTGCAAAATACATGTCTCTAAGCAGAAATATACGTCGACAAATATATCCCTCTCTTCTCTAGTGTTTACACTTGGAAAGAAAAACAGCTGCTCCGGGCAACTTTGTGCGACTGAACACTTCCAATTAAAAATGCCAGACTCGAGCAAAACAAAACGAGATTAGGAGAGACAGAATTTTCTCGCTTGGGAATGGATGAGCTTAGGCGAATGCGATGTTCTGCCTATTCTATATGATTTTTAAGAACTTTCCCATGGTCTTGACATTCTTGAGAAATTTGAATAAGAGAAGCAATTAATAGATTAAAACTGAAGCTTTAATATGAAATATTTTTCACAAATGCTGTCAGGTAAATCTTATTATATAATCTGCAAAATTTCAATTATTCCCGATGCAATTACTTTTAAGGCTTCGACGTATAAGAAAAATCCAGCCTATTCCTTCAAGGAATATCATGATTTCGGAGAAAAATACTCACAAAATGTTGCAAGTTAGAAGCTTGTAAAACGCTTCGAGGTTTCCGGGTCGGTTTAGCTGAAAGCTTAAAGTATACGCTACAAACAATACTAATTTTGAAAAACAAGAGTCGTAGTCTGAACCGACATTATTCAATTCAGACATAAACATTCACGAACAATATCATAATTTGCAATGTATTTCGACACAATGCCGAGGCACTTGCAGATAAACGTCATTGAAGAAACGAAGTATGGCTGCATGACGGACAGAATAAGCGTTTAGATGATTTTATTACACACGAAATGAATAGGAAACGATGTAGCATTGCGCAAAAAAGTTACAGCTTTACCTCAGTATAAAAAATAATCGGCTTGAAGCCTGATCGCGAGCCAGGCAATTTTAAATTATGATAAACATTTTAGTTGGGGGTCTTATGGAAATCGTATTTTTTGTTCTGGTCTGGACAGTCCGTTATCTGCGCCCATCTGCCATCGATAATTAAGCACGAAAATTGCAACAAAGCAGAGAAAACCAAAGCATAATCAATTTTACTCTCTAGATAATCTGTTTGTGAAAGAAACGGCGATGTAAGCTTCGCGTAGCAGCGAATAAGACGACCCTGTTATACATTCGAGAGCATTTTGGTTAGCAATGGGGGGTAACTAATCATTAAGTTGTTGTAAAAGGGCACAGTGGGTAGCGATTTCAAAACAAAGAATTCAAACAGAAACGAAACAGATCAGGAATAGCTGTGTCTTATTTCTCATCCTTTTTAAACGCTTTTCGCATTCACATTCAGGCTGTATTTCCTAGTTTATGAAATATACTGGATTGAATATCGAATTAAACTCTGTCTAATTGAGATATTAAATAACCTGCGTTTTCAAAATATTTCACTCGTCTGGAACAAGTAAAACAATTGCTTCAGTCTGCCTTCGCTAATTTCCGTTTTTGGTATCATATTTTGGTCTTCACGAGACAGCAAACGATTAAAGGTCATATAAAGACACTTTCCTTTAAACCTCATGCATAATCGGGGAAAAAGAAATCAAAATTAGTGATTAATTAATATGTCCGACTATGCCTCATTTACATAATAAACATACACTTATTTCCTCGTGTATTTTGAAGCAGAAATCTACGGCAATACGTGAATCTCGAATCGCAACACAAAGTACATACGAAGGGTCAGAAATAACATCGCTAAATATGTTAAACATTTATACCCAAGGCAAGTTTGCAACACCTTAGTATTCATTTACGAATGTAACTTTGATCAATCGCTTAGCAAAATACACAAAACCATGCGTTAAATATTTATAATATGCCCTTTACGCGTTGCGAGAATAACAAAGACCATGTATACAAATTTGAGCATACCTGTGAGTTCTGTCGTTAAATTTTCTTTATTTTCGCAGTCTAAGTTCGAGAATCTAGCGCTGCCATCGATATTACTTGAAAAATTTAAGCGTGTCTCGTTTGGGCTTAAATTCGAGCCATAACAAGAGTTCTCGTTTGGAGTGTCTGTGGATGTTTTGATTTGCGCCTCTGTCGGGGGCTTTGCGACAAGCTACCGATGCCTGCTTCAATGTCTGCAATGTTTCCCGTTTGATTAACGCCAGCCTTGTAGAATTTGACAAACTTGGACTCGGAGAAGTCTGTTTTTTGCCGTCCTTCCATCTTGGGTTTCTTATGCGGGGATTCTACAGCGGGTAGCATAGCGGTATCGAGACTCCTTCGCTCCGTTCCAAAGGTTATAACATCTTCTGCGGACAATTCGCTGACTCGACTGACTAACACGAGGTCAGCTGTACGCCTCACGGGCTCAGGGAAAATCTGGGGAATTTTTACGTATTTCCGTTACATGCGTCAACCAATCACAGCGCGTTCGAATAATTTCGACCAATCGCGGCTCGCGATTCAACATCAAATCTCCAGCCCACTTTTCGCGTTGCCAGTAATCAAAAACCGCTTATTAATTTTGCATATCTCCTGTCTAGTGTGCGTAATTACACCCCTGGCTTCAATCTAATGATTTTGTTCTAATTGGTTTCCTCATCCAATCAAATTCAATCAAGAATATTCCAGTGATATTTCACTGCAATTTATACGTTTCGCGTCGTTATTTGGTTTCCGATAAATCACTCAATTTTCGGCGATCGCAACTCATCAGAGTTCGAGCATTTTCCCAATCCGACAAACTCGGTTTTTGCAACTTTTGATTCCATGTAGTTTAGTTTGTTCGCACACGTCGAGATTCACCGTTTTCGCGGCAGCAAACTGTTATTTGGAAAGGTCATATGAGTATAGTTTTGATAGCGTATAAAGAAAAACATAAAAAATTCACTACCTTAAAAGGCATGACGTCGCGTCATATATGGTGAACAGAAATAAAAAGATCTGGTTGAAAACGAAATCAGCTTAAAGCAATGCCAATTGTCATTCAGTAACACATTCTGGACGTAATGCTACGATTGTTCAAAAAAACAGCAAACTTAAACGCAGAAAAAATCCTCAAGAGCCGTTATCAGACCTAATGACTGCTGTTTATTTGGAACCTTAGATATAGTTTGGGGTACGGGACTATGGGTGGCACTAGGGATTCTCTAACCAAGAGTGGGTTAAGTAGACCTCCGGTATTAGAGACTAACAAACGCTGTATCGTTTATCGAAATTCTCTCCGGGGAATTAAGAAGATTTTGTTGTTTTTTAGAACAGTATTTACATACGAACGCATGGAGTGCTTTTAGGAAAGGCAGATTAAAATTTCATTAGGATGGAATATGGTTCCCCAGCGACAGAACATCTGGTTTGACTGACGAGTATACGCATCGGAAATTCTCCTCCGTATTTACAAACTGGGAATAGTGAGGAATTTAATTACAGTAACCTCTAATACTCCAAATCCCCAGCAGCACTTTAGCCGTTGCAAATACCGAGAGCTAAACTCTCCTCGCTTCGGATTAACAGCTGTTGTTTTAAACTGCCGCTTTGGAAGAATAACGGTGATTATCTAATGATGTTGTTCAAAAAACCTTTCAAACAACGGCTTTGTATTTCTCTTTGTATAAAAACTGAACAGTTTCTAATGATAGTCGAGTTCTAATGATAGGGAATTCAAAAAGGCGCAAAACCACCTCAGGTCAACGCCAGCTATATGTTTTAAGTGTGTGAAATATTTTAATGAAATTTTCGAGATGAATAATTGAAAAACCGCTGCCAGGAGCATCGCCTGTAACGGTTGCTCTAAGTATTTGGTAAGCCAGTTGATGATAAGATATCTCAGCCTTAATCCCTTGGGTGCCCAAGAGAGTGCTTAACCATTGATAGATTAAACGTAGGTCTTGCCAAATGATTAATATCACGGAAACTTGAGACTTCTGGATGCGTCAATCCGGACTCTGTTGCACTAAATGCGGAACTCTTGTAGCTGTTCCACACGTAGGCTCTGCCATTAGTAGTACATTTTTAATTTACGTTGGACGATCAGCTATCAAAACAATAGTACAGTCTCGTTATGCATGTCATTTGGAAGCCTCATTAGAGCTTTTAAACAATCAAAATATTTGCTAATGAATCATTAATAATGATTATCTGTTGTTTTCCACCTTGTCAACATAGAAAATGTTAATAATTCAGAAATAATCATGCGGTTTATATGGACCAATGTGTCATGAAACGTCCCGAGAATATAAAAAAATGAATTTGAATCACTTTGTTGTGTCCGGCTTCGCATAACAGAGACTGCAAATCTCGAAGCTTGTAAACCGTTTTAACGATTTTTTTCCAACAGATGCGTTAACACTCAATCGTTTTGGAATAAATAAATACATACACTTATGCACAAAAAATGACAATCAGTTTGTTTTAAACTTTTATTAAGTGTTTATACATACATAAATTTTAGCGACATTTTACACCTTGAGATAAATAAATAATATATACCGAATACAACAATATTGTTATACATCTTTCCGTGTGTCCGACAGCTTTGGCCTTTTATTTAAATAAAGTCTATTTTCAGCTGCTAAAATATGAACAATATATGACTTGAAGCAAATACGTTAAAGATATACAACATCGAAATATGATTGGTTAACCGTTCCTCTCTCTCATTGGTTAGCTGCATTCGCGCCTTTTCTCCTGGCAGCAGTCAACTGGGCCCTGACCTCGACCAGTTCCGTGCGCAAGTTCTTTACGTTCGTGCGTTCTTTCTCGAGGTCAACGGTCAGATTCGTGACATCGTCGACCAATTCGTTTTTGATTTCGGTCAGTTCGTTGACCTGCGCAATCAGCTGTGGTTTGCCTTGCATATTCGATGCCTTGATGACCGTCTCGAGTTCCTTGCAACGTTTCCTCATGGTTTTCAGCTCGTCTCGCTGCTTACGTGACATTTCCCTCATTCGACCAATCACGACGAGTTTCTCGTCAAGGAGAACTTGCATCTTCATCACCCGCTCCGTGTCCCACGGCCTCTTCACCAGTAGACTTTGAATTTCGTCGCCTGCATTCCCCTCCACGTCAGGCACTTGCACAGCGGCGTCTACAAAGGTGCTTTGTGGACACGTGGACGTCGACGCGTCTTTCATAACCGGTTTGACTCGTTGAGGGTTTTCTTGTTTCGCAAGTAATTCAGGTTTGATCTTAGGCGCATTTTTGTTTCCTTGTGAATTTTTTACCGCCGTCACCGCCAGATTCTCGCGTCTGTTGTTGTACTCGATGTTAAACTTCTGTCCGTCCTTGGAATACATAACTCTCCTCTTCGTCACGTTGCCGGATCCTGCCGGAGCCTGTCGCGTTGTTTCGCCATTTCCAGGTGGGGTCACACCAGCCGATTTCACGGGCTTTGCAAGGCCCGGTGCTTTTCGCCTGTTTGCGGGTTGGTTTGTGCTAGCGCTCGGAGTTTGCCGGCTGGAAACGTGAGTTGTAGGTTGCTTTACGACTTCGGAGTAAGCCTGTTTTACGGGAGGCCCGATTTGAGAAGGATTTTGAGGGATGACGGTTTGTTGGACGCACTTTCGAGGCATCGGGCTTTGCAGGTGGGCCTGTTGAGAGCCCGGGGTTTGTGCCTTAGAAACTGCCGTCTTAGGACTTTGTGCTGAAGGAGTTTTCGAGTTTACCAGCTGGTGCGATTTTGGGTTTTGCCGGGCAGGGGTGCAGCGAGGATCTTGCATACCTGACTGGGGACATTGGAGATCATGAGATTTGGAACTCTGAGGGGCCTTAGAACTTTGAGGGACTTTGGAGCCCTGACTAGCCACGGGAGGTTTTGCACCGTTTCTTTGCCCCTTTTGGCCGACTTGTGCTGCGGGGTTTCGCTGCTGCGTCGCTCTTTGATTATCTGGGGAGACTGGTGCTGGATTGACGAGCGCTGAACTGTGTGCAAGGGCTGGATTGTTTGCACAGGAGGCGTTGCTAGGTGTGGGGTTGTTCAATCCAAAGCATCCGGCGGTTAAAACATTTCTTAAATATTCGGGTTCTTGAGCGACCGAGGTGCTGGGATCGATATTTTTGCGTTTAACAATCTGAAATTAGACATGTATGATGTTCTCGACTTTCAGAATGGTCAAAATAATTTTGGTAATCTTACCATTCAAAGTAAGAGACTTCATGCTGTATATCGGCATACAAAATTATTAACTCAATCCCCAGACAAGTCAAAACATTGCAAATTATCTACGTACCACTTCATTACCACCAAGATTTTTACTTGGACCGGACGCTATGGACGGTTTCTCGTCAATTTTCTCCCGATTTCCACGCGGGGCCATCGCTGGATTTGACGCGACGTTCCTTTTAGCCACAACCGCTGTTTTCGTCTCACAAACTTTTGCCATCTGTTTGTGCGCATTCTTGTCCTCGACGAGATTTCTTTCGACGTTCTTCCGATCAGCGGAATTGCCGCTAAACTTTGGGACGTTTTCCTGACGTGATGTCGCCGCTGTGCCCGCCGGGACGGCTTGCGCATTACCACCACGTTTCTGAACATGGTTTGACGTGACTGCCGGTAGTTGTCGGATCGCCTTTAACTTGGTTCTAGCATTAGGGTCTTTCGGCTTGCTCACGTAACAAGCCGCAGTTCTGTCAGGTGGTGCTGGACCTGTTTTATCTGTAGGAAGGTTGAATGTGGGACACTTATCCATACTGTTATATATATGCATAGATTATGGTCACATTAGCTTTGATTAATATATCAGTAATGTGCGAAATCATACAGAAATAGACGTGCCTTTATTACCAGTACATGAGAATCATGATAACCGCTCACCTTTACCGTCCATTTTCACTGCTTGGACTTGCGTTGTTGATTCAACTTGGCCAAAAATTCGAGAGTGTTTCTCCTCCCAAACACCAGCTTTCAAAGCGTCTCCTCGCTGTTTTCGGAAATCTTTCGGTACTCTCTTTTTCAATGCCTCAACTTTCTTCATGTTCAATACAACGTCCTTTCCTCCATTTGGCCTTTCATTGTAAACCACAAGAGGACTGTCTCCGCCATGATCACTGCCGCTGAATATAAAAATAACCCGGCTTCATCATGTGTAATGTGAGGAGAGGGGGTATGATAAAACAGTTCATTCGTCACTCTAGTTTAGTGGTTATACACTCGTCATTTCGGGGCCCCTGAAGCCCCGGGAAAGTTGCCCCCTTTTCCCCTTGAATGAGTGAAGGATCCTTGACATTTAACTGGTTACTCCATAGTTAATGTTTAAAACTCTTACGCACCATGCAGAGCTGCTGCCAGTGTCCTTTTCTACGGCAGTCTTAGTTGTATTCTTCGCTGCCTTTGATTGTCCGTCTTCTTTACTGGTCTCTGCAAATCCTCGATCAGGATTAGCGTCTTTTGACCCTCCGCCTCGATCACATTCCTTCGCGGGTTTGTAGGCTTCGTTCACTTCTTTGCGACAAGTGTTTGTTCCCGTTGGTCTATTCCCTCTACGAAACATGCCAAAAGGTCCGCCAGAATTGTCGCTTCTTTTCCAGAACTGCCATGACTCCAACCATCCACCCTTCCGCTGAGCACTTCCCATCTTACCGCTGGATTCTCTTTCCGTTTCCCCTTTTGGTTCGGCGATTTTCTCCTCAACTCTGGACTCTACTGGGAATGCTTGTTTTTCATCGTTCGTATAAAAAAAGTCAAAAAAATAGCTCATACCTCCTCAGCTTTCTTATCATAATGCCGTTGAGAATTCTCTGACGTGAACGCGACTGTTTTTTAATTTGAAAAGACGAGAATGGATTGGTTGAAAAACGCGTTTATGATTGTTTGCGCGGAATGGCGCAAGAATAAATTGCGTTGAATGTGAGCCGGAGTTATCACGCAGTCAGCGGAGTATTTTCCGGCGGGAAATGTGAGGCAAGATGGCGGATTCAAGAGGACGAAGAAGTCTGTCAAGAAAATCAAAGAAACTAAAAATATCTCGGTCGGAAACAAACGAAGCAGCCCAGAATTGCGTTATATGTTTAGATACAGTTTCATGCAGAGGCAAGCTCAGCGTTTGTAAGCATTGGTTTTGTTTTATCTGCATTTCGGAATGGTCGAAGGTAGGTCGGTTGGTCAAATTTCTGCATTCATAAAGTATTTACTCATTTTACGGTTTTGCAATAATATCGAAGTAGAAATTTGTTTATTCTAGAACACGAATAGCTGTCCTGTTTGCAAGATAAAATTCAGATGCATTTCAAAGGTATTGTTTGAGTATAAAATCCGATAGGCTGCTACAATACGCGACTATTATGTATTAAAAGGTCACGTTGTTTTTAGATACATTTAGTTCCAGGAAAGTCACCTGTTCAAAAAATACGGGTGAAAGATGTTGATATGCGCAATGACTCGCTACGGATTCCAGATGATGATTACATATGGGCCGAACTGGAGTCATCTATGTCTGAGAGCGATTTCTCCAACTATGAACCAAATCATGTGAGTTCTTTGTTGAAGATGTGGTTTTGAGGATATTGTTTGGTAATTGTTTAGCGATGATGGCAAAAACTAGCTGGTACTTTCATATTTTTAGGATCTAGAGAATGGGCCATTTCATTCTACCTCTGATGAGGATGATTGTTCCATGTCATTGGCATGCAATAGTGAGATCAAGAGTGATAGTGGTGATTCATTCATAGATGACCAATCTATTGAAGAAATGTCATATGCAAGCTCTGATTCTAGTGAAAATTGCCCACCAAGTATTTTGAGGCAACCAAGAAGGTTTTAAAACCTGCATTCTTTTAGCAACATGTAATACCATAGACTTAAGAAATGATATTGAGGAAACCAGAATTTATTCACATGTATATCAATTCCCCATGGTTCATGTCATCGATTGTCTAACTAGTGAATCAAAGACAGGTTGATTGCCACACATCTCGCAAAATATTGTTGTTAAAGTTTAAGGGTTTTTTTCTCAGGAAATCTAGGGTGATTCTCTCTGATACTGAGAATTCTTCTGACCTGGAACAAACTGACAATGAATGGCCACCATCGGATGAAACAACAAGTGAAATAGGAAGAGAAACAAGGAAAGAACCCCAAAGAAAAAATATGAAAATTAAGAACACACAAAACAGTGGAAAGTCACAAAGTAATGCATAACTACTTCTCTAAATTAGAATGCTAAAAAACATTACCTTAAAAAAAAGGTTCCCCCTGTTTCCTTTCCCAATCCTAAATCTAATCCTAACCTAATCTCAAGGATTAAATCCATGTATTTAGGATTTACCAAACATGGAATTTTTACTGTTTCTTTGACTAAATATGAAAGTGTATTGACTCAAATTGGTTAGGTTCTGGAGGTTCATATTCTGAGACAAAAAAAACATTTTTCTTCATTGTTCTTTAGTTGGTGCAAGGAATGGTTTTCATAGAAACCGTCAAGGACGTAGAAAGTTATCAAATCACAGATTTGAAGAGGAATTAAATCGAAGGAATTCAACAAAAAGAAGTGAACTGAAGAGAAGTGAACTGAAGAGAAGTGAAATGAAGCGAAGCTCAACTGGAAGAGCATTTGATTCTCAAGCAGGCAGTTCTGCAAGGGAAAGAGATAATAGAATTGGAAAGTGGTTGTGCACTGTTAATAGTCATTCACAAGCAAGTTCAAGGAGTCATGCTGCACCTGATAGAACCTGGCAAAGTCACACAGAAACAAGGACTACATTTCATAAGTAAGAGTCTGCACTTCATTTCGCCTCTAGGAAGAGCATTTGAGTTTAATAAATTTATTATTATGATTTCTCTTTTACTACAATCATAGGAGGACCAGAGAAACTTCACCCGAGTCGATAGAAGATGAATCCAGCTCAAAACGAAACGATTTCCCATCAACACGATACGACTCGATGTCGACACGAAACAATTCTAGGTCAACACGAAATGGTTCCCCATCAACACGGAACGATTCAATCTCGTCACAAAACAATTCCAGGTCAACACGAAACGATTCCAGGTCAACACGAAACGATACCAGGTCAACACAAAACAATTCCAGGTCAACACGAAACGATTCCATGTCAACACAAAACGATTCAAGGTTAACACGAAACGATACCAGGTCAACACGAAATGGTTCCACATCAACACAGAACGATTCAATGTCGTCACAAAACAATTCCAGGTCAACACGAAACGATTCCAGGTCAACACGAAACGATACCAGGTCAACACAAAACAATTCCAGGTCAACACGAAACGATTCCAGGTCAACACAAAACGATTCCAGGTCAACACAAAACGATTCAAAATTAACACGAAACCGTAAACCTAGCCATAAGAAACTAACATTTAATTTCGGGTTGGACTCATCCAGCTGCAGCTCTGGTGAATCATGGAACCCGTTCGGCGAGTCGTCGGGAAAAACGAAAGATCTCGAGAACATGAGCACAAAGAAATCGGAAACGAGGCGAAGAGAACGAATGAGATTTGGTCAAGTGTTAAAAGATGTTCAGAATGTTTGGGACTGGGACGAGGATGAATGAAAAGTTGAAGATTTAGTAGAAAGTGATTTAGAAAATTAGACAATTCTGTTTTAACCAAATCGCAAAAAAGTGTATAAAATATATGAAATCATCATAAAAAGCTCACTTAGGTGTAATAGAAATCGTTCGAGGCCGTTTAGATCAGTTTAGAAATGTCAAAGTTAGAAAAATATGTATTTGATAAACTATTATAGGATTATATGAAAGAATCAGTTATGCTTACCTTTGCACATATGTAAATATTCAGTAGAATGTCAATGCTAATAAATACGTACTAATGTGTTCGCCAAAAACGACAACTGTCTTTGGATCTGATAGGTTTACTGCTAGATATAATCCCAGGGTGTATATTCCTAAGATATTTTGTCATTTTGCATAGAAACATACAAAAAAGTGCAAAGAATACAGCCATCTTGAAATGCATGACTGACAAAAGCAAAAAGGCAAACTTGGGTGTAAGTTTTCGACATATTTAAAGTCATCATCAGATCTTAAACAATGACTTTGCCTTTGAGTTAACGTCGACAGCCCACAGAGATTTGCCTTTCTTCGACTTTTTTTTGAATTCATACTTTGAATCCCATGCAATTGAAATTCGGACGTACGAATTTCATGAATTATATTTCCTGAAATTGTCGACTTGACTTTTTTTCCAGGAAACACAAGACGATACAAAAAATTGAAAAACAAAAAGAAGGCGTACAATTTATTAGAAATGAAGCTGTACAAAGATCTGTCTGTATACATATGAGATGCATGAACTACAATGAAAAACGTTTCAAGCCTAGAAAATTAATTAAATTGTGCTGCTTAAATTTTAGTATTTTACATCCAAAATTTGAAATGCGATAACTACAAAAGACAGGTGAATGATTCCTCTCCTGGTTTAAAAAAAACTTGAGATGCCATTTCGAGTCGCCTTCAAATGATGTTGAAAACACTTGATGTCCACAAAATGATCAACTTTCATGATACATTCATTTTCATAACACAGTGTTTTCATCAACATTATTTGAATCTAACCATCTCTCTGGAACACATCAGTGATCTTAACTTGAATGAAGTGTCACTTGAAAGTTCAGTGCTTTGACTCTAGCTATATTACCCTTTCTGCATCTCTCTATGTCCACGACAATAACTGATCTCAATATGTGGAAATAGCTGAATGTACATATTGCATAATTTGTTCCTATTGATGTGTGGCTATTTCTAGATGTGCATAGCTGACTATACTTCATTATCAAGGTAAGGATATATTGTTTTATATTTTTTTTTTACATTTTCTCCTGACTCAGTCTCACACACCGTTGAACGTGTTTTTTAAACATTCCATTGTAATCGTCTCGCCATTCTTTCTGTTAAAATTGTTGAATACAAGTCTTCAGCAAAAAAAATTTGATCTAGCATAGCTAGGCAGTACCTTGTCAAGCAAAGCTTAGAGTTCATGACAGAAACTAATATTTACCAAGCAGACCCTAATACTATTGTAAATCATTGAAAATGCTAGCCCACCTTATCCCTCATTATCCCATTCTATCCAATACCCTACCAAACCTGAGACACCCAATATTCAACACATACTAATACTTGAACTTTCTCAGTATCCCCATATCTAATACTAATACCACCCAACCTATCCCTCACTACCCAACCCTATCCCATACTACCAGACATATCTTATTCCATTCCTAGACCACAATTTTATCAGTTATTTTCTAAGGTTTATAGATTGATCCATTGACCATAAATAACTTGATTCGGCCTAACTCACTTTACTTCACTCTAGCTGTACCCTGTGGAAACTTACTTCACCCCACCCATTTGATAAAAACTAATTATTCTATTTGATTTCATTTACTATAGCATTACTTTTTGAACTAAATTTTCAGACTATAATCGTAAGATACTTACAGCTGCATCTACGTTTGCTGGAGACTCATCGTTTGGATCAGTTATCATTGATATAACACTAATAAGGATTGATTCGACTGTATGAATGGGTAACCATCTTTCGGACGCTGTCTCGTATCCAAACTTATCCTCACCAGGTTCGTGAAGTATGGAAATACAAACATCACCGTTTTTATGAACTGGAAAATAGACATGAAATATTTTTATATTCTCATGTGAAAACCTATGACAATTGTATTAAAAGATAAATTTAGTTAAAAATGAATAATAAAACAACTCTCACCATTTGGGTGCCATATATCTGATGTAAACTTCATTTTAGGAGGCTTCTGTGGATATTCCTTAGGAAAATATAGTTCAGCTCTAAAGAATCCACCCTCACTAAATAAAAAAAGATATTACATGATAAATCAATAAAATACTCAAATAAAGTACCGGTACGCTTAATTAGAGAAAGTAATTCTACTAAAAAGCACTTTGATGTATTAATTTATTCTGCCAAAGGCATTTTACTTCTCTGCAACTTGACCAGGTAATTATTAAATTAACGATAAAGTCATAAACATAACATAGAAGAAATTTTTATATTCAGTTAAATTAATAATTGTATCCACCTTCTAATTAGATACAAATATATTTAATTTTATACTTCTACACAACTTGTCGTTTCTAATGCTCAATTTGTTTTACCAGAAATCTTCTCAAAGTCATGAAAAAAAATTCTATGAGAGCTTCCAGTAATTATTCAAAATTCTACAGACACAAGTTACCAAGAACTATAGTAATTATAAATTTAACTCCATGTTCATTTTGAACAAACAAACAATATTGAAAAAAACAGTTTATAGAAATTCTCATTTGTCAAATGAGCCATCTGAAGGAAAGTCAAAGTCAAGGTTAGCGCACTTTGAAATAAACTCAACAAGCTTTAGGGTATTGTTCATTGCTGTTAAACACTGCCAAATATTTCCTAACTTTTTCACATTCAAAAACTAAATTAATAGCCCCCCAAGAGCTTTAAAAATACACATCCGAGTAGTAGGCTTACAGTGGCTATCTTATTCAACTACGATGTGACGAAATACTACAATTAATAAGTTAATTCTCGAAGCAACATTAAAATTGTTTTCTAAAATTAATATCAACTGTGGAAAGGTTTAGCCTTACTAAAACGTATCTGGCGGTCCAAATATTGTCACCTCCCATTTGAACAAGTCGTCGTCGTCTACAAGGCCAGCAGAGAATCCCTCTGTTCCTTTTCTACTCAACTCTACAAACGAAACGGGAAAAATTCAAAGGCTTAAATACAACTGAACGCTGTCATATTGCATTGTAGATTACTAAATTGCACTGAAATCAAACAACAAAAAAAGCCCTAAAAATACCTTTTAATTGCTTCTTTAAAAGCAAACCAGCTTGGTCACTTGAGCTCATTTATACGAGAAAGCAGAGAGGAGAATACAGACTTTTACGAACGAGACAATGAACAACAAATATTTTAAGACAAATTTCTTTTGGCAAAACACAACTTGAAATTTAAAGGCGCTTGCGCACGTAGAACCACATGTCTCCCACTTCCGGTACCATACTTCCGGTATAGGCCGTGCCACTGAGCTATGTATAACTACTGAAGTTACCTTGGTACAAATACGGTCGTTTAGATTAGGGAGTGGTGTGGTGCTTGGTGTAGTATGAAATGGTGTATGGTATGGAAAATGCTTTACAGGTGGTATGGTATAGCGCGTATTATGGTATGGTACATGGTATGGAATTGTATGTTGGTGGTATGGTATCCTTTACAGGTGGTATATTATAGTGCTTTCTATGGTATTGTACATGGTATGGAATGGTACGGTGGTGGGTGGTATGCTTCATCGTGGGCTTTGGGAATGGTACATGATATGGAATGGTGCTTGGTAGTATGGTCATGGTACACTATTACCATTCAGTGGAAAAGCGGTTTTAAAAGTTCGAAATTAAATTATTCTAATTTTGCGTGCATATTTACAAGCGATAAAGCAATGGTTGCAGTCAACTCGTTTCTACAATAATTCGAAAAAATCCACATTGGGTAATATATATATATATACATATTTCATCGACTAGACACAAAACCTGCTTCTTTCCCTAAACGTAAACTCAATCGCGCTATCTGATCTGCACATCCACAACATTCTCGTCATCCATGTCAAGATCATCCGGGGATTGCTCTGAGGTCATCGCTTCACCGTCAAATGAGAATTTCAGCTTGGACAATGGTATTTCTCGAAAATCAGCATATTGTTGCATAATTTTCCCCAGCGGTTCGTTCTGAAACCGAACAGAAAAAAATACATCAATTGAATACATCATCTTTTTGGCGAAGTTTTCCCTAGTCCATTTTAATGTCTGAAGAACCAAACGATTTCAACGTCCCTAACGAAAACACATTCAATACTCACCTTGTGTGCTTTGAAATGTTTTACTGAGTGACTGTCAGAGCCTTGTATTTTTATGTTCACTACGTTCTCACTATTTTCAAAAGATTCGTTCACTGTCGGTGCCGAATGAACCACAACGCAATCTGGAAACAAATCATCACTGCAAACATTGTAACACGATAAAAAATAATGTTAAATACGATAAAAAATCATGAAATTTGATTTTTTAGAAGTTAGGCGGTGACCCAGTGGACTGCAAACCACGTGGCCCGTTTGACAGATCTTTTTCACTTAGATCAGAAACAAACCACGACAGTTTATTGTAGAATACTACCTACACTACTGGGCCAACACGTTTGAGATACCTTTTTAGATAGTTCAGAAACAAACCACGACAGCTTATTGTAGAATACTGCCTACACTGGACCACCACGTTTGAGCTATCTTTCTCAGGTAGTTCAGACACAAACCACGACAGCTTATTGTAGAATACTACCTACACTGGACCACCGCGTTTTAGATATCTTTCTCAGGTAGTTCAGACACAAACCACGACAGCTTATTGTACTAGAATACTACCTTCACTGGACCACCGCATTATAACTACAACATACCAATGATATCAGCAACGCTCAAATTAACAGAATTGGGAGTATCTGTTAATCGTAATGTCTGAAAATTTCCTTGTGTGTCAGTAAACGAGAGTGAAAGTGAATCAACGTCTTCATTATGCTTTTTCGCCAGTTTATGGAAGATTTCTTGGAATATTTCATTCTAATATTTGAAAACAAGAAGTTCTTTAGTTCTATCAGTTCTGAACCGTTCTTCGTAGAGGTCCAGTAAGGATCATCTCTTATTCATCCAGTGTTACTACAGGAAGAAACCTAACTTAAACTATCATCATATCTATGCTAGATAACTCTTGTGAGAATCTTATTCAATTTCTAACCATCCTCAATTGAAATCGTTCCACTCCAGCTCTAGTCCGTATTCTAATGGTCATTTTCCTATCTGCAGAACTTGGTGTGCCATAATTATCACCAACAATAACAACGTCTGACTGTTTGGTGACTGGTGATGGTGTTTCGTCTTTTTGCAGATATTCAAGGTACCTCAACTTTTCCCCCATTGCCCTTAGGTCAATTGAAAACAAAACAGTCTTATAAAATAATTAAGCTTTATTTATAAAGGATAGCCCTATCAGTGCTAAACTGTTCTTCCTAGAGGTCCAGTAAGGATCATCTCTTATTGATCCAGTGTTACTACAGGAGGAAACCTAAACTAAACTAACTGTATTTATACTGGATAGCTTTATCAGTTCTAAACTGTTCTTCCTAGAGGTCCAGTAAGGATCATCTCAATTGATGCAGTGTTACTACAGGAGGAAACCTAAACTAAACTAACTTTATTTATACTGGATAGCTCTATCAGTTCTAAACTGTTCTTCCTAGAGGTCCAGTAAGGATCATCTCTTATTGATGCAGCGTTAATACTACAGGAGGAAACCTAAACTAAACTAACTTTATTTATACTGGATAGCTCTATCAGTTCTAAACTGATCTTCCTTGAGGTCCAGTAAGGATCATTTCTTATTGATGCAGTGTTAATACTACAGGAGGAAACCTGAACTAAACTAACTTCATTTATATCAGATAGCTGTACCAGACTACCAGTTATAGTACGCCTGGACTCTGGAGTAGATATTTCAAGCACACACCTTGACATTCTGACTGATTGCCTGCTAATTCCGGACAAAGGATTACCAGGGATTTTTGGAGGAGGGGTTATGGGTCTGGGATTGACATTAGGTCTGACATCATCGTCATCATCTGGTATTTCATACACATCCCTGTAAAGATGAGTCACTTTCAATGCTCAAAATGAATTCAGTAACTAGAATTACTGTCGAGGGCAGTTGCAAATGTAAAATTCTCAACTTTGAGTAGTGAGTACTACGCCAAGTCTAAAATACCCTATTAAGAAAATTACCCCGTTTAAAAATTAACAGTGACAAAGCAAGTCAGACTTGTTCACGAGGTAGAACCAGCTGTATTCATGCAGAACAAGCACATACTTATCTGCGCTGTTTTTCTTTAGATCATCATCGCTGTCACTTGCGCTACTGGACTCAGAACTACTGCATGTACCCTCGCTTCTCATTTTTGTTTTCTTTTTCAAAACAGGCAAGTTATAATCATCGTCGGATCCGGAGTCCCCAACGTCTGCAACAGCGTCTAAAGCTTTCGACTGACTTTTAAATGTCAACTCTACTTTGTTGTTATAATCGAACAACCCGGAGGAACTAGAACCAACACGAGTTCTTCGTTTTGGTGGCATCTTTTCAACCTGTTTTTACAAAGGATTTTTCACACAATTATTCTTGATAGAGAGCAAAAGCATTTCGGTTTTGCACAATATACATGCAGAAGCGTTTTAACAACTAAAAGATGTTCATTATAACAGTTTTCAAAATTCTAATTAAGTTTGCAAACCACTCAAGGTAGGACGCCATATTGAATATTTATTGGCGCGAAACTCTTGAATAATATCGACGGTTATTATCTAACCGCTGTTTAATAATCAACGATAACTGTTGATAATACCCCCCGGAATTTCCACCTGAGCTGAGATATGGAGATTTAGAATTCTGCATTTTGGCGGTGGTTTGAAGGTAATAAATAGTACAGAAATACCAGAATGTATTTATAAGGTGTTTATTTTGTAACATAATCTGCCTGCAAAAATAATTAACCTGCAATCAATAACAGTAAGCTCACTGATCAATAACATCACTTTATCGATTATCTATCCTCTCAGTGTGACCAGATTTGGTAAATTAATTTACTTTTGGTAAAATTTGGCATTTTTTGGGAAAGTTTTGGTAAAATAAAATTTTGGTAAAATTTTTGGTAAAATTTGGAAAAAATCAAGTAATTTGGTAATTTTTTTGGTAAAAACAAAAAACATTGAATATAAAGATGTTGTACTTTATTATCTTGGCGAATTTGGTGACTGCCACTGAATGACAAATGACATTGGCTGGGACGTAATAATCTGTCTACATGAAGTATTTAACGGTTTGCTGTGTCCGGTACCGGGCAACCGGATTGAGGGCCTGACTCGCTCGTCTCGCTGTCGACGCTGTGTTTTTTTAAATATGCTTTGAGTTTGAGTTTTGACTCAACACTTTTTAAATCAAGTTTGTTTAAGTTTAAAATGGCTCATTCTGCTGGCAACAACACGATAAAGAAAAAAAGAACAGAAGGACCAAAGTATACACAAAAATATCGCTCTGAGTGGGAATTGAAACCAGAATTTTCGAAGTGGCTAAGTGTAAGCAATTCATCGCAAAATTTTGCTTTTTGCAAAATATGTCGTTGTGAACTGCAAGCTCGTTTGGTAACTATTCGTTTGCATGGAAAGAGTGCCAAACATACTTCCTTAATGAGTAGTATGTCAGGAAGCTCTCAGGTATGTAATGTACAGCATGTGAATACTACTAAAAAAGTATTGGCAATGTCAGAATTTTCATGTTTTAGAGTATCACTAAAGCTGCAGTTACATGTTTTTTGTTTTATTTACATGTAAATAGTTATCCAAATTCTTCGTATCGGATAGCAAACTGACCATAGAAACTAAGAAGGCCGAGTTAAAATTCTGTGCTTTTATGGCGGAGCACAACATTCCATTTCGTGCAATGGATCATCTTTCGAAACTGATCTCGGGAACTTTCTACGACTCTGCAATCGCCAAAGGATTCTCGTGCAAACGAACAAAAGCAGCCGCATTGACGTATAATGTTCTGGCGAAGTCATTTAAGACTGAGCTGCGAGAGCAAATCAAGGCAACCGGGGAATTTGGTAGAAAGTTTGTCTCCCTGATTATTGACGAATCGACTGATAAGGGAACAACAAAGTGTATGTCAATTGTCGTAAAATTCTTTAGCGAGAAGCTACTGAGGGTAGATACTAGATTACTGAATTTAGTACGTGTTGACGGTGAAAAAGCTGAGGAACTTTTTGACACAATGGAGAAGGACCTACAAAAACATGATATTGAGGTCAAGGATCTCGTTGGATTTGCTGCTGACACAACAAATGTCATTTTTGGCAGCAATAACAGCATTGTTTCTCGTATCATGGCAGCCAATCCTCATTGCCTGGCGATTAAATGTGCTTGCCATTCTGTTGCTCTTGCTGTCAGCCACGCATGTTCTCTGTTGCCCCGACACTTAGAGCAAGTCGTCAAGGAATGCTACAACTACTTTGCTTATTCAAGTAAGCGATCTCTAGAGTTTAAAGAATTTCAAGATTTCACGGACTCCCACACCGAATGCTTAGATTCTACGATGTCAGATGGCTATCACTGGGCAGCTGTGTAGAAAGAATTTTCAGTCAATGGCAGGCCCTAAAGCTGTTTTTTGAAAGCCAGTATCTTGTTGATCGCCTACAAGCGTCTCATTTCCTCTACGAACAACTGTCGAATCCTTACACAAAATTGTATTTCGCATTTCTAACTTACGTTATTCCGCTAGTTAACAAACTAAACGTTATTTTCCAGGCAAAGTCGCCATCAGTCCATAACTTTCATGCGCATTGTGTTTCAGCCTACAAGGCTTTATTAAGCTGCTTTGTAAAGCCTACCATTGTCCGAAGCCAAGCCACTGTGGCCGATCCTGCTGATCCGGCTAACCATGTACCTTTGACGGAGCTGTATCTTGGAGTTGAAGTTGCAAAGATGTTGGCGAATAACGAATACAAGACACTGGATAAAGAAGCTTTAAAGGAATATTTTAGGAGGTGCAAGTGTTTTTACACAGAGCTTTGTTGCCAATTGAAGAACCGATTGCCATTGAATAACGTAGTTGTGAAACAACTGGCATTCCTGGATCCCCAGGTTGCAACGTCAAGTTCCATTCAAAGTATTGTCGGCATTGCTTCCAGATTTCCCAATGTTGTTCGTCAAGAGAATCTGCAAAGTCTCGACCAAGAGTGGAGGGAATTTATGTACGACGAGGAAATCTCAACCTTGGCCGATCGTTGCTCTGCGCTACCGACGGAAGAATTCTGGGGAAAAGTTCCAACCGACAAGTACCCGAATTTAGCAGCATTCGCAAAGGCTATGTTAACTATACCAGTTAGCAATGCAGACTGTGAACGTACCTTTTCCCAGGTTAACCTAATCAAAACTAAGCAACGAAATAGATTCTCAACGGAAGGTGTTGCTTCAATTCTTTTTGTCAAAGACGGCGTAAAGAACGTTGCTGAATCGTGTACTACTTTTCAACCATCTGACGAAATGCTGGCATTATTTAATGAGGACATTTACCACAACGTTAGAGCTGTGTATGGAGGTCAAGAAGAGACTGAAGAAGAGTCGGCGAACGCAGCAGACGCTGGCGAGGACGATTTGGAAACAATTGACGCTATGGAGATTGAATTAATGGATTCAAATGAATGAAATGATTTGAATTGAATTGAATGATATATTAGCCATAAATAGCCTAACACGTATCATTGTGACATATCACAATAATCACATGGAAACAGCGTTTTAGTTTGACAGTTTTTATATTCCTTTTAATATAAATCTTGTTTGAAATTGCTTGTTTGTATACTTGTTTATAGTAAGGCAATAAAGAGTACTTATAGGAAAAGTGTCTGAACTTATGTGTTATACACTGTCGCCATGAAAATCAATTAAGGCAAAAAAAGAGTGTAGCGGGGGACGACATTGTTATGGCAATGTATGTACGCAGAAATTAAAAAAGCGGAATTTGCCGTATTTGGTAAAAAAAAATCCGATTTGGTAAAATTTCAGCACCGTTTTTGGTAATAACCGCTGACAAAACCTGGTCACACTGTATCCTCTGATCTAGGTCCAACTTTCAATCATGCTCAGTCAGCTCAGATAATCCGTAAATTCCCGTGATCACGCTAACGAAACCAGATAATGTGAATAGTTTTTGACATGCCATAAAATATGTATGAGGTTTATACATTATCATGTAGATCATGTAAATATCTTGACACAAAACCAAAGAAAGAGGACAATAACCAGCTGCAACGGTCTGAAAGAACTGGTCAAGTGATCATTCTGCTCTGATCCGAACGGAGGTTTTCGGTAAAGAATGGCTGTAGTTTATCCGTGGTTTCATTTTGTGCGAAGTTTTCGTACGTTCCTGTGCCTTCTCGGAATCGTATTGTCGATATACGCGCTCTATGTTGAGGTCAAGAAAATGCAGGATAAGTCTTTCGTCGCCTTGTGTGATATTCACTCCAAGATGAGCTGTTCTAAGGTTTTCTCTTCAAAGTACGCTGAGCTCATATTTTTTTATATTTTATATAGTTTAAACTGTGTCAATTCAAATTGATTTAACTCTGTGTCAATTGAAATTGATTAATGAAGTATACGTGTCATAAACAAAATTCGCGTATGTTATTTTACAAAACATGAATAAATTACTGGTTGTCTTGTAAATTAAGTCAAGTGGGGCTTTAGTAGGCCCAGCTGTTAGTTTCCATTAATAATATTGCTCTACATAAACAAAGACTTCTTCCCCCCCTTGCTTAGCAGCCTTAGCTTGTATAGTCAGTCTGAGTCCACACAGTGTACAATGTACTACCGTCTACCAACCAATTTTCCTGTCGAAGTTCAGATTGGTGACCCTGAATTATTGAAATCAATCTACAACTCACCTATTGACAAAAGTATATGTAACTATGCTAATATCAATTGATTTTCCTAAAACTCCAAATTCCCCAAATAAATGAGATCATCTGGCATTAGACAGAGACACAGAGTGAAATAATACAATAGGTACATAATTTAGCAAATGCTAAATGGTGAACTGTTTTGTTGCAGGTATGGTACAGGATTTGGTCTGGTTGAACCATTGCTTGGTAAAGACTCAATATTCAATATTCCAAACAGTATTTATGGAATTGCTTTCTATATATTTGTGTTAAGCCTTGGTAAGTATATGTGACCAAATTTTTAATCAATCTAGTGTGATATGTTAAAAGAGGAATTTAAAATCCAAGAAAAAATTTTGCAAATTTGACTACTACTACATTATACCTAAAAAGATAACACTAACTTTGTAATTCCTATTTTATACAGGTTTCTTTGACGGTGTTACGGTCGCTTGGATTGTAGTGATAAATTGCATTCTGTCCTGTGTCGGTTGTGTGTACTTGGCTTACATATTGTATTATATTCTGGAAGATTTTTGTATTGTTTGTGTGTCAACCTACGTTGTAAATGCCTTGCTCCTGGTACTGAGTATCTACCATCTTGTTCAACTACCCTCCCCAGATAAGCCACACAGAGAATAAAGAATTACATAGTCTAGAAAAGCAAGCATTGTACATTCACACAGAGTGAAAATATAGCTAGGTTTATCACTGTGAGAAATACTTACACTGTCTAACTCTAATAGATTAGAAAACACAATGTATTGTGCTGGGTATTAGGAGGTTGAATAAAGGAAAACTTAAAAGTGAAAGAGTATTGTTAAATATTTGATTCAATATTTTACAATCCATAAAATAACTACATCAACTGGATTAGTCTTCGAATTAACAGTAGAAAGATAATAAAAATGTAAAGAGTGCTGAGGGCTTGCCCTGTAGCAGGGAATCTTCTGCCCCAGTGTAAGGGTGATTGATTAGTGTTAAAACTTTCACATCCACTAGTTTTTGTGGTTTCCTTATTCAAGAGTCATCTTCCTGCTCGCGAGCAGCCGCAATTTTGTCGAAACAGCGTGAGACTACTGAGGTCCAGCCAGTTTGGTGGCTAAAAACGTAAGGTTAGATATTATTGAACAAAAACTGGGCAGCAAAACGAAAAAATTAAAAAAAAAAATTTGAGGATAAGAAAAAGAAAATAAGTGAAAATGATGCGATCATTTCGAAACGTAAACAAAATAAACAAGACATTTGAAGAAGCGTCTCAAATTCAAAAGAAGACATTTATTTTCCCAGGTGACGAAAAGGTAAAAATACGAACCAAAGCTTCACTTGGGAAACATAATTTTAAACCTACAAACGCGTTTGTTATGTATGACTACGCGTAAAATCGTCTGTCGTTACAATAAATGCTACAACGAGATACGATGTCAGTCGGAATAATTTGATTTAATCGAAAAATTCTCCGAGAAACATCCTACCTTGCCCCACAACCCCGGCCAGTGTCGCCATCGAAAAACTCGTAAAACAAAACAAGATCTTTCCAGTTCTCGTCCACTGCGTATCTTTCATCATCGCCATGACAGGGTCGACGACCATTTTCATCGGGCAGGAAGATATGGGTAAGACGGTTCCGTATCTCCGCGCTCACATCTCGCAGTCGTTTCATGTTCCCTGAGCCAGTTGGACATTCCACTTTAAACTGATCTCCGAAGAAATAATCGTATCGCTCCAAGCATTCGACCAGAAGGTAATTCACTAAAGACAAGGGTGCATATCATCTCTTATTGATCCAGTGTTACCACAGGAGGAAAACCTACACTAAACTAACTTTATTTATACTGGATAGCTCTATCAGTTTTAAGCTGTTCTTCCTAGAGATCAAGTAAGGATCATCTCTTATTGATCCAGTGTTACTACAGGAGGAAACCTAAACTAAACTAACTTCATTTATTCTGGTAAAGTTCTATCTGTCCTGAACTGCTCTTCCAACTCTGATCATCAGAAATTTCAAAATGTCCCAGAAACGTTTATCCATAACCTACCACACAACCATATAGGGCCTCGCCAGTTGCTATTACCGCCAAACATGTAGGTGTTCGACTCGGCCGCGACATACTCAACGCGATGACTGACCCCTTCTACGTTCACTTCGAACGGATGGTCCTTGTGATAGCGAGACAGGGCTCTTACCCCGTACGGAGAAAGGAATTCATCTTCATCCAGTAAGTACTTGAGTACAGAGCGGAGTTTATCTGGCGAAGGAATGGCCAGCAAGTGATGATATTTTGAGGCGCCGTCTATATTCATGTACGATATCTAACAAAGGTAACAATGGATTGGATTTTTACGATACCATTACCAAACGAGTTTGTACCTACAACTCAGTGTGGTAAAATCGTCTGCTGTTAGACGAATGTCTTCTGGAATGCCTGTAGGAAGATCAATGCTCTGTAAAACACTGACCTGGACAGATAAAACTATAAACACGAAATTTGAACACGAGACACACAAGGCTATTGCTATTATTCCTAGTGGGTTCATATTGATTCTGGAATTCCTAGAAATCCTTGTGTACCTCATTTCTCAAATCTTCTCTGTTTTTCAAGAACCAGTCCATTCTTTTCTTGAACCCGGGCAGTTTGTCAACATACTCGTCGTTGATTACCAGGACCGCGTAGAGAGGTATGAGTCCCACCATGGATCTCACACGGAGTTTACATTCTCGCCTCTCGTCAAACCTAACAGAGTAAAGGATAGCGATGATGTACGGACATTTCCCGTACGCAATATTTCATTGGATGCACATGCACAGCTTGTCGAGAAGTCGACAAACGCACTTCAATTTGCTACATTCGTGTTATTGCGAACCTTAGTTGATCGTAGTAGAATCCATCTTCCTCGTCCCACAATCCTTTGTGGTTCATCGCGTCGGAAATATCGACAAAATGTTCGAAGAACTTCGAAGCCATGTCTTCGTAACTGGGATCTTTCCACACCGCAAGTTCCAGGGCAATCGAAAGCATGACGGTGCAGTAAAACGCCATCCAAGCTGTGCCATCAGCCTGTGAGAAGACAAGATGGAGAAAGTTTGAAATGAACTAAGTCAAGCTTCACAACAAGACACCATTAAAGAAGACTAGTTACCTGCTCGAGATAACCACCAGTTGGGAGAGGTTTTGAACGATCAAAAACACCTTAAGAGTTTTAGAGAAATCAAATACAAAGACTCGAGATCACTCTAATCGTAATGTAATTAATGTAACTCTAATCGAGATTACAAAATGAACGAACTTGAATAACTAACGATTGGCTTGTTCTTAGTTCTCTCTGGTAGATACCGTACCGATGTTGTCAAGACCCAGAAATCCTCCACCAAAAATGTTTCTTCCATTTGGATCTTTCCGATTCACCCACCTAGAGAAACGATTTTAAATATGAACAAACTTAATGCAGGAAAACGCATTCCGATCTAGACTGTCAGTCAGTTAGTGATCCAGTAAGTAAATGATTTCTTATTGATCCAGGAGGAAACCTAAACTAAAATAACTTTATTTATACTGGATAGCTCTATCAGTTCTAAACTGTTTTTTCTAGAGGTCCAGTAAGGATCATATCTTATGGATCAGATATTGGAACTTTTTCTCACACTAAAACATCACCATGTCTCACCATGTAAAATTCAAGAGCAACTTTTGAAAACAACGTGCAAGGAACACGTCATCCCTCTTTCCTTTTGGTCCAGACATCCTGTAGACGCACAGACACGCCCATGCATGAACCGGGGGGTTCACGTCGCTCAAAGCGAACTCGTACGCAGGCAGTTGACCGTTAGGAGACATGTACCATTCACGAAGGAACAGGAGAAGTTGAGATTTAGCGTATTCTGGATCGATCTTGGCCATTGGGACCATGTGGAAGGCAAGATCCCAAGATGCATACTAAAAGCAGTATGTGAGAAACTAAATACGGATTATCGATCTAGTGTTACCACAGAAAGAAATCTAACTTTATTTATACTAGATAGCTCTATATATCAGTTCTAAACTGTTCTTCCTAGAGGTCGAGTAAGGATCATCTCTTATTGATCCAGTTTTACTACTGGAGGAAAACTAGAGTAACACAGGCGCAAAATATGTCCCCAAAATACCATACTTACCCATGGATACTCCCACTTATCGGGCATTGATATAATGTCTCTATTAAACAGATGCCTCCACTCAGGCTCCGAGTTTCGTCCCTGCGCCCGACTTTCGGGTGGCGCGGGTTGTTCGGGATCTCCGATGAGCCAGTCCTTGATGATATAATGATAAAACTGTTTAGTCCAAAGCAGGCCGGCATACGACTGTCGAGAAACCAACTTCTCCTCGTCCGAAAGTTTATCTAAAGATCAAAATAAGGTTATACGATGCGTCATAAAAACTAGAGAGAAAGGGCGCGAAAATGCAGAGCACGTGATACGCATGTGGGATACAGAAACTGGTCAGAAAGAGCGCATGTTTGATGTAATATATAAATAAATATTAAACTGTAAGTGACAAAAATAACAATATTTTTCATACCTGATATAACAGCGTCATAGAACTGATCAGCATCTTTTTTCCTACTTTTAAAAATCTTCTCAAAGTCTTCACCGAAGGGTTTATCTGAGGCGTCCTTAGCGATGGTTAATCTGCATCTGAGAACGCGTTCCTCACCCCCCTGGACCTCCAACACGTGATGCGCGGCGACCTTTGTGCCTCGTTTATCAGGACTGATCGCCTCTTTCTCGTCGTTTATGACGTAACGATGAAACGCATCCTTTGTGTAAGACGTGTACTGGGATACCCCGTACAATTTCTACATGGGACGACAAAATTGTAAAATTTCTTGAAATGGAATAAAACCACCAAATAATAATCGACTTTTCCTATACCTCGCTATTTGTTTCGTTTTCAGTAAAAAGCAACGTTGCCTCACTGCCCTGCTCCGAGCCCTCAAAGTCAAACACAAAATCATCCAATGTATCATGCTTTGTCCTGACACGTCCCGCGCCTTCCTGCTTTATCCTAGCCTTCATGGTGCAACCCTCGTGCGTACACCCCCAGATCCAGGTATTTCGAAACCAGAGTGTTGGCAGGACTGTGATGGTGGCTGGATCTGTCCCGCGGTTGCTAACGGTGATTTTTATCAAGATATCATTTGGAGCATTTTTTGCATATTCCGCCGTGATGTCCCAATAACCTACGTCGAATACACCTAAAAGGACAGATATAAACGTCGTGGTCCAGTGTAGGTAGTATTCTACAATAAGCTGTCATGGTTTGTGTCTGAACTACCTGAGAAAGATATCTCAAACATGGTGGTCCAGTGTAGGTAGTATTGTACAATAAGCTGTCGTGGTTTGTGTCTGAACTACCTGAGAAAGATATCTCAAACGTGGTGGTCCAGTGTAGGTAGTATTCTACAATAATCTGTCGTGGTTTGTGTCAGAACTACCTGAGAAAGATATCTCAAACATTACATGGTGGTCCAGTGTAGGTAGTATTCTACAATAATCTGTCGTGGTTTGTGTCTGAACTACCTGAGAAAGATATCTCAAACATGGTGGTCCAGTGTAGGTAGTATTCTACAATAAGCTGTCATGGTTTGTGTCTGAACTACCTGAGAAAGATATTTCAAATGTGGTGGTCCAGTGTAGGTAGTATTCTACAATAAGCTGCCATGCTTTGTCTGAACTACCTGAAATCTCCAGTCACTCACCTGTATCACAAAGTTCAAATTCCAAATCCTGAACAGTTCTTCGCCTGTTCTCCTCAACAATCCACTGATATGGAAACTCATTTTGGGGATATTTGTACAGAGCTTTCATGTAGCTGTGCGTAGGCAGAGAGTCAAGATAATAGTAACATTCTTTTACATCTTCACCATGATTACCTAAAGTAGACACCCTGCAGTAATGGTGTGATATGTATATCCCTGTGATTACATGCTAATTGCCAACATGCTAATTACCAAATTGTCTATTAAATCACCAAACTGCTAGTTATTAACCAATTAGCTAATCATTACTAATGAGAAAGTAACTACTTAGTACCAGCTTATTGTTATAATCATATCAAATTGCAACCTTTTTCATAAGAAATGTACATTATTCTTTTTCTTCTAAGTTTTTACCTTCTGGTCCAGTCAGGCCAAACAATCTCTCCTTCAATATCGGGTCTTTTCCATTCCATAGAGAAAGACCGAAGCATAGCCGACATTCACGATCAGTTATCCCCAGCAAACCGTCCTCGCCCCAGCGGTACGCCCTGGATCTTGACTGGTCATGGGTGAAATAATCCCAACTGATGAAAATACCATTTGTTAATTTTTAAACCGTATGCATAAACATAGAAATATTTATCTTATACGCTAGTGATTTGAGATATATCTAGGTAATAAGCAATGAATTATTAACTGCTAAAGAGTAAAAACTGCCTTAAATATATTTAACACCTGCCTGCGGTACAATGTACAATGTTGCCTGTGTAATATCAAAATTTATTCATGTAAACAATGAAGTAGCGAAGTTATGTAACTCTGACAATTCGCAAAAATATGCGGCCAAAAACTGTTATGTTCTCTAGTTTCCAACCAAATTAACCTTGCCTGAGTTGGTTTTAACGAAGAATTATGTAGGGTTTCATATAGATTTGCCGTAAGCTGCGAAAACACTTGAAAAAGCTGTAATTTGATCGCGTGTGTGTAAACACGATTAAGCGGAAATCGATGCAAACATCGCTCAGAAATTTTATGAGAAATTGTGAAAACACTCGATATAATTGCTTGCGGTAGTAAACAGTGTTGCATATTCGTTGCTAAACAAGAAATTTACGTGCAAAATTCACTATAAGCAAGGAAGTCTTAATCTAGAAACGAAAGCGTGGAAAAGCGTGGTCCGAATCGAGGTGTTTCAAATTCATATATTTTGAAAATCTCATCCTAAAATCACACCGTAATTTTGCATGTTACACTGCCCTAAAGTAAATATATCCTGAACTAACTAACGTAAAGATACAGTAAAACGTTATATCAATCGCTATAGAGCATGTAAAAGTACTCTGAGTTGACACAGGAATTATAGTTTATAACTTTCGTTATGCTACAGTAACATACCAGCCCCCATCAGCTGAATAGTCTTCTCTGACTGTGCCCCATTGCCGTTCAGAAAGATAAGGACCCCAACGCTTCCAGTTCTGCTTGCGTTCTTGGTCCTCCTTCAATCTTAAGACTTCTGGGCTCGATTGTGACCAGATAGAAGCCTTTGTGTTTGCACGTAACAGAGGCGCCTTTGCCATTTCTGCTCTGCAGAAAGAGAGATGTGTATTGGCTTTGCCAGTGTTGTGTGTTCCGCACGATACTGCACCGGAAGAATGCTTGGCGGAAATAGGAAGGTCAGAGATTTTTTGCGCTGTTTACACGACACCAGATTGCCATCAGAATGGGTCAAATTTTGTAGTTATTGAAAGGCAGTGGAGATTTTTAATACCAGAGACCTGAATAAAGATATAAAAGCCACAAAATGATTCAGAATTTGCTGCTAATCGCTGCTCCATTAAAACGAAGATGAACAAGGTCGATGGGTCATTGGAATGACGTGCGTGCAAATCCGATGGATTAACAATGCATTTCCTGGAACTTGCATTTGAGCGCAATGTTTCGATGTAAATCGATATTTTGGTGAGCATTTCAAGAGATATGCTTGACAAATTCAAAGTACATGCCTCAATTTTGAGTGTGTTCTCAGAAAAAAACGGAACAAGTCACTATAAAATTATGACAGAAGTTTGATGTGATTCAATAGACTGAAAATATTTTCCTTAGAGCGTGTGAACAATTTTTACAGATGAAAAATTACCTTTCATAATCTTCACGCAGAATTCACTTTCTTTAGCCTGAAAATTGGAAACAACCCTGAACCCCACGTCTTTTCTCCTCCTTAAAATTGGGGCGGGTCAGAGGCCCCCCACCTGTGGTTTTTAAGGCGGGGAAACGCATGCCTGCTTTCAGGCTGGGTAACTTTAAAAGTTCAAGATGGCGGCCAATTCGACGGAAAGCGAAGTGAATGATCTTTTCGGCTATTTGTCGTTGGATTCAAAAGAAGACGTTAAAACCTTAGTTTTAAAATACTTGCTAGGTCTAACTGGAAGCGCGGACGGTATGAAATTTATTGAAAAGAATCCAAAACTGCTCGAAAAAGTCATAGAATTAACGGATGATAACAACGAAGGAGTACAGAAGGACGCGTTTGTCTTTCTTCTAAATGCCTCCGCTTCTGAAATCGTGGCGCGAAGACTGGAAACTATGAGCATTTTCGAGTTGATATTACCACGGATTATCGAAAAGAATTGCGCATTTGCTGACAACGCAGCTATGCTCTTATCAAATTTGACTAGATCGGAATTAAGCTGTGAATTGTGCTTGAAATGTATGGAAAAAACACCGCAGTACTCTCTTAAGATCATTTTTGATATACTCCAAAATGAGAAGTACAATGATTGTGTAGATTTGCATCATCTGGCAGCATTTCTGTCCAATTTAAGCAGAATAAAAGCCGTCAGAATGGTCGTCCTGGAAAGGACTAGTAATCTAATTCAAACACTGCTACCATACATTAGCTTTCAAAATTCTGTCGTGCGTAGGAAGGGAGTTGTTGGTATTATACGGAATTGCTGTTTTGAGTATGGTAGGTAAATGGTGAACCTTGTTTGCACTCGTTAGCTGAGAAAACAAGATTTAAGTTTCGATTAGAAAGATTCGGATATTTTTTCTAGAATCTCATAATTGGCTGCTTGGTGACGATGTTGATATCCTACCAATACTGCTGTTACCACTCGCTGGACCAGAGGAATTCTCGGAAAGCGATAACGATAAGCTTCCACTGGACTTACAGTACCTGGATGATGATAAGAAACGTGAGTCGGACCCAGGCATACGGAAAATGCTGCTGGAATGCCTCTTGATGGTGAGGTTTTTTTCTGCTCGTAGTGTACTGGCGCAAATTGTATTTAGTGAATGAAATCCCAGATAGTTAAATCACAAATATTTTGTGTTTATAGCTTTGTTCCACGAAGTCTGGTCGGCGGTACATCAAAGAGAAGAACGCCTACGTCATCATCCGGGAACTTCACAAATGGGAGAACGATGAGGCGGTTTGTCAGACGATTGAAAATCTTGTGCAAGTTTTAATCGGAGATGAACCTGAGGACGATATGGCAAACTTACATGAAGTTGAAATACCTGACGATATACGGGCTCAGCTTGAAGAAGTTGATAAAAAGTAGTGCGTTTAAGAAAACGTTTGAGATTAACCAAAACAAACTAGACTGACAGATGGATTAAGTCTAACTCATAAGGCGTTAACAAAAAATTCTGTTGAGCGATTCATTAATAAGAATATAAAACACTTGAAAGTTTAACATCAATCTTTTTCTTTATAAATATATATCTTTAAATATATTCTCTATCAAAATTTTCCCTTCAATTCTTCTTTTTTTACAAAAATGGATGTTGTATAAATATTTCTTTTACCAATTTATTTCGCCGTTCATTACTTCAAGTAACCATTAATCCATTATGCATATTTACAAAGATAATTAGTGAAGTTTAGAAAATACCAGTATTTCCGTGAAAATGCCCAGATTCTTCTTCTAACTTCAAAATTCTTCTTCTAACTTCTTCTAACTTCAAAAACTACGACACTTTTCTCTGACGAAAAACCTAGTAGGGTTCATATGTCACCATTGTTGGTTTGCTTACTTGCTTGGTCAGCAGTTCATGATGGCTCGCTGTGTAGCTGGCTTGTTTTTCGACCGCATTTCTATATTTCTTTCGAGTCAAGACTCTTATGAAGCCTTCCCGAAAGTCCCTGCTCATCCACGAATACACGAACGGATTAAAACAAGAATTCGCAAACGTCATCAACTTCACCACCGCGTTAAAAGTCCCTTCATTTTCCCCAAAAGTTCCCTCGAAATAATCCGGGTTTACTTTCTGCAGGAAGTAATACAAAGATGACGGTCCCCAACACAGGATGAACAGTCCGATAACAATGGACAAGCTTACAGTCGCTTTCCGTTCTATAGCCCAGGCATCAGTCCGCGGCGTGCTGCCTCTGCGATTTTGATTAAACGTCCCAGCCATTCTTTGTTTTTTTATAATAATCGCGTGCTTGATTGCGATGATGTATATAGAAGTTTGACAAGTCAAAATGACCACGAATGGAAGTAGGACATTGACAAGGATAACTGCAATGCTCCATTCATTTGTTGGTTTAAAATAACAGCTCTCATCGTCATCCTTTTTCCAGAAAAACGGCAGAGCAGACACGATGATCGCCCAACACCAAGCACAGCCTAAGACCACCTTCATTCGCTTAGAAGTGACTGTAGTTTTGTATGTTAGCGGTTTGATGATAGCTAGGGCTCTATCGACACTTATTATCATCAAGCTGAATACGGAAGCGTACTCTGTTAAAAAATACGAGAACCTTGAGATGTCGCAAACGATTTGCTCTTTTTTACCACCAAAAACGTGCTTTTTCGCCAAATACGATGGCATGGCAACCGCGCCGCACATGACGTCAGCAACCGCGAGACTTAGGACTGGGAAGTAGAGGGCTCTGCGCAGCCGTGGCTGGATGACGAATGCACTGCATACCAACAAGTTCCCGGCCACACAGACGATGATGATGAAAACCAGGACTATTGTAACCGCTTCGACGGGAACGTCTTTGGATTGATTTGCACCATTGTGGTTGTCTAGATTCGTGTCATTGTCCATCAACCTGCAAGCAGCAATAAATAAACTTAAATTCAAGTACCGGCGAAACCATAAAATATTAATACACTAAAACTTTTAAGCATCTCTAATGCATCCTAAAACGCACTGTTGATCGCTCGAGGACTCTTAGAACACTTTCTTGAAATATAATCTTAAAATTTTGATGGATTCCTAAATGTTCTTTGTGTTCTTTGAAAACTTTTTCGAAGAATCATGAAAAGCTTTTGTGTGATAGGTTTTCCCGTAGATAACTGATTCTTTATTAAACATACATTTTCCAGCACAATATTTCTTAGACACGCCGTTCTATTTTGTCTTTGAGCTTCGAAATTCAACACAAGATCGTCTCCAAAGAAATAAGTACGACTGTTTACACAGAGGAGAATACTCTGAGATGATCTCCCCGGAAATAATCGCGTATAGACAAAATCTGTCACAGGAACTAACGTCAAATATGAAAGAATTAAGGAACAATCTAGCAGTTCCTAGAGCTTCCGGCGCTTAACGTCAATTGCTGTCTTGGTATTATTCCTAAATGGACACGTCAAACGTAAAAAAAATTCCCTACAAAGAATCTTCCCTACAAAAAACTCTTTGTGCTTGTAAATGATCAGTTTCGCTGCGTTTCCTTTCAGATATTTTACCCTAAAGACTGTTTGTATATTTGCCGTCTGGAAATTGTATATAATTATGAAATCAACAATGAAAATAGGTGTGTGTTCACACGCCTAGTTCTTGAGGTTTTTTTTATCTTCAATCCAGCGAATTCGAGAAACGACGTCTATCAAAGTGTGTGAATACGTTTTTTAAGTAATTTGTCTTTAAAAAACATTACAGGCCATTTAAGAAGGTATGAGAGTAATAATTTCAGGGAACTGGCACGCGAGACATAGCTGTAGTGCACGAGTGACGAGTCTTTTCTAGAAATGGTGTATGAATGATTCTGGTAAAACAGGATATTAGTGATTGCGTAGTACAATTTAAAAACAGAAAGTCAACCGCGCAAGCCAGACAGAAAGTCTCACAGACATCTCAACTGTAAGGACGCCCTTCGATTCGAAGCCAGCATTGTTTATATGGCAAAATATACAGAGAAAAGCGTGGGAAACGGCAGAGTTACAACAAAGCTGCGGGTACGCGGGTACCATCCGTGAGTAATGTTTGCTTTGAATGAGGTTTGTGAGGAAGTTTCAGAGTTGAACACTCTAATTGATCACATGCATGTACTGAAAAACCAAATCTTTCTTTATGCTGGTTGCCAATTGACTCAGTGACGTAACGTCATTTGGAGGAAGGTTTTCAAAACTTGAAATCTTATTTAATTATTAATTAAACTCTTTTTGCTACTCTGGTCGGGAATAATATAGTTTCATTAAATGTGGTGCAAGAACTGCCTAAAATTGACGGGAAGATTTCCCCACGTTGCCAGACCTAAGAGCCTTCGTCAACAGATTCAGCGGAGATTGTATATGAAGGGAAGTATAGGGGTGTGTATATAATATATATAGTGTTAATAAATTATACATCTTTCAAATGGGAAGCTATTTTCGAGACCCATTAAAGTTTACAAGGTGAACGCCAAAATGTACTTAGGCAGCTTAAGGTTGTCACTGTGAAAAAATTCGGCGATTTATATCTTATCACGCACGGACATATTCCATGCCATGGGAAGTTTTCTACTTCAGAGGCATATCCCTTCACCCTTTGCGGCCTTGGCTTTGCTGTAGAGCAACCAAACGCGTTTCTTTAATACAGTACCCGAAGTACTAGGCCTTGCGTATGCAGCCCAGAATCTTGTAAATATATGTTTAACTGCGAAATATTAAATATATATAGGTGGCCGGTGACATAGAAGATGTTTTCAAAATAAGTTTTTATCATCAATCATCACCAACAATAGCTATATCCGTAATGATTAACGATATGTGAAAACTGAACCCTCCAAAAATAGTCGCATTCACTCGCTTCCGATAGTTTTAAGCCTTCTCGATTCCCATTGGAGTCATACACAACACATGTTTTTGAAACCTAAATTACAATAATTACATCATGTACGTGCAAACAACAGTTATTCGGCTCCGCGGTGTAAAAGAAGTTGATCAAGTTTAGCTATAAGCTAACCCGACCATCATATTAATTCAATAAGAAAGAAGGGTGTCATATTGTCGTATTAGCCTGGCTGCTACCTGATGTCTGGACGTCATTGTTATCCTAAATTCAAACATACTATACAATCTATCATCGCAAAAAACTGCATCAGTTTGACTAGGATCAACGACGTGAAATTCAAGGTATGAGAGATATAAGTCACCTGAATTTACTATTATTTTCGTTACCTGTTTAATTTCATTTCAGGTCTTTACCGACCATACAATTGCAGTCAAACCAACCAATATTCAATGGGAAACTTCAAGCAGCAAGATTCGAGATATTAAATTCTCCCGTTCATGAAGTCCTGTCTTCAGTGATAAAGCTACGATGTTATAAAGTTTATAACGTTTTCCAGCTCATACACGACGTTTTTTAAGCGGTTTCCTACGCAAACAAAATGCCCTCATGCTGTGTTTTGTGTATACAAGAGTGTTGCATAAACATTCAATTGATAAACAATGAGTGTTGTCAATCATTCTACCGCCTTTCGTCTTCCGATGTTATCAATGACGTGCTAGATATCCTCAGTTGTCTCGCATGCGTTTATATATAGGCTATATATAGCCGATACGTACTTGAGAGTTTTGCACCGATGAAAAAACGGCATATAATTTCTTAAACGGCCGGTGCATATGAATTGTGAGCATCGAGATCCCTTTGCGCTAAAGGACATAAATTACTCTGCTCGGTTTTGAGTGCGTAATTTGCACTGACATTTGAGAGCTATGATGAGTTATCAACACTGACAGCAATCAGCCAAGAAATAAATATATGTTGGCAAATCTTATTGCCGTTGTAACTTTCTGAGGCTGCCCCTGCATGCGCTGCGCTCGTCTATTTTAGACGATATTCACGATATTCACATCATGTTTATTCGTTAAAGACCTGATAGTTTACGAAGTAAATATTAAATGGTTATATGCAAACTTAAATTTTTCACAAATGCATGAATAATACTGATATAGACATGCATATTCATTTTTTTTAAATTTCGCAATAATTGCTCCTAAAGATACCTCAACTTATACATCCATATCACTTTACACCTTTCTGCGTTGTTAATACTTATTATAGCGCCGAAATTTTTCTCAGTAATTTCTTCCTGAGCATGTAACCGCAACGTCTCACAATGCACCGGCGGTTTCCGCCACCAAAATTCAGAGAAAATGTTCCGCTCCGTCGTTGATTGATACGAAATTTTGATGATAATTTCAAAAACAGCCTGTTCGATTATAAACATTGAACCGTCTCTCCCTGTTGATTTTGCTAATATATTAAAGAAACACCTTTCTTTCCGCAAGTCTTTTAAAAATATTGGATGGAATATCGGACGAGAACATGAAAGCTATCATGAAATTTGAGTTGTGAAAATAAATATTTTTCATTGGCAATCCTTCATAACGTGAACTTGTTTTATTCACCGTAAATAACCTTGAAATTAAAACAATTAAAGAACGACGAAAGCGAATATATTAAATGACAGCTCGAATATGTAACACTTCTGTTTCCTTTTCGGCTAAAGAATATAATTATAGTGTTACATGAGTGCTTCCCTTTGCGAGAAATTTCGTTTTCTCCGCGCCCTATAGTAAAATATATGTTTTCTTTTATTCTCGTATATGCAAGAAATACTAAACCATATTAATATTAAGAGACTAAATTTATTACTATGTCTATAAATTGATTGTTTTGCAGCGCCATCGGTACGCTGTTTAAGATGATAATGCTTTTATATGATCTGGTTTGAAACTATAGTCTATAGTGACCCATTTCCTGAGGGGTTGCGTCAAAATTGTCGATACAACAGTTGTAAATCGCTACTAGAAAGCCCAACGCGCAATGATGCTATGGAAAAGTAGTTATGCGTGTCCTATATACCGGAGACATTTGATTAAACTACATATTTACTGAGCCATACATATATTATTATATATACATACATATATATATATAAACATTCAATAATCTTTTGTAAACAAGGAACTACAATCTTGTGTTTAATATGACAAGAAATACCTGAGTATATATCTTTCTGATCTTGCGACTAATGATAGTTTTGTGGTGCTTGAAAAATGACAATACGATTTTTGAACGACTTACGGCGATGTCTACACAATGCAGTTTATCATATAGATGAGGCATCGGTAAGCAGATATCCTTAATTTAGATATTGCACGTTTAAATACTGATGATTGTGCGTAATAAGATAAGTGTTCGCATGCATGTCTTGAATTCCGTAACGCAAATGTGGTCACATAAGCTGGAGAAAAATCGAGATGCCTTACGCTCGAAAAATATCTGTGCAAATATGGGAGGGTTGATGCATGTTTAGACGTAAAAAAAATCGAGCTGATGCATTTAGAACTACTTATTGGTCCGCGGTGTCACTTTGTATATAGAAACTTGCCACATGCAAACAAAGCCGCGTGCAAAATGAGTTTTTTATATGCTGGAAGATTGGTTGTATAATTAAGATTGTCTAATATCCGTTTTGCCCTTCACATTCTGGGTAATACATGAACCTGATAACAAAAAAATTGCATACTTTTTCCATTTTTACCTACAAGGCCACATATCTGTGTGTGATTCCGCCCGTTTAACCAAGGTAAATCTAGGCTTGGATCGGAGAATTTTTATAAGAAAAATTGGGAGCAGACCAGAGAGGTTTTACACGAGAACCATGCATGAACAACAACTAACCAAAATCCGTGCGAGAAATTTGGATATTGGTATGCAGTTTCGTGCACGCATGCGCGCGCGGGGAATAGGTAGCTATTAGCAAGCGTGCAAATAGAGGCATGGGAAGAATTAAGGCTGTCGATGGCAAACTAATGAAACGATTAGACCGCAACTTCAATGTGTGTTTCAAGTGTTTTGTTTTTGAAACTTGCAATCGAATTAGTAGATATCCTTATTAAAAACACCCTGGTAGCATTGCGGCACCCCCACATCAGTCTCAGTTCGAATAAAACTATAGTTGAATTAATCAATAGCTGATAAACAAAAAACCGTATAGAAATATACCATGCTAGCGGTGAAGGCACAAATATAGAAAAATAAATATATCATAGCCACAGGTCTGCGTTCAAATGTCGTCAAGTTGGTTGGCTTGTGTATTTTAGCACATTCGCCTTGTAATAAACATTAAACAGAGGCCGCGGAAGCATGTCAAAAGTGGGGGGGCACTGACGAAAAGGGGCAATATGTATACTCGATCGCGTGTCACGCACATAGGCGATCATCAGACTATATATATATATATATATATATATATATATATATATATATATATATATATATATATATATATATTATATATATATATATATATATATATATATATCCCCTAAACCACCACAGATAGGAATCAAATGCAGATTATGCAGATGTTACACAAATTAGAACAAAAATTTAATTGGTTAAATGTAACTTTATTGAAATTTTCCAAAATATCCAACTCCTTTTTTGTTTTTGAGAACGAAGTCTTTAGCAATTAACTTTAAATCTAGTTTATCGGTTCTTGTTTTGTTTACTGGCATAGTCATAAGGTTGCAGTAGCGTGCTTCCGTCATCGTGCTCCTTAGATACGTTTTCACGACGAATATTAGGCCAGTTAAACAGAAGGCAGTTGGGCACTTTATTTCTTAAAATTAAAAAGGGCACATTCATCTCAGAAAAAATGGGAAAATCATTTCAGAAAAGGCACTTTTACGTCTAAAAAAGGGCACATTTTCCCCTTGCACGAAAAGTGGGGGGCATCTGCCCCCAATGCCCCCCCGGTTCCGCGGCCTCTGACATTAAACGACATACATCATTTATTATATTTGTCAGTATTCCCATTAGGGATTAAGATACTATCAGAAACCCATGTATTTCCAAAGATATATACTTTTGATCTTTGCGGACCACAGCCGGCGCTATTTGAAATGTTAATATATAGTTCCTTGATTATCTTTTATGAGTTTTATCTAAATTCTGCCGGGATGGATTTCCGAGGCCGACCGTTTGTCTTAGGCGATGAACTTTGCAGCCGAGTTCAAAATTCTTTGTGTGATAAATAAAACATGCAGAAACTGATGACAACGAACTCAGTGCATATATAGCCCTCGCTCGCGGGAGTGAACTAATAAGAGAGAAATCGCTGGGGTAATCTGTGAGATGTGTCCATCATATAAGACTATATATATATATAGTTAATCTGGGTCAAAGTATCGAGAAGTTCTTATCTATTCGAGGCCGTTGTTATACTAAATTGAATGAAAAGTTTTATATATATATAATATAATAATATAAATCACACAATGGAATGTCTTGAGCACTATTAGGTTAAAAAGCGTTCCTTATGTATGTATGCAAAATTAAACTGCGATAATTAATGCAGGACTTATATATAATATATAGCATTGTAGGCTGTCCTGATCTGATATGAGTCATATGACCGGCTGCAATTGCATATATTTTATATGTCACGTCCTTGCTTCTAATGAAATATTGTGTCTGCATGATTATATTTATATATTTTTATATATCCATCATATAATCATTATATCTCTTACACGCGTCTTACATGCAAAACTTGCCGCTCATGCATAAGTGACTTATGAGCTGTCGTTCACGATGCATATATGCACTTTACAGAGAAAAAAAAACAGTGGAAAATAAACTGAAACATGAACCAAATCATAGTCACATACAATTGATAAAATACAAGCATCATGCATATCTAGTTTGAACATACAATAAAATAAACCTATGCACTACAAGGCCATGCTGTTTATAAACACTTCTAAATATATTCATTTGAGATGTTCAGTTATGATTTTTATGTTACCTCAACTAAGAAATTGTAGTTTCGTCCTTCTTTCCAACGAGAACCTTTTTGTTTTTGTATTCTGGGCACGTTTATTGGAAGTGAATAACAATAACAATATAACCACAATGACTTATTGCATGATTAATACAAGGATGTCTGCTCATCGACTTATGATTCTCGAGAACAAAAAAAAATAAAAACGGATTAAGCTAAGATTTCAGAAACTTCACGAATTCTTAAAATCTTTCATTCGCCTGGAGTGTAGGCATAAACAGGGTAGTCTGAATGAAAGAATGAAGGAATTTCAAAATGCAATCACCGAAAACCCATGCATGATAACATGATATCGTCTTGGTTTAGGATTTTTTCCGGGACCAAAGATTTTGAGATCAATATAATATAGTTTGCCGCAAGCTGTAATATATATCCCACACATGCATGCAACCGCCTCTTAACGCAGGTATAGACGTCACGGATTAGGATTTATAGTGGCAAGCTTACACCGCGAAAGTGGGAGGATGATATCAGATTATATTGATGGTATTCTTACGGATTAAGACCCTTCCCATCCTATCCAACACCTCCCAAGTGGTAACTCGTCAGCGCACGTGTAAAAAACAAAACAATTTTAGGAATTTGCAAAGCTATAGGATAACATAAAGATTCGATTTAATCCGCAAAGATATTGCTTTTATTTCACGTTTTATGACGACGTTTTTGTAACTCGCCACGCGCCAAGAAGCTCATCCTACGCCAGGAGAGAATGGTTGGTTCATTGACCGCACGACGTGGAACATATTTTTTTGAAAACGTATATCGCGATTTTTGTCAGATAACTTATGAAACGAAGCGATCGGTGACTCGAGTTACAAAAGTGAAAACCTATAATGGTGAAGTTTTCGCTTCCCAAGTGGTAACCCGTAACCTGACTCCTCAGGGGGAGGGGGGAGTCATAGCTCTATATATTCATATTCATATATATACAGTATATAAAAGAAATCACTTTGAAAATAAATTGGTCAGAAATAAGACGAATATATATGAATACGCCCTCCCCCTGGCCCCTACAATTAATCGTCCAGCTACAGCCGTTGTTTGCTTGCAGATCCTCGCCGTGAACAGCAGTTCCGCAAAGCCTTGCATGGGATCACATATTATCACAACCCTAGATTTCCTTGTTTTTTAGCCAGATTAAGACTATAAAACTAGTTTTAAGTTCGAAGTAAAGCGTATACCCATGGTTAAGGACTAACCTTTATTTCAACGCGGAACTACAACAGGTCTTGCATTGAGCGAAAAAAAAATTAATGTAACCACTAAGTCATCGTGTTTTCAAACTAATACTGATAAAAAAAGGTCATATTGTTTTTGTCACGTATCGTCAACTATATTGACCTGACTAGATTGTTCTAAAATCACTCGAAGTCGGGATATACATAATAGCTGTAAGTAATATGGCTTATTTAAATTTCAAATGGCACTCATTTTTTTTTTCGGGACACGCGGCTTGTGCAAAGCAACCGGGTGTCGCTGACACATTATTACCACGACGACTAAATTAAAACTATGAATAGGATACATCAAAATGGTTTTTTTTTTAGCATGTCGCATTCTTTATTTTCAAAGTGATTTATAGTCTTGTTGGTTCGTGCCCTCGGGTGAAAAAAAAACATGGCGGTTACGCTGATTTTGGTAGGACGGAATAGTCCGGAATCGAAACTCTTTATCTTACCCTATCATCACACGTGGAACTCCCATTCGACCTGGAAGACGGCGAGTCAAACGTCTACTTCCTTCAACTGTCGCTAATTTTCTTCGTGTGTTCCAAGCTGTTCGCTGACTTCGCTCAACTGATTCTTTGCTTATGTTGCATCTGGTCAAAGCAGCAGTGTTGCTTCGCTCTTCAGCCTAAACGTGCGAATGAATGATCCATGCAGATGTTTCCGATATAAATATATAGTTTTATCGCATTTGTGACCGATGACAGTAAACGCTATCTTGCAACTTCATCGCCAGCTGTCTGCATTATCGCGAGTTCCTTTCGAGAACGAGCCTTGTCGCCATCGTATAGCGATAAAGCTTGAAGCTCGAGAAATGATATTCGTATGATACGAGGGCATTTTTTGAAACGAGTTTCTCCAATTCATTGTATTATATCCTGGCCAAAAACCAGGCAAAACTATAGCTTTTAAAGCCACGATTTACGGTGTTGTTGTCACGATCTTAAGTGCAATCTCTGTGTCGTCAATTCTTTTGAGATAAAGCCAACCACCGCTTGTTTGAATCTCGGTAGAAATCGCACTAGATTGACCTAAATCGGTTCCAAATTGTGGGATACGCCATACTGTTTTCGTTTGAACATTCGGAGGTCACACCTGGGTCTTGGGCGCCCGTATTGAGGAGGCCCGGGGTGGATATACCCGACTGCTTTTATTGGAAAGCGATTTTTTTACTCTATGTCAATATGAATATATGAATACTTAAACACAACGGGGTGCACAGGTAAAAAAACGTATTCTTTTCGTGTGCAAATTTTCCGCAAAGTTATAGCTGACCTAATTAGGCAAGTCTTTATCGCCTTTCTCACGCTTATATAATGCATCTATTATAACCCCAAGGCAAAAGAAATAAATTTATGTTTTAGATTACTTAATGATTCACTTTACCCAACTTCTGTCAAATTATAGCACTAATATGGGGCATCTTTTTATATGAATATAGGCATCAGGTTTTAGCGAGGGACACACCTGCTTTCAGGGATTGGAACTGGGGGTTCAACGTGTGTAGCCAGGGCGATCCTAGGCTGGTTTTGCTAATTTTCGAGCGAAGATCTTTCAAGCAAGACCCAGCAAGTTTTTGAAAAGCGTTTATCGCGTACCCGTTTAAGACAATAGCTTGTGTGAAGCCGGCGTCTCTTGCAAAACAATTCATGCAATCATGCTAATTTGCCAACAGACTTGGATTGTCTTTTGCCTTGAGCCATTAGACTATTCTATAGAGTGAACTCAACTGGGAGTCTTCTCATGAGGCCTGGGGGGTTTTAACAAAAAGCATTAATCGATCGAATGCTTTAATTAATACGCTTTCCTGTTTGCTGGCTGATGCGTTTCAGAACAATTTCATAGTTTACGTATTATTTACCTATAAAAATTGCCAAAATGAAGATAAAATCTCAGCGGTTCAAGAAAGCGCAAACTTATCGTTTTGGTGAGCATAGGATTGGATTCGAGCATTTACCAACCCGAGAAAAATCGGTGTTTTCACACAAACTGCTTTCGTTTAATCAATCAATTGGCTGCGAGTTCATCGCGGTATCTAGACTGCTACAGTATTTTTTATATATAGGCTTTTCCCACCTACCTGTGCATCGGAAAAGATTTCGATGAAATGAGAAGTTACGGTGTACAAATCGTACAAATTTTCCTCGGTTTTGACAAAGAATCAAGTCTAGCAGGACCCAAAAATATCGCAGACAGTCAAGTCAGAATCTCTGTCTTTTGTCAGTTCCCCCTGTGTCGTTCCGCACCTATATACAAGGTGCCAAAACCTGTAAACTGCAGGTGCTCTGTTTGACTGAGTTGTTTGTCTTCAAAGCCAATTGAAATACAATGTGTTTTTTTTTCTTTTGATGATAATTTTTCAAGTGCTGACGAATGTACAGCAGCAATCACAACTCACATCTTGTTTGCTGCTGGCATTTTGATTGATTGAATGTAAACAAGCCTAATTAATTTACGCACGTATTGCTTGATTCTGGATATCTGACATAAGGTCGTATACTACTACAAAGAAAATTAAACTTGCTTTCTTCGAGCAAGGCTTTTCGTTTTCACACGGGAGAAGACGTTGTTCACAAGGGACCGTTGTTAGTAAATTGCCCAAATCTTTCTTCGAGCCAGATTTTAATCACACTTTCTAATTGCTTTCCCTTAATTAATGCTTTGTGCATTCATATGGGATCTCTTAATTCCTGTCTCTGAGGTGTCTGAAATCTATACCACATCTGTGTAAACCACATCAGTATTCTCTAGGAAATTCTTTAGTTTTATCTATAAGTATTATCCCTCCTTGATGAATGCAGTACAGCGATGCATATATAGGTCATCAAAAGCAACAAAAATCTCGACCCACGGTGAGCTCTTTATCGCACGATACTTCAAATGAAATGGACGTTGGAGGTTATGACGTAAACGGCAGTTACGTTAAAGAGTGTTATTGCATGCAGAACAGAATTCCTGCTGTTGGAAAGACATCCTATACGAACACAAGCGTAAAATTACATGTTAATGAAGGTAACTTGTTCATTAAACTTCCACTCCAGATCATGCATTTGTTTCAAAAATGATGGATTCTGTGAAGTGCGAAAGGTCACGTTCTCATTTCAGTCGGACTGGCTTTGAGAATTGAAAAGCACGCAAAGCTACTTGCTGAATTGACGCAAGTTGTCCCCAGACGCTCGCAAACGTAATCAAATGTTTCTTCGTAAACACAACAGATCAGCTGCTAACTTCACAATCACACCCACAGATCAACACTTCACATATAATATCCCGTAGCGAGATCTAAAGTAGAAAGACTCCGAAGAACATTAACATCACGTAGGGGAAGCTTAATATTGATTTATAGTTATCTTGATTTCCATCCTAATTCTCAAATATTTCGTAATAAGACGAGATAAGAAACGTGTCTCGCTAAATATATTTCAAAAATGGTTGAGAAAAAAATGACTTTCATGTTATAAAAAGCCAGACGGCAAACGTAGGGAAAGTCGAAAATATGCTCCCCTACGATGCTATCTTGTAATTTTTCAATTAGAATGTTTGTAATTGCACATTAATTTATACATCGCAATTAACATAAAACTCGTAGACTAACATAGACCCTGACAGGAATACAACTGGCCTTGTAACACAGTTATTAAAGTTAACATGACGTCGGTATAAATTAAATTCTGATATTGATTAAATTAAAACAGCATAATGATGTGCATATCAGATTTAAATCCACAACATGTTGCTAGTTCAACATGGCCTTCTTATTAATATTTGTGCGTTCATTGTATGTTGTTTCAAGTTAAAGTTTAGCAGTATGTGTGTGCATTGCGATCTATATACGGTGACTGATCATTTTTCATGAGAGTTAAATGCAAAAATTTAAGTATTGATATCAGTCAGGAGGCAGGTCACAATGTGCAAAATTATTAAGTCTATTCTTATTCTTGTTATTGTGAAATGTATAATGTCAAAACTGGGACCGCAGTCACCGCAGTAATTGGCGCAAGCTGTTGTGATTACCCTGCCAGTTGCGTATAAATAAAATATGGCAAAAGTTTGTAAATTAAATGAAATTAAAATTATTTGCGAAACCGTTCATTTTCAAAATGGTACATTTGAAAACTCTTTTCATGAAGTATCCTCTCTGCAGCTGACACATAATTATTGAGGATTCAAAAGAGTTTTGTTATCTTTCAAAAGTTAATATTTTTAAAAAATTTTTTCCCAGTTTTGACGTGTTATTTTTCACGATTTTGCACAGCTGGATTTGTTTCCTGGAAAAACATTGAAATCGTTGCTTCGTAGCTTCATCTTTGCTCGATCCTAAGGTATATTTTTGGTGGACATGACAACAGCTATCAGGGAGTTGAGATCGCTCGAAGAGTGGAAATCTGAATGGGATATCCTGTCCGGTGAAATCAAATCATTCAAAGTAAGCTTCAGTTTATAATATCTGGGTTTTATCGATGTAGTTGTTGTAAAGGTTTTTTTGTTTTCGAAGTGTATCTGATCGATTTAAATGGAATTCTTTGATGTTTTTTTACGAATATTCAATATTGCTTCATTGTTTATTCTTTGTGTTGTGAAATATATTTCAAATATTTGATTGCTGTGTACTGTATAGTCAATTATTGTAAAGTGTGTACAATGCATCCCTGTAAGGCTGTAACCACAAGGTGTACGTCAATCAGCAGTAGTTGAGTTCCTCTTCATATAAGCATTGAATTCCTCTTCATACAAGCATTCTATACCATATCAAGCCATTCTTGTAGTTCCGCAGGAAACACTGCAAGGTTTTAAGGACCTTAATCCATGTAAATATAGTAATCTCCGGCTGGTTGCATAAAACTCCTAACTACATTTTGCATAGTTAAATCCTAGTTAACTCAGGAATACACAACTCTGAGTGGCCAATTCTCTCCTTAACTACAGTTTTTGTTAACTGGCCTTTTATGCAACCTCCCCAGATGTGTTTCCTGTAGATTGAACTTAATCTATTCTTAAACAATTATATTTTCTTCAGCAAACAAAATTGGCTGAGTATAATGATATTATGGCACAATGGCAGAATGCTCAAGCAAATTGCTCAAAAGTAATTACGTTGCAAAAGAAGAAAGTGGAAGCCTTTAAAGATTCATTGAAAAGGTTGGTTGAGTAGCTCCAATAAAGAAAACATGAAAATATACTTATTTACTTGATAGCTCTATCAATTCTGAATGGCTCTTCTCAGAGTTCAAGTAAGAATCATATGTCATCCAGGTGATCCAGCCATTCAATGGAGAAATGGATATCACCTGGTTGTATCTGATCTTCTAGTTCTATTTCTATTGTCATATTTTTTCCAAGGGTGTCAAAATCTTGCAAAGAAGATGAGGCGATTCAAGGACTTTATAAGAATATTGAGGAAAATGAAAAGCAGATCCAGGAGATGAGTAAAAATCTTCCTGTGAACATAGGGTATGAAGTGGTCATATTATTGAAATGATGTAAAACCTTGACAAATATCAAATACAATGGCTAAAGAATGGTTGAACGTTCGCCATTTTAGATTGTTCCTGAGGTGTTGTCTGGGAGATATTGACCTATCATTGTACAAGAGGAAGTAAGGGAACTACGATCAATGTCCAAGACATGTTGTCCAAGTAAACTTGTCTCTCCCCTGCATAAAATAATTTAAATCTGTTTTCAACTTCATTACAGACTCCAGTACAAGAACAAATATGAGAAGTTCAAGATGATTATGACCCTAATATCATTCTTTTTCTCCATTCTAAATTTGCTTGTTTTCAACCACAGGTAATTGTGACAAAAACTCTCAGAACAAAGTTCTGTAACAAATACATATTATGGCCGTATTCATCCCAATATGCGGACTATTCACACTTTCAAAATTCCATTGCTTCACAGATTCACAGATGCTCTCTTCCATGCAGTCCTCCTGTGGTACTACAGTTCACTAACACTGCAGGAGCATATTCTTCTTGTTAATGGTTCGAGGTATTGTTGAAATATGTGGTGAACACAAGATTCTAAAGCATATGTTTAACTCTACCAGTTTAAGAGACAAACCAATATAGAAAAAGTAGAATTAAACTCAAAGTGGACATTCACTTGATACTTTGAAATGTCTTTGAAGAAAAATGTGATATTTTTTTCAGGATAAAAAATTGGTGGATTCTGCACCATTATCTATCGATTCTGCTTTCTGGATTTTTGCTGATATGGTAAAAACTAAATATTAATTTGAGTTAGGAATGAGTGAATGAGAGTGCTGACTTCAAATGCAGTTCAGTTCATTTTTCATTGAATTTCGTTTAAAATTTATCATTTAGGCCAGACGGTTTGATTTATGAAATGTATAGAAACCAGTTCATATACTTTAGTATTTATTTAAGTAAGTATAAATTTCAGTCCTCAGCTATATGTTTATATAAACAAATATATGGAATTTATTTCAAGCTTCAAATTTCCGTGGACAAATTGTCCCAACTTGAAGACATGGCTACTCTGACAAAAAATACGAATTTAAACTTAATTTTCTCTTGCGTTTCTACGGGTAGGTTTCGTTCAATTTCTGCAGTACAATTATCAGAAACGAGTCCTTTACAGATTGAGAGCTTTGGGTGCCAGTCGAACGATGGACGTTACTGTTGGTGCGTTTAATTTGAAGCCTTCTCGATAAAATTACATCTTTTCTGGATAACTCAGAAACGTATTTCTTATATAGAGGGTGTCGACACGAAGCGATCCACTGGACTTGGATTTATTGTTCCGTTTTTATGCGTTGGTTATGTAAGTAAATGAAGAAACGCAAAATGTATACAAGCGCTTCTTAAGTGACGAACCATATTCAAGGTGTTATAATTATGAGCTCTACTTACAACATTACAAATCGCGGCAAAATGCGACAAGATTTCTTTCGAGTAATTTACTGGAAAGAGTATTTTTGAACACACTTACAACCCAGTATAACTAGGGTTTGTATCTTGTTCTTTTAGTTTCTACAGTTTTATAATGCTTTCATTCTATATCGACTATCACGACACCCCAAGTGCGATTTATGGCAGGTACCTTTTTTACCGCTATACTCTGTTAATAAAGTATCTCGGTTTTAGTAAAATAAATTGCATGCGATTATAGCTAATATTTTCTACAATTTTTTCAACAGGTGCCATGCTGTGCCGTGCTTTTCCTGGTCCTGGGCGCTGGAAATCTCATAACCTTAATTTATGTCATCAAACAAAAAGCGAAAGTGCATCTAAAATCAACATAATTCACGTAGAATTTATGCAACGGAATTTCAGAAAACATGACGTGAACTAGCTCTTCAGAAAACTTTCAATTTCTTCGCGTCCCAAAATTTTATAAAAAATTTCTATGACCCAACGTAGCGATTCGACGTCAACCTTCTTCAATTGAATAATATATTTTAAATAATATATAAAATCCTTCTTTCAATAGTTTGTAATCATTGACCATGCAGCCATATATGCCTCCCAATATTAATAATATGTCAACTTGTTAAAAATACTGGTTAGTTACTATAGAATATAAATTACTAATAATGCCACTTTCATTTAAAAAAATATTTACGATAACACAATAAATACGTCTTATTTTAACTTAGTGATATATCTATTTTGAAAAAACTTGCAAATAATTTATAAAATTTGTTTCAATATTAGCATAAAAGACTTTGAAATTGCTCGAGATTCTATGAGTAATCTTCGTGCTCAAAAATGAGTTGGGTGTCCGCTCCGGGAAACGACCAACCATCGCCGTGGTCTATGCTGTGTTGCACTCCGAATTGCCCCGACAGCTTTATCGCTTCCGTCATGAGAAGATCGACAGGTCTGTGCAACAAATGCGGTAATCAATACCCAAGTAATCAATACCCAAGTAATACCCAAAGCTCAAAAGAACTGCCAACCATCGACCATTGATCAGCAGAAAAACGGTCATAAAAATAAACCATATTCCGGTACCTACTTCGGTCATACGACCATGGTCGACTGTATCATATTCCGCTATATTCGACCATGGTCGAATTTCATTTTTCTACCTTAGCGCTCATTTTGACCAGTCACATTGATGACGGAGACAGTGATAATGTTTTATAGTACAAAACATGTTCACACAATCCATTTTTGTCAGATTCAATTCACTTCTGACGCATAGAATGTAGTCTGTTATTGATAAAGTAGTATACTGCTTTGGCTTTAGTTGATTTGCTGCCATATACATTGCATATCACCAGACAATAAAATTAACTTCCACAAGCTCTGACAAGATTGGATCGTGTGAAGAGACCTAAGTTCTAAGATGGAATAAATACCTGTCAATAGGATGAATGATGACTGGTATTGCACCAAGACCTGCCGCTGTTGTTATCCACGATTGAGTTCCTAACGGTATTTGCGATGCAAACCTTTTGAGCAAGATCCCCATTACGAAACATATTCTGTTGATGGTAAACCCAGGGATAGCTACAGATGCTAAACCTTGCCAGATAAGCGCCTCGATGAAGGCTTCCGTACACGATCGTAATCTCACGTTTTGAGAAAGATCTTCCTTCGCCTGGAGTGAAAATTGGAGGTGATATCTTAAATATTACCAATCTTTCTGGACAAAAGTAGTACTCTACAATAAGCTGTGGTGGTTTGTGTCTGAACTACCTGAGAAAGATATCTCAAACGCGGTGGTCCAATGTAGGTAGTAGTCCACAATAAGCTAGCGTCATGGCTTACTAAATATAGTCTTAATCCAACTAACCTTGTACATTTCCAGACTCTTAGACGAGGCGTCTCCTAACGCGTAACTTGACGCTACAAAATAGCTTGCAAAATACCCAAATCTTGGTATATGAGATTTGAATGCTTCGCCAATCTCGTTTGCGTAACCTGTGTGTAGAAATGAGTGCAAATTCGATGGGTCTTGAAGTCCTTAGCATTACAAGAAACACCGCATAACGAACATATGGCACAGTAAAAGACAAAAGTTGAAATGGAAAATGTGCGGAAATGAAGTATTTAAAGGTTTATTTTTAATTAACAACCGACCAAAATAACAAAACGTGCTATCTGACAACCAGCTGAGTACACGCAATAGAGAAAACCAAAGTGAATAGCGTTTTACCTAAGTATCTAATCCAAGTATCGCGAAAAAAGTCGATTTTCGCTCCTTTGCCGTCCGCCATCTTGGATTTTCTCTTCGCCATTCAACTTGAATAGCGAATCAGATATCGTCGTGATGGTTGCCAAGTGATAGCCAATCAGAGCTGCTCATATATTGTACTTCTCTCTTGCTCTGCATGAAAACAAACCGATATTTTAAAATATGACATAATGTTTTGAACCTTTTTGCAAGACGTTTTTGTTATTTATCTGGGCAATAAACCCTAAAGGAGAAAGGGAGTAGAATCGTAGAAGGGTACGTACCTTGCGCTGCAAAATGCGTCCTTAAAATGATTAAGATTCGAGATTTGATTAAAAAGTCAACGTATTTTAAATGGTTCTAATTGAGTGATATTGAGGTATTTAAGACCCTGAAATGTATCAGTTGTAAGCAAAATAAATAAATACGTGTTCCGTCCAATTCTTTTTCCTTGATATACAAGTATATTACTTTAATAGTCCCGCATAAGTGAAAGACAAAGTCCTCCTATGAACATCTCACCTTAAAAAATGAAAAGGGGTTTTGCTAAACACACAAACTCTATTACAGGACCTACTCAACCATGGATATCACGAAATCCTCTGGGCTCACATTTGATATCATTCTTGATGAAAATGTTACCAGACCTGAACCGAAAAGAATGATTTTGCTGAAAAACAAACGAAAGGAGCCGTTGACCGCAGATGAAATTGAAAAAAGGCAGAGAAAAGCAGAAGAGCGAAGACAAGTTTGTTTTTTCCTCGTTTTCTATCAGTTGGTTTGTGAATTGCACACAGATCAATATGTCTGTTTATGATTTTACTCTAGGCTAGAATTGAAGCAAGGCTGAAAAGAATGCAAGAACGAGAAGAAGCGACAAAAAGCCTTGCATGCAAAGTTGATAAATTATTACAACAACAGTTGTTAAGAGCTGGCCAGCATCCAAATTCTGACAATGTCCCAATCATGTCGCATCGAGAGGTCTTGAAAACTGCATACGACGTTGTCAAGGGATTTCAAAAGATGCAGCAACAACTGATCAACATTGACCTTAAAGTTGATAAACAAAATCAGCAAACGTCTCAGATGCCTGAACTGCAAAAGAGTTCAAAGGTGGATCACAGTATGCATGAAGGAACAATTAAGGATCTCAAGGAATCTCAAATATCTGTATCAGATAATTCTACAGCAGAACAAAAGCCTAAAGGAGTTGTGTTTGAAATCCCATCTGATGTGAAGGCTCCAAAGCGTCGTTCAAAGAAGCCGCCCATAGCAAGGTTGCAGAAGAAGGATTCAAGGCAAAGAGCTGACCAAGAAATGGCTGCCATAAAATTGGAGGTGAAGCAGCAAGAGGCAGCAGAACGCAGACAGGTTTAGTATTGAATGGTTTAATGCCACTGCGATTTTTAGATGAGATTGCCAAGGTTTAACAACAATATTTCTTTTGTTATGCAGCAACGGATTGAAAACAAAGTGCGTAAGACTCGTGAAAGTCGAGAAACACTGATGCAACTCCAAACCAAAATGAACATCTTTCGAGAACATCAAGCAGCAATCGAAGGAAAAGCTGATTCTCGTATGATGTTATCTGAACACGAGGCTGCTTGCCTTGCTCACGATATTGCAGATGGCTTTAGCAACATTCACAGCAGGTACAAGGCAGATCTGGAAAGAGCTGAGTTATTCTTTATGGTCTATGATAAGAAGTAAATGTGAGCACAGTTAGCTGTCCTGAATATAGCATAGAGGAACAGTTAGACACATGATAGTGTTTGATTATAAAAACACATGATGACTGTATATAAATGTATACCTTGTATTATAAATACTAGATAGACAAGCTGGGATAGTTTTGTGCCAACTTCCTATGGCTAAAGCTTCAGTGAAAGTTGAAAGCAATAACCTTATTCAATTTTGTGCATACAAAGTGCATCCTATATATATTAAACACTCTGTTATATAGATTATTTTTGTATATATATCCACAATAAAAATCCACTATTTTTACTTGATGATACTCTAAGTCTTATCTCCGCCAACCTGCTGTACAAAATCTGGCATCTTCCTTCTATATTTCAATGTGAATGGACCTGCAGACTGCCAAGGTGTTGAAACCTTCTCATTAGCTCAATACGGTTGATATAACAACCTCTTTGTCAACCCGAGGCCTTTTGACATGTCGTTCTAATTTCTCCCCATAATAGCCGAGTCCAGTCTTACAATGTGGTAATTCGTTAGGAATTGGTTCGGTTATACCTTGAGAACTGCCTAAACTGGATCCTTTCGTCCAACCTTGCTCCTTCATTAATTTGCTACCAAACCCCTTGGTGTGTTTTTCAAAACTACCGATATCCACGTTGTGATCAGCTTCCAAGTCTCTTTGTTCTGCATGTCTAATGTCCATGAGAGCTTTTGCATGTCTGTCACCATAGCCTGTCATGAAAGATATTTATCTTTTATTGATCAAGTGTTACTATAGGAGGAAACCTAAACTAAACTAACTTTATTTATTCTGGATAGCTCTATCAGTTCTAAACTGTTCTTCCTAGAGGCCCAGTAAGGATCATCTCTTATTGATTCAATGTTACTACAAGGAGAAAACCTGGACTAAACTAATTTTTCTCATACTGGTAGCTCTATACATTACCTTCCTTCTCATATATCCCCATATCAATGTCCCAGTCATCAGCTGTTTGCTCATCAAAGTCCCCACTTAAACTGTCCCAATATGCTGCATCAGTATAAAACACCAACCCACTTCCTCCCTTTTCCCATTTCAGTTCAATCTTATTCTCAAACAGCCGCTCCTTTGTCCGACCTTGGGAGTCCACGTCATCATGGAGTGCTTCATGTCGTTCCCAGTCTTCTTCCGGCTCAGAATCTGTGTCCGATAATGGCTCATTTTCATTACATGAAGTACTTTGTTCATCAGCAACATTTTCCAATGATGAAATGCTTATAGTCCTGGTCACATTACTCTGCTTATTCTCAGTGTAAGTTGCATCACTTAGTGATGATTGGTTAATTACTTCATTACTGTTTTCTAACAAAGGTCCTAACGAGTTACATTGATTTAATGCCCTTTTCGAATTAAGAGTTTCTTTTAACTTTCCCTTTTTTTTCTTGAGAAACGACTTTTATTAGCATTGTTTGCATAATCAAACCTCACATTGCCATAACAACGCTTGCTACGGCCGCTTGGAAAACTAAGCCCCAACTTCTTGATTATGTGCGGCGGCAATTGACATGAACGGATCAAACTCATGAAGCTTGTTAAAGTGGTACCGACATTGCCATTTGGCATGAAAGACGGGGGATGAAACTCAGAGAGTTTGATCAAGTCTTCCATGTCAAATTCAACTTTTTCTCTCTTGTGATTTCTTGTTTCCTTCCTTGTCTTATATATATCACTTGCTAAAAGCATTAAAAAACCCATCAGATTGTGATAACATTCCCTCACTAAACAAACTTATATACATTGTTTCAACTTACATCCTTCAGAACTTTTGATAGTTATCCTAGAAATTACAGCCTTTTGGGAGCCTAATTTTCCATGTCTATCTGTCCAATTTTCACCGTCGTAAACCTGAAGTAATTCTCTCAAATTCTCCTCCTTTAATCTAACAACACAACACGTTGTCTTGCCTTTAATTGACTCCAATGTTGCATCTAAAAAGTTGTCACCATTTTCGTTTTTCCGCTTCAAAACCTCGGGTCTATGGCGAAAATGAAAGCAGTCGAACTTCCCCGATTCAATGAACTGCGAAAAAAACGAACGCAGGTCCACAGAGTGAAATTTTGAAGGAATATTTCCGACTAAAACATAAGAAAATTCACTGTTTGCGAAACTCTCATCCGCCATTTTGATTTCGACCGCGTAGAGACTGAGGAAAGCATAAAAAGTAAAGTGAAAAAAGTGAAAATGCAATAATACCTAAAAAAGATTTAAAAGTAGTGATTTGATCAAATTAACTGCTTTATTCTCTACTAATGAGAACAGAAATTTTGATGAAGTTGTACTGGGCAGAGAAAATGCATGAATATAATTTTCACTTAAACCTTTACCGATATATATCCGGGTGATAAAAGTAGTGTTGTCCTGGCATATCTATCTCCCCAAAGACGCTTCTAGCATCTGTATTTCGGGCAGGTAACCGCAGGTTGCAAAATGCGGAGAGCAATTTTCCAATTTCTTGATTTTCTCTGATTTTCTCCCATTTTCTTCCCAAATTTCCACCCGCACGAAATACCCGCCTGCAAATGTGCCCGGAAAAAGGGCTCCAATGTTACAATCTATACGTGTTGTTGACTTTTTGGTCTACTCCATATAAAACCATTGAAATTGGAGCATTTGTGTTTGTATAGAGGTGAAAATGTTCGAGATAGTAGAAAAAATTAAAAGTATACCTGTCCATATGGTAAGATATTTTATTTGTCTAAGCTCAAAAATGTACAAATGTAACAGATGTTTATTTGGAGTTGCATCTAACCGCGATCCGGTGTAAATTATGGACTATATTTGTGTTCATTTGATACTCGTTATAGGACTACAAAGGTCAACAGTTCGCTGAAAAAGTGTTCAATGTGATCTTGATTTTATTTGGTGTAAGTGAATTATATTTGATGATAGATATAGTGTGATCTACCTTCCAATTTTGTCGGATCTAATTCACTTCTGATGGATGTATTATAGTCTGTTGACTTGCAAAGTAACAGCAATCAAATCAACAAAAGCCAATGCAGTACAGCTTTATCAAAACGGATTACATTTCATACGTCAGCAGAGAATTAGATCTGACTAAAATGGATCACATGAACAGGCATTTAACTAGTTTATTTTGTTATAGGCATGTGGATTCGTTGTGGGCTATTATAAGCAACAGTTTCATGTGTCAGTTCTATTTTTACTCAGTGGTTTTTTATTGAGCTGTCTTGTAAGTATACAAGAATTTAAAACCTAGGAAAGTACTTCTTGATTTTGATTGGGGAAAGCTATGTCCACAATTTCATTTCCTTCAGATTGTTCTTCCACCCTGGCCGTGTTATCGAAGACATCCATTGCAGTGGCAGAAACCAAGAGAGAATGCAGAAAAAAGCGAGGCAAAGAAGGATGCCAGAAAAAAGACTAAAGCAAACTAATTTATTCTTGTATACAAGTTCTATAAATAAAAAAATTGAAAATATGCTGTCTTGTTTTTTCTAGTATTTGAAAGTTTTTGAATTTTATAGAACCTATGAATATTTAACTTATAAACTATAATGCTCAGGAATAGAAAAATGTGTAAAAAAAGTCTTTCTTGATTTTTTAATTAACATGAAGTTCTCGGAGGACGCTGACCTGTGGCGTGATCTGCGAACCGTCGCCATGGGAACGCAATTCATAAACAAATTGTACTCGAGCGAATTTGTTGGCAAAGAACATGCCTTTGACTAAAATTCCCAAAAAAAGGGAGCCTTTGTGGAAAGAATGGAACCATAACGCTGATAAACGAGGTGTTAGGAATACGTTTTATGCCGTGAACGGCGATCAGTACACTGGCGAATGGGAAAATAACGAAAAAAACGGTACGTAACTAATATATAAAATATATAAATAAAAACTAGGTGTACGATAACCCCCCGGAAAATGTACGAAGTTATTAGTGATGTTGGAATTTGATTTACGTTTGCCGGGGGTGAAAAAGGTTGCACACAGACAAAGCAAACTGAGGCATTTTTCAGGAGAAAATTTGGTCTGATTTGCAGAAGAAATGTTATTGAAATCTTTGTGAATTTCACAGGTAAAGGAACCCAGGTTTGGAAGAAGACCGGGGCAATATATGACGGTGATTGGAAAGACAATCAAAGATGCGGCTTTGGTACGCTGAGCTATCCTAGTAAAGATGTGTTTAGAAAAGTGTACTCAGGTGGATGGAAAAATGATAAAAGACATGTATGTGGTTTTGCTAGACTTTACTTTCCCATCATTCATAGACAGAATGTGTATATGGTTCCACTTAAAATGTACTCCACACTAATAAGTATTTAGTTGTCATAAGCTGATTTAGATGAGGTGGATTTATTTTTAGGGCTATGGTACAAATTTCTACACCAGTACAAAGTACTACGAGGGTGAATGGTATGCAGACAAGCGAAGTGGATGGGGACGAATGTACTACAGTGATGGTTCAGTTTACGAGGGAGAATGGTTTAATGATATGAAAAAATGGACAAGGAATGCTCAGGCTAGGTATAGCTGTCATGAATGACTAGCACTATGTTACTAGCATTAGGGTAACTAATGTTTTAACTGGTTACTTAGTTCCAAGTCTGGTTGTTGATTTTGTTTGTTGTCATTCCACTGCTGAGGACCTATGCAGGATTACAGTGCATGAATTTGTATTTTCTATTTTCCAGCAAATGAAAACAGGTACGAAGGTTTGTGGAAAGATGATAAAAAGCATGGAGAAGGGAAATTTTTTTACCTGAACAAAGGACAGCTTTACACTGGGGTGTGGGTGGATGATATTGCAAAGTGTGGTACGATGGAAGATTTTGGTAGAGAGGGGGCACCAGAACCCACAGTTTATCCCATACCAAAGGTGGGTGTTTTATTAGAGATCTTCTACCCATCACCCTCATTGATGGTATAGTCATATGTCGTATTGGACATGGTGGAACTTATGTGGATAGATTGTGATATTATAGTCTTGTTGAGCCAGTGTGTAATTATTTTCATCTTACATGATCTAGTGTGAGCTTCTTGATCAAAATATGGTTGTGAAAGATGCAGAAGATAAATTTCTTGAGCAATGTGAAAATCAATAACCCACTTCAATTAATGCAAAGAAGAAATGCATTACAAATATATGAACAATGAAATACAAATCTGCTTGCAAAATTGACCTTTCAAAATATGTATATATTCTAAACATTGCACAGAGGTTATTTTTTTCCAAAATATTACAAATATGCATATTAAAAACAATGTACCACAAACGTATGTTGATGCAAGCAGGAATGAGTGATGTACATTTTATTTACAAATGTATTGTCATTGTCATATCATATAACCTAATCAAGGATTAGCTGGTTAATAATGAGTATGGTTATATATAAAATGTACTGTACATAGCCTGTATATATGTATAAATTGACTTTACATTATATCCCATTTTTAAATACAATTGCAATTACATTAGTCCTAGCTAGACTGCCAAATCCTGTCTGCTGATTGGAGCAGTTTTTTAGCTGCTCACCATAACAGACTTTAAATTAAACTGTGCGGATATCTGCAGGATGCAGTTTGTCTACGTACATTTGCAGTTCTTCCAGTCCTTGCGACGACTGCTTGTACTTATGTTTGACAAGCATGTTGTAGAAATGCAGAGCAAACCAGATAAACACGATACCGACTGGAATGAGAATACATGTTGAAGCAATAGCAGCTTCTTTACTTTTGTTGTAAAACTGCACCCATGCGACTATGGCAACCTCGGCAAGGAAAAGCAGTGTTCCAAGGCCTGTTGAGAATATCCATGCAGTTTCAATATAGTAATGCATTCGCTCATGAAGGGAATAGTCAACGTTCTTGTTGTTCAGACTGTAGCTGCTCGCGAAACTGTCAAGGTTTGGTAAAATGCACACAGATATCATGAGGGCAAAGACGTGGATTGAAATTAGAATTGTTGTTAGCACACTAAAAGCAATTATCAGACTTGGAGGTATGTCATCTTCAATCTGGATTTCCACCATTGCAACCTGAAGAAGACAATGTCGGTCAGCGCAAAAAATTAATTTAAGAAGATGAAATCCTTCTTGTGGGAATGCACTATATTTCTTCTTAAACTTACCATTGCAAATCCTGACATCAAAGCTGATGTTCTACTTGACGCCCGTAGTTTCCCTTTCCGTAAAAACAACCGTCGCCAAATTAGATCCTGGGCACGACCATCATCAGTAGGAACACTGTAAAATAATCAATGTCACTAATCAAGTACAAGAAAGTAGTATTACAACACAAGTCATTAAAAAATTATACATCATAATTGGAATGCCGGAAAAAAATAAATAAAATCTTTAGTCATCAATGCATTTACGTCCATGAACATTCGTTCAAAAGATTGACTTCTTGTCTGCTCGGAGCTTGAAACGTAAACTTAGTATCAGGTAAATTTGGATAATTATATTTCAGATCACAGGTGTGCAATTGTTGAACATGATCTGTATTACATAAGATAACCTAATGAGCATTGATCGAAGGATCGCTAAATTTGGCAAAATTTGAAGCAGGACAACTCAAAGCTCATTTAAAAGAGTCTAGGATACTCCTGCCTTGCAATTTATGAAAATATTTAGAGATCGATATAATATTTATGGTTTAAATCAAACCTGTTATATTTATCATTCATCACTTGCAAGTTCTCCGTTTGGGTCGCCATGTTCCTGTTTACATCGTGTGACCAATGGTCATCACAAATTTGAGATCCCCTCAGGATCCCCTTCTCTACCCTTTTCCCCCCTTCTAACACCGCAGACACACCCACACACTTTTGATACATTTTCTAAAAAATGTTTTTCTTTGCGACCAATCGTTACAAATAATTTTTTCAAATCATTCACTGCTTGCATATTTTCCGTCGCGGTCCATAGAGATTATGAATAACACATTGTGTAATATTTATAATGATTTATAATCTTTATGTCACATAGCAATCGTACATCTTCGTCACAATATCGGTGATCGGTACCTGCCGGGGCCCGGAGGTACCGGTTGTTGTCATGGCGATATGGCATAACAGTGATGGCGTGCAGTGTTTGGGAAAGTTTGGGGTCGTCATGGTGACACCGGTAATTGGCCAATCAGCTCGCTAGAAAGAATTTTGAAGCAGGTGTACATATATTTTCAAAATAACACTCATTAGCTTCAGTTCTAAACACGAGAAAGCAAGCGAGTTAAAGCTCTTCAAGTTATATAAAATAAAAAGAAATATACAGAACCGGGAATTTAGGTAAGGTTCATACTATAAAAGATTACTATTCTTTTTGTTTTATTACGATATCCTCGTATATGTCGGTGCAATCGTGGGTATTCGCAGTCGTGCTAGAGTTCAATATTTTTACTTGCAAACAAATTTGTGGTATTTACACATTAATACAAGTAAAAATAATTAAAGAGAAAAGTTTGGAGGTTTAAGAAGAAGCAATAAATTCAGTGAACGGTTTAAAGTACAGTTTAAAATTCATTTTAATATGATGAAATTCATTTATCAGTGTTCTCACTGTGCCTCTAAGACTGTAAACATGGGCAAAAGGGATGTACTGCATTAGATCCAGTGATTCCATAAATGGATATTTGAGTGTGTATTCAAGATATTCTCATGTATTTTGTCAGAATGGATGCACCAAAATCAGTGTCAAGACCGAAACGCTGGAGTGCTGAGGTAGAAGACGCTTACAGATTTCAGTTGGCTGGATATAGAGATGAAAACGAATACACCCATGTTCAGAAAGTTGAGGAGGTACATGAAAGTTCTCACTACCTAAACAACACACCCATCCTGTCATGTTCAAGTAAACATTTAAGTTGTGCTTCATATATATATATATATATATATATATATATATATATATATATATATATAATATATATAAATATGATATATATATATATATATTGTCCCATACTTGTCCATTAGATTGCAATGTACCCAGATGTATACTGCACTAGGTACTTAAGAACAGCTAGGGCAGGCCTAGTGGTGAATATACTTGTTAATGGTTAATAATTCATGTCCACAAAATTATTACTAAAAAAGGCTGCAGCTGTGTTATTATTTTTGCAATCTTTGTCAGCTACCAGATAAAGATAACACAGTAGAGCCATAGCTAGGAGCTTAATTGGGGTGAGGTTATATATTCATCTTGGACCCAATTGATTTATTTAAAAACAATATTTATATAAGCATGAATATATGAATATACACCCCCTTGGTGTTCTGGCTAAATACTGCCCTGTGCCAAAGAGTGTTTCCAAAGGCAATATTTCATAATATTTTGCCTCAGATTTGTATATATACATTTAGTAAAATATATCATAGTTATTTGTAATATTTATATTACACACATTGATAACAGATGTATTCTTCTGAAGTGTTTATCCTGATTAAAAATTTACTCTACTAGACTACCACTTACCACTACTACTACTATGCAAGATAGAAAAAAGTTTCAAATATGACCTAGTTACACTCTACTAGCTGTCTCAAATCAGGAGCCTGGCCCAGCGATATATGGCTGACACCCCATTGCTTATATCATTTCAGGTTGAAAGATGGCCAACGAATGGTTATGTTAAAAAGTTGAAAAGACGCGATGGCAATTATTATTACTTCAACCGTGGTCGTGAATGCAGCGATAGCGACGTGCACAGAACAAAGATATATGCATATTAGCCAAAGACGCGTGCCAGTATAATTCATGTTTACACAAATATGTAGACTTTAAAAACATGAATATACATATAAACTTATAAATACTATTTTGTACAGGCTAAATATAGGATTTCTGTATATTTTATGTTATGTTTATATAAACATTTTTTGAAACTGTGAACTCATATGTGTCGTTTGTATTGTTTATGTGAATACAAAAGGTGAATAGTTTTAGACCATTACGGTATTTATTAGTAAAATCCAAATGGTGATAATTTAAATTGCTTTTAATAAAAAATTGAGCTTCACTAGATCACTTCTGCAAGGCGCTTTTGTGCAAAGATCAAATCATCTCACAGTACCAAATGTATTTCAATAGAGCTAGAAAGAGTGAAGAATTTTAGACATGTCATCAATAATAAAAGGCAATCACATTTAGTTCATTTTGTGCCAAGAGGCACACACACGTGTATGCAAATTGCTACATGATACATTGCATGCAAATCGAACTGTTCGTTTCCCCGGCCGTATATTACTGATTTTTCTTCAACTAAACCCTTAACTAGTGCTCGCGAATCTTCAAGTGTACACCGTGTGTTCCCATTTCGCCAGCCACCACCTGTAAACTCGTAAGAATTGATGCAGAAAACTAAAAAATATTAGAAAGCGTTTGTTACATCACACAATCGAACAGGCCAATATTTACATAGTGGCGCGCAATTTCGCGGGAAACCGGTGCCTAATTTCCGTGGCATGGCCTTATGTCCTTGTCAGGCTTTTGTGTTGGAGATCATGTTACGCTAGACTGCTTGTTTTAGCTTATATTTCCGACCAAATCTCTTCAATTTCGCTGCACTATGATTTGAAGCGTTCTTCGTATCCAAAGTGGCACGATGGATGAAGATAGCGGCCGAAATCTGGTAGAGTATAGCTAAATATTCTTCGTGTAAACACGAGGAGTTCTGTCCATAAAGAATTTTAATATTATGTGTTCAAAGTCGCTGTAATAATGTCGTTTGCATTTGTATGCCTTTTATACACAGAGGACGTATACGCGAAAGAATTACGATGATAATTTAGACGATGAAATTGAAGGCAAGAGGACTTTCAATGTGTTGGAAAAGCTGCACGATACAAAATTTCGTCAAGGCAGCTTTGTCCAAAAATTGCCCAATGCAAATGGTACGTGCTTGTTCATATAAAACATGGCTAGTAAATTTGCATTCAATGGTATACATTTGTGTAAAATGCTTTAAAATAATATTAATATATGTCGTCTAGATATCAATTTGAAGTATGTACAAGAGCACGGATTCGACTCGCCGTTTTTATTTGAATCTCCTGAAGGTTTAGGAATGAGGTAGGTTTCGTGCAGACCAAATTTCATGCATTTTTACTGAGATCATGTGCTAAGGGGAATATGTTTCATGCTTTGGTAAATTATCAGAATATTTGTTTTTATTTCAGAATGCCCCCTTCTGATTTTACTGTTGAAGACGTGAAGAATTTTGTTGGTAAGTTGAACTTTTAACAGAAACAAGAGAACGACTTATAGCTCGCTGTGCTTTGTAGTTCACTTGCGTTACACCTTGCCAAAGTTTTATTCGGCAGTAAAAATAGATACTAAAAAAGCCTCAAAACGTGACTGTAATGACTGTCTGCTATGAGTTTTGCCTTAAGTATACTTTACCCTGGTTCCGAAGGGCTAAAAAGTTTAAATTAAGTCTTCATCTTTATTAACCGAGCCCAAAAGCCAAGAGCTGTATAACTTAGGCCCATGCATTTGGTTGTATTGAAATGGATAAGCGTTTTGTATCATCCTTTGACTATTTCATTATCTTTTATCGACTAGAAATGCCTCATTGATGTGTAAATATATTTAAAATTGCTAGAGAATACTTGATAAGGCATAAAAACCTATTTTTTTATGCCATTATAAACATTTCAAGGCTCGTCAGTAACTGAAATGCTGCCTTCAACGAGGCACAATATATTTACCATAAAAAATTAGTCGCGTAAGGCGAATCATACAAATACGGGAAATATTTCATCTCTTTGCACCTAAAAATGCCCTTAACCTTTTCCCGACCGACTGTTCGCGTTAAAAGCATTGTATTTTCGAGTTTTTGCCAAATATATATATGATGGTGTCTCCCTAATTTTGGTGCAAAGCCAAACACTAAAACCCGCATGTCAGTAATTTTAACTATACGCACAAAACAAGCGAATGGTTTCATTTCTGGATATTATTTGGGCTCGTTTCGCGATGAATGCAAGTTTTGTATGCTTTGTCTTCTAACTGTGGCCATTCTAGGTTAGAATTCACTTCTATAGGTAGTTTAATCAACTGGAATTTCATTTCACAAGTGCATGCATGTGGGCGAGTAATGTGAATTTGTGGCCTATTGGGACGTGCGATTTACCACAAATCGAAACTATCCTGAAATTTGAATACATATTCCTTCCTATTCTTTTTCATAATCCGAATACTATACAAAACATTTGTCCCAGTCACATTCATAAAGTTCTGTAACCTTTGCTAAAATATTTTCAGCAACATATTTATCATAGCGCAAAGCAAATTCGCTCGCATTCCTATATTTCATTTATACGAAACACCCAAATTACACTTCCGAGCGACCAGGGTTGGCTATTCTATCCGATTTTCCCGGATAAAAAGCGAGTTTATTATATCTTCTTTATGTATCTCCTTTTTGGGCATTTTTTGAACAAAAATTCCCTTTTTATATGTGGTGCATCCTCCTTCAAATACTTTCCTGTGGCTGTGTAAAAGATGCACAAATTCAAGTCATCGATCTGACTTATTATAGTTCAAAATAGCGGATTTAACCGCTTAATTTTCGTATCTCATTTGTATTCACCCAACAGCCAAATTTAGTATCTTTTAGTATTTAGTTTAGAATGTCTTTCTTAGAAATACAGACACTACAATTACAATTAATTGGTCCTTTTTGACTTGAAATTTGTGACCACAATTGGCGCAACGCCTTAATTTTAGGCTGTATACCAGCGTGCGAGTTCCCTTTCCCAAAAAAATTTGCGCTTGAATTATGTTGTTTCTGTCCAGTTTCGTAATTAAAAGAAAGTGTGCTGTATATTTCTTGGCAATTGCAGGATTACACAGGGAATAACAGCAAAACATGCTTTAAAATTTAGGTGCTAGACGTGTAGTCGATGTGATTGATGTGAATACTCAGCAGCAAATCGAGATGTCCATGTTGCAGTTCGCTAAATACTACATGAACACAGAACGAGAGAAAATTTACAACGTAATAAGCCTTGAATTTAGTCACACACGATTGGAAAATCATGTTGAAACACCTCTGCTGGTAAGTCCATGCATGCAAATAAGAATTTACATTGTAGCAAGTTCGGGAAAATTTAATTGATTAACATGCAGCGAGATTGTGGACTAATTAATACTTTTGTCTTAATATTTTTTCTCTAACATATAGTTGTGATATTTGATGAATTTTTAGGCTTCTATATTCAGTAATGAACCTTTTTCTCGAAATTCGAGTCTTGAATTTTAGAACGTACAGAAATACAAAGTAGCAATTTATTGTTTTGCAACAGCATTCTGGAATTCTGAATTTTGTAGCGCGTGAAATCTGAAAATGTTCCAATTTAGAGTAATTTTTTAAGAATTTTATATGTACAATAATATTTCAAAGTTTAATTTATTTCTCGCGAAACTTTATTTGATTATTTGAAGGCCTTTTGTGCGCTTCTGTTGTCTTCGGACTCAATTAACATTATTAATTGAGGAGAATTTTGAGATTTTTTAGCAATAGTTTTTAGAAATACTACAAAAATAGTCGAAGACTTTCCTGTAGACGTTAAATATGTGGTTTTTTTATTCTTAAACCAGTTGAAAATACGTGCTTTAAGAAAAATTTCGGAATACAGCGCAACGCGCGCGTAATTTCCATTGAGTATTTCTCTGAAATGAGATTATGGAATTCGTGAATTTCTAGAATCCCTTTCAGAAAATATTTATGTTTAGTTTTACTGTTAACTGTGGATATGAATGTTTGTATATTTTCACAAACATTTATATTTTTTGTTACAGTATATGAAATATGCATACGTTAATTGGGCAAATAATTCCTGATTTCTATGAAATTTCTTAACGATCGAGGTTAAAGTTAAAAGGATTGCAATGGTCTATACCAATTGAAGGATTGCTATCTTGTTTGAGAATATATCCTTGTAGATTTCAAAAACCTCAAGCGATTCTATAGCGTTTTGAGAAAAACACTTAAAACCATTCAGTCAGTCAAGTCAGTACTGTTCCCCATTTGGCTGAAATATTTTCCCAAGATATAATATTACATTAAATCCAGAAATTTCAATGTACAACAATGGAACCGCGTTATCTCCCTGTGGTTAAATACCAGATTTTACCAAAAATGGCCATGTTTGTTTAAACCTATGGGCTATGGCTATAGAGCGCTGTATTGCTTCGAGAATTGACTATGGCAGTGAGATAGAATTCCAGGATTTATTCACAATAACAGCCACAATAATACAATAATATATAACTTAATCAGTAGATTATTGTACAATACTGTAATATAAAAAACGTTTTGGGGGCAATGAGAAGTCCCCATACACAAAAATCCGGCGTGTTCCAATATAACATGCATGACCTGATCCGAATTTCTTAGCATGCTGTGCTCACATGACATACAGCACGTATTCAAAAGAAAACTTCCCAAATACGGACGTCATCTATGCTAATTCGTTGAAATGACCCTCTTAACATTTGTGATTGCCATTGGCAAAACGAAGAATTTCGCCGGTGTTTGCTGTGTTAAGTATATTCTTCTGTCTTTTCAAAATCTGGTTTTGTTTCGCTTGGCTGAAGTCCTTGTACTATATAATCTTGCCCTAAAGCTACAAGAAGATGAATAATGATATAAATCTGAAGGATTATACAAAGGACTCGATGGCCCTACAGAAGTTCTCACGTCATTTCTGGGCATTTATAGTATCGTAAAACATCGAGCCTAGCTTTTTCTATGCTCAAAAGTGCAAGAAATAGCTTAGCAAATTCGCTGTCCTCCAAATGCAACCTCTTTTTGGCTGATAGCGAGGTCTATTTTCGTTATTTTCACGTGTCACCAAAACATTTTCACGTGCAGTAAAGATATTCGAAACCAATAGACGCCTTGCGCTTTAGACTAATTTCTTACCTCGGCGATAAAAAGGACATTTTCTGAAAGAGCGTATTAAAATTATTAAAACTGTCAAGTTTGGCTGCGAATTGTTGTAAAATACGGAAAATATAGCCATGCTAAGTTGACGAATTTTGTATACTTTTGTATTACGACCGGAAGTGTGTAATTAATTTAGTTGTTGCATAATCTCGCCGCGCGCGTGTTCAGCATATCGTGCGCAATCTTGTTGTATTACGTAATGGATATAAGGGCTGCGTTCCACTGTCGCGTTTTTTGTACATACGTACACGCACGTAAAAGTTTAGAATCATTGAAATGATACTTATGAAATCAACGATTGAATAGATGCATCGGGTTGGATTCTGTTGATGATTTGCTGCCTTTTTTCTGGTCTAAAATTATTTATACAACAACTTAGAAGGTTTTAAACTTTTACGTGTGTGTACGTACGTGCAAAAAACGCAACAGTGAAAAGCAGCCCAAACCACTTGCCCTTGTCGTATTTCGTCGACGGAGACTGAGCATCCGGCCTGTTTCAAGCGAAACGAACTTGTTACAATATTGTTGACTCGAGATGTTTGTTAAAACGTGCTCAACTGAATCGCTCGTGTTGTAACATCTTAATATCTTAACAAATTACAGGTTCGTCAACTGGACTGGGTTGATAATGTTTGGCCAAAAGAATTGATAAGGCAACAGAGAGATTCTACTAATAATATGGATGACATGAAGTATCCCAAAGTTAGGAAGTAAGTTGTGGGGTTCCTCCCCCCACCAATTCCACCACCACTTCCACCACTACTCCCAACATCCACCACCACCCCCCACATCCACCACCAACTCCCACAAACGGGTGGATGTGTTTAATTTGTTTCTCTCACTTTCCCCCTCCCCCTCCCACACACATTTTGCACCTTTCCTGCCCCTCGCCTCCTCACGCACACTTTCCCTAACGATTCCCCACGTTTATGTTTGTATAGATATGTCTTGATGAGCGTCAGTGAAAGTTATACGGACTTCCATATTGATTTCTGTGGTTCCTCCGTGTGGTACCACATCGTTAAAGGAAGGAAGGTGATGTATCACGATTAATAATAGGGAGATTTAGCATGAGGACGTGAACGTCAAAGACGACGTGAAAATGGCGAGTAAATGGCGTGGCATGTCCATATTTGGGTGCATCACGCCATTTATTCGCCATTTTTACGTCGTCTTTGACGTTCACGTCCTCGTGCTAAATCTCCCTAATGAAGGGATAGACCCCGCGGTTAGCCTCACGTTTTACGATCTATGAAGAAGCGACCAGCTTTCAAAACCACTTGCTTTCAAAATCATGAACCTGCATCAGATAGAGCAAGATTTCGCAGACATGATATCGCAAAATCTAGTGCAAACTTCAAAGCTAAACTTGAGTCAGACCTAACGCCTCGTAGTGTAAACACGCCTGAAAAAAAAGCCTGTTCTTGTTTTAAGGGGTGTCCTCAAAAACATCAAGTATGCTACAATTAAGTTCATTTAAGTTCAACACCGCTATCAGGCACAGCACAGATTCTTGGTTAATGAAACTGGGACTGAACAAGGTTGTGTTGCACGCCACAAACATGGTTGTTATCAAGTTGAAGACACTTTTTGAAGCCTGGCAAATTGCTTCAACTTGATATAGCAACCATGCTTGTGTGAAGCAGCTCAACATTGTTCAGTCCTGTCTTCGTCAAACGGCAACAGACTGATCAATTTTTACGCGTGTAGATATTTTGGCTCATTCCTCCCACCGCAAGGAATCTCAGCATCTACGAGAACTGGGTGTTGTCAGGGAAACAACAAGACGTGTTTCTTGGGGATCAGGTGGAAAAATGCTACCTTATTGAAATGAATGCTGGAAACACATTCTTTATGCCCTCAGGTATTGTAACTTGTTGAAAATGTCTCGTCTCAATTCAAGAAGTACTTCGCAAGCAAAGTATTTCTTTGCAATAGAAATCAAGCCTATGGCTCAGTAATCTCTCCATGCTGCCTTCCTTTAATGATTACGTTGTCTCCATGAAGTATTCGTGATATTTGTCGATTGACTAACAGGATTTTCTTTATCAAACATCACGTTGCAGGTTGGATCCACGCTGTCTATACACCCGAGGATAGCCTGGTGTTTGGAGGAAACTTCATTCACTGCTTCAACATTGAAAATCAGTTCAAGATTTGTGATATTGAAGAAAGCACAAGGGTGAGTAATGATGGTTAACAGAAGCAGGTTTGGTTTAGGTTTCCTTTTGTAGTAACACTGGATCAATAAGAGATGATCCTTACTGGGCCTCTAGGAAGAACAGTTTAGAACTGATAGAGCTATCCAGTATAAATAAAGTTAGTTTAGTTTAGGTTTGTTCCTGTAGTAACACTGGATCAATAAGAGATGATGCTTACTGGACCTCTAGGAAGAACAGTTTAGAACTGATAGAGCTATCCAGTATGAATAAAGTTAGTTTAGTTTAGGTTTCCTCCTGTAGTAACACTGGATCAACAAGAGATGATCTTTACTGGACCTCTAGGAAGAACAGTTTAGAACTGATAGAGCTATCCAGTTATGATATCAATTCTCGAAACAGCGACGTTTTAACTTTTTTTTAGGTGCCCAAGAAATTTCGCTATCCTCTTCACACAGAAATGATGTGGTACCTCGTTAAACAATATGTCACCCTGCTTGAACGGGATCAGCAGGAATGCAAAAAGGAGTCTGGCACTAGCAATGAGGTCGATGGCGATGGGACGAAGGTGGACACTGGGGGAAGACCAAGACGTTCGGGGAGAGAGAAGGCAAAGGCTAGTGAGGAAAATAAGGAAAATGTGGAAAAGAAGGTTGAAGTTGAGATGAACGGTGATGCAACAGAAGGGGTAAATGGGGATGCAGGTGGTGAAGCGGTAGCAAAAAGCGTTCCTAAGAAGCCCTGGGTACCAGTACATCTGACGCCACGTGAAGTCGCAGGATTAGAGCTTGTTGTTACCCGGATGAAAAGTTGGTCCAAAACCAATATCCCGGATGGTATAGAAAAACCTGATCAACTTCTGAACCGTCTTCAGGTAAATTTTCCAATAGTTTCTACGCCTTATCGCCTGATTTCATAAGTGTACATCCTTAATCATTTCCATCAATGATTTGAGTGGTGGTCAGTTTGAAATATTTCGACGATTACACAGCGCTGAAGTGGCCATTGACACGAAATTTAACATATTTGCAAGCAAGAACAAACCCAACGCAAACTCACTCCGGTTAACGAGTCTCAATTTCGAGTTGACCACCACTGCCATGAAGTTTTATGACCTCACGTGAAACCCAAGCATTAGCTGAACTTGCATTTTTGCGTCAAAATATCATCGCTCAAAAAGTGACCGTCAACGAGCAAGTTATAAGAAGGTCAAGAATTTTCATTTATGTGGGTCAGACATCTGGCACACATGTTCTAGTAAACAAAACAGTTCTCTGCTCTTATTTTCTTCCTTTTGAAAAATGAGCGACAAGTTTCAGGTGAGGACATTTTAATATAATTGATAGCGATTATCTGGTTTACTAGTAAATGTTCATTCGCTATAGAAGACTGGTTTTTTCGACTGCAATTCTTACACTTGGGAATTTGCCAAAAATATTCAAAACAATTCTCATCGGTGTGATTATGTTTATAACTTGTGTTCAAATTTGATTCACCAACTGATGTACCAAAAAACTTCTGGATGTTTCGACCCAAGGGCCTACAACCGATTCTCCAGGTGAAGGCCGTTAGGTCGAGACTTTTTTTGTATACTTTTTGCAGTATTAAAGCATAGTTGATAAGTGAAGTTATTTATGATATGTTTATAACTTAGGGTACGATTACATGATGAAATAACCAGCGTTTTTAAAGATGAACGTGAACTTGATGTTGTGACTGTAGCGAGATATTTAGGTCTGTGCATGAGGCACCATTATTCACAGCATATATTTTCTTTCAGGAATTGCTGGTGTTTCAAAAAGATCATGATCCAGTATTGACAATATCAGGTGTTCACTACATGAAACAAATTATTGTGGATGATGAGGGAGTAAGTTCGTCAAGCTATCTCACCTCTTAGCCGTATACAAAGCCATCCAGTATAAGTGCAAGTTCAGTTTAGGTTTCCTCCTGTAGTAACACCGGATTAGTAAGAGATGATCCTTACTGGACCTCTAGGAAGAACAGTTTAGAACTGATAGAGCTATCCAGTATAAATAAAGTTAGTTCAGTTTAGGTTTCCTCCTGTAACAACACTGAATCAATAAAATAAATCATATTTTCCATGTTAACTCCCCAGGAAAGAAAATCCAAGTCACTTCGTAAAGCCCGCAAACCCAGCTCGTCTTTACGTCGCCGTCGCGTGAGATGTCGCACGTGTGAAGCGTGTACACGCGAGGACTGCACGGAATGCAGATACTGCAAAGATATGAAGAAGTTTGGAGGACCAGGAGTACTTAAGCAATCTTGTTTGTTGAGACAATGTCAAGATGTAAGTATCTCGTACCTATTAGGAATATATTTCTCAGGGAATCGGTTTTATCCAGTATAAATAAAGTTAGTTTAGTTTAGGTTTCCTCCTGTAGTAACACTGGATCAATAAGAGATGATCCTTACTGGACCTCTAGGAAGAACAGTTTAGAAGTGATAGAGCTATCCAGTATAAATAAAGTTAGTTTAGATTTCCTCCTGTAGTAACACTGGATCAATAAGAGATGATCCTTACTGGACCTCTAGGAAGAACAGTTTAGAACTGATAGAGCTATCCAGTATAAATAAAGTTAGTCTAGTTTAGGTTTCCTCCTGTAGTAACACTGGATCAATAAGAGATGATCCTTACTGGACCTCTAGGAAGAACAGTTTAGAACTGATAGAGCTATCCAGTATAAATAAAGTTAGTTTAGTTTAGATTTCCTCCTGTAGTAACACTGGATCAATAAGAGATGATCCTTACTGGACCTCTAGGAAGAACAGTTTAGAACTGGTAGAGCTATCCAGCATAATGAAGTCAGTTCAGCTAGAATCTTCACCTTTAGTAACACTTGTGAATAAAGGCTCAATATGTGATCTCCAATTTAGCCGACATTGCCTTCTACTGCGATGTGCAAAATCTGCGAGGAAAACCATCCAGACGACGACCAAACGTTGATGGAATGTGCAACATGCGGGAAGATCGTGCACCCCACGTGTATGCCAGCGAAGGGATATTACCATATTGTCCCCGATGTCAATAACTGCTGGAAGTGTCCGGATTGCTGCGACAAGCACTCGGTAGGTGCTCGGGTCATGCCGCCCTATGGCTTTCGGAGCTGCCGTGTGTTCTAGCCCTACGAATATTATCGAGATTTTTATTAAGCTTTTGTCCTAATCTTCTTGTAGGGCGAACGTTTTAATGGTCAAAGGCTGCCCGCAAGAAGATCAGTGGCTGAACTAAAGGTAGATGTGACTCGATTTCATTTGGCTTGTGAATTTCATTTGCAAGATATGATTTCGTATAATATTTTGAGAGCTGATTTTGAAATCATTTTAATCCGTCTTATTTTTGTACAGGCGTCAGAGAAGACCCTCCCATCTGTGAGTAAACAGTTCTACCGTTTTAAACTCTATCAACCAGTTATGTCAACCAGTTATTATTTTCTTATCTGCCAATCATGTTCTCATGTATAACCTTTTACCTTTCTTTTTAGGCTGGAAGAACTCCGAAGCGAAAGGTAAGACCCATAACGAAAAGTATTTTGCTTTTTCGCAGTGAAAATTAAACAGAGGCGTTTCAAAACTGTTTAGAGAGACAGCGATGGATCAACAGGTTCACTTGATGACGAAGATATGGATAGTGATGGTAACACCAGCGACGAGGATAGCGCCCCCCTGGCTGTCTTAGCTAAGAAACGTCGTCCATCTCCCCCGGCAATACCCTTTGTCCCTCCACAGGAAGTGGCTGCCACATACGTCATACGTCCTCGTCCCAGTTCCCCGCCGCCGGAAACATTTGAACTTCAAAACGGGGAAGCGCATGTTATGAAACGTGATACGTGGCTGAAGGTGTTTGGATATCTCACTCAGTACGACCTGTCCACGTGCATGGCCGTGTCTCGCACGTGGAATAGGTGGTGTATGGACAAACGATTTTGGACTCGTATCAAGCTTTCTGTCGGCCGACCCATCACCGCTTCGGCGCTTTACGGAGTCGTTCGGAGACAGCCGCTAACCCTGGATCTCAGCCATACGAACATTACGCAACAACAATTGGCCTGGTTTCTCAGCCGCCTGCCCAGATTACGAGATCTCATCCTAGGTGCGACCACGTTCGCAACGGTCAGCGCATTCACACGGGTCACGTGTCCGCCACTGAAACTCCTGGACCTGAGTTGGTCAGAAAAAATTACGGATCAGCTCATCGAAGATTTGCTGAAGCCGTCGACGAACGGAAGACGGGAACGACCTCCAGGGCCTGGAGAGAATACGAGTCGGCTCCGATACTTGACCGACCTCGGACTCGCGGGCTGCGAGATCACCGACGTCGGACTACGAAGTATAAAGCGGCACCTGGGTTGTTTGACGCGGCTGGATCTCAGTTATAATATCCTTATAACTGACCAAGGTTTGGCCAATTTACTGGACACTGACTCGAGCTTTCATAATCACATCCAGGAAATGAATTTGGCCGGTTGTTCCAACGTCTCTGATTCGTGTTTGGAGGCATTGAAGAAGGCGCCTGAGTTGGGCAAACTCGATGTAAGAAAATGCGATAATATTTCCAAAGGTGCCTGCGAATCTCTCAAAACAATACGCACGGCGCTTTCTGTTATTCAGAGCAAATGAAGGTTTCGATATTCCAGTGAAATACGGCTGTTTTTGGTTCATGGTGTGAATCCCATGGAGAACCATTATTGCTCTCATTTAACGTTTGTGACATATTTCTTTACCTTCAAAGTATTTATATCGCACGACCTGCTTTTTCAGGAATTTGAAACTACGCTTCTTTTAATCACACGAGTTTTTCAGGTTGAGACAGCACGTGGTTGAAACTGCAGTTTGGTGATTTGTAGATATAGCATGTTGCTCTATAAGTTAAGATTGCTTGTTAGCTATATTTTGGGATAACAATTGCAGTTCAACATATGACCAGACTTTGGTATTGCACGTTGTGCCAGCCATTGTTGATAACCGACAATTAACTGGTTGGAACTTGTACATATTTGGAGATCCAAGAAGGATGTAAAATCTTGTTTGTTTTTTTCCTAACTTCAAACTAATTTGCAACATCGCCACGCCTAATTATGCACGCTATACTGAGTGATGATTTCATACGTTTTACTGACAATAAATTATACTTTCAGACTTGCTTTCTTGAATTCATTTCCCTTCCCTTGTCTAACGCGATTCAATAAGACTGTTGATCTCATTGGTTGAAAGTCCCCTCCCTCCATTCAAACTATAGGCTGTACTACGAAGATTGAACTAAGTTTTGTTTATTATTAGGTCAATCTATCCAGAAGAACGTTAAAATTCACTCAAATATTAGTATATTTTAAAAATTCATGTTTTCTTAAAAGTCATCGAGCGGATACCAGATTTCATGTGTACTTTAGAATTACGTTTCTTTCCTTTTTCTCCCAACTTTTTGTACGGATTAAAAACATTCGCGGTTTCCTCGCGGTTGTCTTGTCCAAACTCGAGACTAGCATTATTGTAATCATAAGCGACAAATTCCGTTGGGTTAGCTGTTTCTGTATTGCTAGTCCCTTTTTTGGACTTTTTTTCCTTTTTCTTCTTCTTTCTGATACGTAACGCTTGCTGGCTCTCATTTTTATCTTCACTTTCATTCGCGTTTTCATGTTTTCTCTTTTTGATCTGATCAGGGATATTGTCATTGGTTTCCACCGCTAACTTTGTATAACGTTCGCTAGCCTTGGTGTAGCGGTGGGCCACTTCGACTACGTCATCGTCGGAACCCTTCGTTCCGCTTTCGGTCTCTTGCGTTGCATCTTCGCCACTCTTCGCTTTATCCTTAGCAGCGGATATTTCACTATACTTTTTAGCTGGTAAAAATTTCTGGAAAGGGTTCTTGAAAGACTCTTCTATTTGCTTAGCTTTTCTTTCACCATCTGTTTGCTTGCTGGTGATTATAGCTTGGTTGGAGAATAACCTGATAATAGGCTGGGTTATGTCAAGGGCAGGGCCTGTAATAGGATAATCTTTAAAAGGTACCATTGGCTCATGTTTGATGCTTTCATCTGCGAAAATAAACAAAAATAACATCATGTTAGACTTGCTGATGAAAAACCAACCTGGTTTTTTGATTGTCTATATCGACTATGGTATCATAAAGTATCCCCTCTTGTTTTTGTTCCAAAATGGATGCCTAGACCTACCTGGAGTTTTCTGTTTCGAATATCTCTCTTTTGGCACATCAACTTTCATTCTTTCGCTTGATATTTCCCGAGCGATCGCTGACTGAACATTATTATTATTAACATTTGGGCCAACTTCCCGAGCTTGTACAAGAAGGCGATGAATCTCATTCACATTCTGCCTGACCAAACTGGGCACAGGATTACAACATGCTAACACCCCTTGTGGTTCTTTTGGCAGGACCTCAGATAGCCCAAACAACATGTGATTGGGCAAGACATACGCATAACTCTCATCTTCCAATCTAGCAATCTGATCACGCCATCCATACAACAGACGAAATGCTTCCAACTGGTTTGGATTCAATGCTTTCTTATGTCTGTGGTACAGGTTTAGGTAGGAGGTGCTTGTGAATATTGGTTTTTCATAAACCTTGAGACATATGTCCTTGCTTCTTTTATAAACTGACTCCAAGAGGTTGTTTTGCTCGTTACCCTTGGCAACAAGCTCGTTACGTAGTCTTTCATAGATATACAATAAGTAATGGGTATCCTCTCGTGCGTACAACACCATCTCTGTGGGAAGAGGTCGAATTCTCCAATCGGCAAGCTGGTACTGTTTGTTCGCCATGACATCACAGAATTTCTTCAGCAGGAAGGCAAGGGAGAATCGGGGATATTCAAGTACGCGAGTGGCTTGACCGGTATCGAACATGTTGACCACATATATCCCAAAGTCACGCTGCAACCACCCAATGTCCATATCTGCTCCATGCAATACCTAGTAAATTAGTCAAATCTAGGCCAATGTTTCTTATACCTGAGTGTGTATGAACACAAAGCATAGCACAAATATTCAAATGCTTACCTTTAAGATTTTTGGGTCAGTGAATACTTCATTAAGACAAGGCAGCTCGCTTCGTAATTCCAATGTATCAACCAAATAATCCCTTTCGTGTGTGGATATCTGCATGAGGCAGACAATCCCCTGGAACGATCTGAACGAATGATGTTCCAAGTCAACTGCAAACTCCGTAACATTCTTTAACGACTCCACTAATTGTGATAACTTTTCATTACTGTCAACAAAGATCAGCTCTGTCTCATCTAGTGGTTTATACATAGTTTCCTCTCTAGATTTCATCGCATCTAGAGCTGGTTCAAATTGGTCCAGTTCAAACTTATATGGGTGTAAATTATGGTTGCTTGAAGCAGCTCCCACACGCTGCTCATGGATAAAATTTGCTAGTGCCACAGGTGTATTCGTATCGTCCATTGTGCAATCAGAATTGATTTGTTCTTCTAAAGGTTTTAACGCATTTGGCTTTTCTTTGATAATCGGGACAAAGGGAATGTTGCTGTTCTCTGGCTTTTCCTTAAACCTGAGTTGCGGACGGAGGATATTCTTTGCGTGCAAGAAGCGCACTTTGTCGTTTGTTTGTCGACTGCTCTTGTTCCAGCTGGAGACAATTGGTGCACTTTGCTGCATGGATTGCGGGAGAACAGGTTTTTTATTCTTGCTCAGACCAGATGCTTCGTCCAAGCTAGAGTCAATACGCTCAAGGAGAATGTCATTAGCTTCGACAAGAGACTCAAAGGCATCATCAATATCCATGCTAAAAGTGGTGAAATAACAGCATACAATGTTAGTGGCACTTTCACTGTTTCTGGTTTTTGAAAAAGTTTGGAAAATCTATAATTTGGGTTCGATTAGGATTAAGATTTAGATTAGATTAAGATGAGATCAAATGACCAGATTAGAGAGTAGCCTCCTACCTGTGATAGAAATCCATTTCAGAAGGCCAACCACAGGTAACATGCTGAAATTTCAACACTTTTCCAATGTTGCTCAAAACCCGACCACCTTGCGTCCTGCAGAACTCGCGAAAATCAGGAAAACTGCTGTAGAATTCAAAATCATCGCCTGGTTTTGGTAAACCGTGCGCCTTCTGTGTCGTATTCACCAGTTTACCAAAACAATTTTGAGTAAACGACACCACGTTCGCATGACCAGGTAGAAATTCTTCTTCTTCGTCCGTCAGAAAAGACTCTGTATCGTTTTGGGCCATTTTGCTCGGTAAATTTTAGATAATGTGTGGTAAAAAAACTAAAAATCTCACTCCTAATCGGCCGACATCTTGGCTCGAAATTTGATCCGAAAAGAACGTGCTCTCTGTACAGCGGCATATATACGGGGGGTGGAGGATGAGTATTTGAATAAAATTTCGAAAGTAAAATATATAATTTAAAGTCGATTTCATAACAGATAATGTCAGATATGCTAGGTTTAATTGCATATACCAACTGATTTCATTTCACATGTTTTCTTTCAATGCCTAAATATCATTTGAATTTGATAATTGCTTCGGTTTGAAGAATTTAATAGGACGAGATAAATATTCATAATAGATATCCATTTTCTCTGTTTAACCCCCCTGGAAAATACTTTGAGATTTGCAGTTCCAAAGAAAATGCTCAAAATCTGTCTGATATTGGAAATAGTTAATTTTAAAATACGAAACAAAACGCCAGAATAATGGTTTAAAGCAATTTTAAAGATGGCTACAAGGATAAAGGTCCTGCAGAATTTAGGGGCAAGATTTAACACTGGCTTGAGACAGATTATCAAGTACCCACGTGGACGACGTGGTGTGATTGGTGTTGGTAATCATGGGAGTGTAAGAGACAAACTTTTAGAAGGAAATTTTACTGCTGTATATTCAAAAGTAGTTCCTGCTTCGTCATTCTCAACAGACATTGTGCAGCATTGCCAGGTGTGTTTTTTTAATATAGAATGAATCTCAGGTTCAATGCTAGAATCCCAAAATTTCAATCCAATCTGAACCTTATAAACTCTAATCCAGGACAGTGATCCACTTTAGAGTGAATTATTTGTTCATCTCTTTTCTAGGTACAAACCCAGAATGAGTTCCAAGGTACCGGTTTGCTTTAAACTTTGATTAAATCAGTTGGTTCATATCCATTGACTCTATAATATGTCATTCTATTTTAGTGTCGAAAGAGGAATTGAGTAGTTTTGCTCAGAAAATAGATTGGCCCTTATGTAATTATGAACTCTTGATAAATGCCATCACACACAAATCGTATGCGATGAAAGACAACAATGATGTTCTTGGGATGTCTTTGGAACATAACGAGCGTCTTAGTTATTTGGGTCAGTTTTGATTATGTTAGAATTGATTACATATAAAATTGCTGATGTTAGGCATAACTTGGTTCTCATAGGTTATCAAACTGCGTCAAGCTTTGTAACAGAAATACTCTATTTTAAATATCCAACTCTGACAGCGGAACAATTATGGTAATTATAGTTTATCAGATTAAAATATGGTAATGCTTTTTACATAGCTTGCATAAAGTATTACTAGAATAATTTTATATTCAATATTTTTCAGGGATTTGAAAAATGGTTTGTTGCGTGAGGATTTGCTTGAAGATTGTGCGCGAAAAATTGGACTGCACAATCTGATACTTTCAAAGGTTTCATATTCTTTACAATCTATTCACTTCCATATTTTACACAAATCTTTGATTTCTTATTTTATAAAAACACATGAAGGACAAATGATTTGTCCTTAGTTATTTATATACCAAACAGCTCAATATTTGGTTAATTTTTTTATTGTGTTATGGCATATAGGATGAAATTAACTGTCAAATTATTTCAGAAGCATTGCTAGCAATTATTGGCTCAATGTATATAGATCAGGTACACAATAATGCACATTACTTCCGTGATAACCTCCATAGTCTATCTGAATAAATTGTTTTCCTTGCACAGGAAAAATGCTGGCAATACAGGAGGAAAACCTGAACTAAACTAACTTTATTTATACTGGATAGCTCTATCAGCTCTAAACTGTTTTTCCTAGAGGTCCAGTAAGGATTATCTCTTATTGATCCAGTGTTACTCCAGGAGGAAACCTAAACTAGACTAACTTTATTTATACTGGATAGCTCTATCAGTTCTAAACTGTTCTTCCTAGAGGTCTAGTAAGGATCATCTCTTATTGATCCAGTGTTACTACAGGAGGAAACCTAAACTAAACTAACTTTATTTATTCTGGATAGCTCTATCAGTTCTAAACTGTTCTTCCTAGAGGTCCAGTAAGGATCATCTCTTATTGATCCAGTGTTACTACAGGAGGAAACCTAAACTAAACTAACTTTATTTATAACTCTATCAATTCTGAATATACCTCTATGGATTAAGTTTATTTCACCATATTGGATCATTGCAAATTTCATGTTTCATTGAACAGCCTCCTGAGATCTCTCGTGTGTTTGTTGAGAACTATCTCATCCAAGATTTAACAGAGGAAACAATCAAAGAGATTTGTCAACTTGAACACCCAAAATTCATGTTAAAACAACTAAATCCCGGAGTAACCTTCACCGCAAAGTATGTTAATTTTGAAACCATTGAATTTGAGCAGAATATTGAGAATTTCTTTCCTCAAAACATTTTTTTGTTTTTCAAGAATTTTGAAGGAAAGTTTAGAACTCGATGCTTCTAGTGATGAAACCGAAAGTTATAAAGTTGGTATATTTCAGGAAGATGAGATGATTTCTGAAGGTTTAAAATTAAACTCAGCTTATATGTCATATTAGTTTGAAATTATGAAACTCATTTCCTGTTTGATTGAGAGCAGGCGCTAATTTTGGCGCGCATTTCTTTCTAAAGGACAGGGCGACTCACAGTGGCAGGCTGAGAAGAATGTAAGATGCGTCATTTATTGCACACGAAAATATTTTGTTGTGGTTAACCATTTACGGCGAAAAGCTCTTCCTCATATATCGAATCCTTCTGTATAGGCGTGTCGAAAACTCTTGAAAGACGGGTACTTAAATGAGTTAAAAAAAGCAAAATTCCCTCTGGAATACGCAGATTATACTTCAGAAGATGGACTTAACTTGGGCTTGCTTCTTGAGGGAATAAGAGTTGTTGATATTCACAAGGTTTCTTAGTTTTTTTATATCTTATCTTAGTCCTCTTGCACTTATACCGGCGTCTGCTGTTAAGCCCTTTCCGCTTTTGCGAAAACCTACTTGGTAAACTCTGAACAAACGCAAACCAAGTGATTGATTGTAGTGGAAATCACCACTGAAGTGATTGCATTGCATGAAGCCGTATGAAAAGACTTTTGTTTTTTGTGAGTTGGATTTTGGGATAAGTGAACTGTGAAAGACAGCCTTAGCGATGGTGATGTAGGCCGCGTGACGGCCACAGGATACAGTTCATTGTTCATTGAACAACATTTAACCAAATTTGAGAGTAAAGACGTATTTGTCCTCTTGATATACTTAGGGAGATAGTGGTTTTGGATTCTCGGTGAAAGGAGGTGAAATGCGAAGCGAGGAGAACAAGGATTTTGTGAAATATAATTACTACTTTCCACCATTCGTAGCGTCTGTTGTGACGGGAGATCCGGCTGAAAGGTGTGAAATTCTAACCCTTTAATAAATCCTCTATTTTTTGTTATGTTTTTATTGTTTATACCACATACAATATGCAAGTGAAGTTCTTCCATTAGACGAGTCTTTGTGATCATCTTTGTGACCGAGATTTGATTCCTGCAATATACAGAGATCGGTGCTTTCAGTTAGACTCAACCAAACACCTTGCACGATCTCCCCTGTTGTCCCTTCTATCTCTAAACATCCCACTATATCCCCGTTATCCTTTAGACGCGGCCTAAGAGCTGGCGATGTTATACTGGCAATAAATAATAAGGTACGTGGCCGAAATTGTTTATGAATTCTCTGCTCTAGCATATCAAAGCTTTGCCCAGCAATGCAAATCTTTTTCACTTGCAGAACACCAAAGGCATGAGCCATCACAACGTTGTGAATTTACTTCATTCTCTGAAAGGTTTGAAACATATATCCACAACTCCGTCCTAACATTTTAGTGTCCGGAATATTTCAAATAGGAAAGGCTTTGCACGGCAAAATATATAACAATTTAGCTCAGCCAATGTTCTTCGTGAAAATGGATTCTTAGAAACGCTCTGTCGCTTTAATCTTTTTTATAAGGGAAGGCAAAGTTTACTGTCAAACATAGCAAAAAAGGTGAGCAAATTTAAACAAGTTTTTATACTCGATTTCGCCTATGGTTTTGCTGCGTTTCTCAACTATATTAACTGTAATTGTCTTGTTCACGTATAGTCTTAATCAGTGATGAAATCGAGCGAAAATTCGGCCAGTTTCAAGAAAAGAAATTGCTGTCTCAGTTGAGAGATCCGAAGTGGTCAAAATGGCACCATTCTCATTTGAAAAAGGACAGAACTGAATATGATACCATGCTCAAACGACACCAAGAGCAAAATACTTCGTCAAAATAGCACAGTTCAGTTCACAGATCTACCTATGAGATACCTAGCAACGAATCGCCGTATATGTAGATTATGAACTGACCTCCGAGCTGGTTTATTATTGCCCGCGAGGGGAGGAAGTTAGCCTGCCAGCGGTCCACTTGTTTAAACTGTTAACAAAAAGCTGCGTGGCATTTTGCTGGAAATCCAAACTCCTAACATACCTTAGCATAACTTTTTCTAAAGTTTACTCTGTGACTGGAATTGGCTTGTTTAAGTGATGTTCTTGACGACCTGCTCTCGGCTGTCTTAAGAAGGAAATATTCCGCCTCTCATGATATCTAGTGCTGTTTTAATACAATTAAAATAACCCCGAAGTCATGTAGTGTTCAACTCAGTTCATTATCTTCAAGTTAACTGGATTAAATAAGGTTAAATAAATCTAAACAAGGTTAAATAAAACAAAACAAGGTTAAATTGGATCAAATATTTTCGACCTACCTTAGGAAAACATTGAATATCAAAACCCATTATTCGAAAACTTCTCAAGTGCAGGGCTGAATCAAACAGTTTGCGCTGAATTGGTTTGAGCTTTGCGCTGAACTGAATCGTGCTGCTGTTCTGAAAGCTGTGTCATGTCTAAGAAATGAAGGAAAGATAAAACCTGCAATCTAACTCTATACATGTAAATTTCCTATATCTTTCAAGATTATCATACTTTCAAATAGAATTTCTCACCCTGAAAGTACCTAAAATAGACAACAAAGTCAGGTCGAAGTGTCCAGCAGGTTTTTTTTAACCATTTTAGGCAGTTGTTATGCATCATTTGATGAGAGGTTTATAGAAGATGCTGCCACGTACGTGGGTTCTTTTTTATTTTGCAGAAAGATTTATTGAGGCACCTCGAGGCTATCCATCATAAACAAGCCGTAACTTAGAAGAATACAATTTTTTTATTTATTTTGCTTTGCCAGTCGAATACAAAGAGATACAAACAGTGTAATGGCGTGAAACTCGCGAATAGACCACTTGCATAATAGACTAACTTTTGATAACTTTTGACATTCCGAAGGAGAAATTCCGAAAAGGGCATTCTAAACTTGGTAAAATAGCCAAGTTTGGATAGATATAGCCAAGAAGATATAGCAAAGTTGGATAATTTTGTATACTTTGTATGGCCGAAAGAGCGTAATTAAATAAGTTACACATTTCCGTCAAAAGTATACAAAAATTGCTAATATATACGACATTGTATATACGAGGTATAAAATGAAGAAATTTCAAACTGTACTTGTAAATATGAAAGGAAGCTGCATGTATTATATCGGCTAACGTATATACTCAATCGACAAATTACTACCTATAATTTGCTTTGTAATGTGTGTATTTCAATATATAATAATTTCAATATATAATAATTTAATATAACAATTTCGCACGAACAGTTTAGCATTTCAATTCGCGCCATTACCCTGTTTGTCATTACGTCGGTTACGCCATTACGCATTACGCCGATCACTGACACCCTTGCTACAATGCTTACGCCTATTACAGCAGGCTTTTCAAAAGAAATAAAACAGACATGATGCAATCTCCATTAGATCATTTATAGTCACACATCAATCTAGTTTCAACTCAGGAAAACCTTCCTCATGATAGGAACAGAATAGAAACTTCATTAAAATGGGTCGTTTGTTACTCCGTTAGTTCACAATTCAAAACAACACAAGACTTCGTTGAACTGTGAATTTCTCAAATTTTTGTCATTTATCGATGACTCACAGATTCAACTTGGCAATTCGTGTTGTTTTTGAAATGTCGTTCCAACTCCAGGTGGCTTGTTTAATCAAATTTTGTTTTCACCTTTTTTTAACAAGGGCGGATCCGTGAACATGATTTTTTTACTGTTTGATAATTTCGGTCCCTTTCATCTGATGAGATGGAAAAAGCACATCAATTTTCATACAAGATTTTTTACAATTACGGGTCGCTTCAAAGTAGTTGTAAAAAAGTTTTCACATGCACACCTCTTTTTGGACACGAGAAAATGCGCTTTGAAAACGCGTGACCGCCCGAAGGGAAAACTGAAAGTGGGAAATAGCGTAAAAATGATTAAGTGCGGATTGAAGAATGCGGAAGGCGGGATGGAATGCGGATTGTACTGAAAATGCGGCAGATGATGGAATAAACACGGGTCAAGTGCGGTTGAGGGTCTAAAATTGTGAGTTAATATCGATCAGAGGCAGTTAAACTGGACGTTTTGTGAATGACTGTCTCCGCATAAAACTCAATCCGATGCATAAAATTACGTTAAATGATTTGAATTAAGCATAGTTATTGCGATCTGTGTACTAGTTGAAACATCAACCTGTTTGGATGATGAGTTTATGAGTATGAACTTTGATGCATGACAAAAGTTATGCACCATCACCTACACAGGCCTCGTAATAAACCAGCTAAACTTGCCATCCACATAAAATAAACTCTCTGCATGTCTCCGGGTATAAAGTTTATAAAGATGTTCTTTTGTAGCCAGACCCTTACTGTAAATTTTTCTCAAAATTCCATATTATGCAAATAGTGTGGCTGTTATTTGTAAATAGCATGGATGTTTATGAGATCCATACTATTTCCATACTGAAATAATGGATAAAGTATAAATAAATTCTAGTATCTTACAAAGCTATCGTTTGTTTACAAGACAGTGGTACTAAAATGTATTTATATATTTTAAAACTTTCCTCTCCTTGAATCCTTCGTTACGCGATTATATTTTTATTCTTATCTTCCGGATGAGTTTATCTGGATCTGGAAAGAGTTTTTGATGTTATTTACATTGGCATGGTAACGCGATTCTCAAACTAGTTATTACGATACTGGAAGCTGTCATATATTTTAATGATTACTGATCTAATTAGGTTGATCTGCTAGATAGATATGATCCGGAATGCTTTGGTATGTAATGCGAATTAGATTTAACGAGATAGCCACCGTGAAAAAAGTTCTAAAAAAACCTGAACTGTGCGTGCATCGTCAACAGTGTTGCGGCCACATTGCTATATCACCAACAAAGTATATTCCCACGCTGGTGCATTGTGGAACTGATATATGTGACAAAACATCAGGTTTATTGCAACGTGTGCTGTCTGAAGTGAAGCCGAGGTGTCTCTAACCTGTAACTTGCCAAGCCTAATGCACGCGATGTACGCCTGCCCGAAGACAAATGTTCAAAACTAAAAGATACCGCTTAATATGAAAAATTCACTGCGTTTGTGAATTTTTGTACTTTTAAGGACTGGTTTCTCATTGCCGCAAGGAAACTCTGAGAGTGTATTTTTAGTGCAGATTATGTACATAATAATACTATAAATACGGAGTTTTTGCTTGTATGCCAAAAGGAATTCGATACTGAGAGGTATTTCCAATGGGAAATTCTGCTATTTTTATTCTCTTTCCGAGTGCATTCTCAATTGAAAATGCAGGAGTGGATGTATATCCACACAATTAAGCTAAGCCCTCTTGTCATTACCGTAACTTGTTGTTCATAAAATTCTCTGTCTGTTGGCAGAAACGGTGATATTTTCGGAATATGCGCCAGATATTGATATTGAATGCCTTTTATGCCGAAATGAGATGTTAAAAAAACGCTCCATAATTGATGTGTCGATCAGCGGGATGGTCATTTCATGCATCGTTGCTCATGACCATTATATTTTTTTAAACTGTGTGGTCTAGACTGGCCGAGTGCTTTTAGATGCTTTTATGAAATATGCATCATGGACCTCACAATGTGAGAGTGAGACGCATTTGCATTTTGGCATGTTAGAATCACTTCAGTGTGAATTTTCACCCTTTTCGCGGTGAGGAAATTCAACTATTGGGAGGGAGCTCGTACGCCAAAATCAAGGCCAAATTCTAGTAACATATCTGAACGTCAGTTGATACCCTATACACTAAAAAAAACACGTATGAGGTTGTCATAAAGAAGTATGTTTTCAAAAAAATTCTTCCATGGTCACATCCCTGGCTGCATAGGCAGTGTAGCTGAGCAGTGAACTTTTTTTTTGGCAAATTCGGATGTCGAAATTTATATTCCAGAGGTATCTTTCCATCTTCTATTTATTCAACTCAAGCAATGATGACGAAATCGCACCTTAGACGAAAACGTTTAAATGTCATAATTAATCGGCCCGATCAAAGTATTTCGAAAATTAGCCTTGCCCATTAAAAAATAATTTGATATATTTGATGATTTAAGAGCATTATTTCTTACTTCATTGTCCTTTTAAAATGTACGTCGTGGACCCTCGAACCTACGACGTATGTGCTGCGTCTTTCAATTAAAATAAGCAATTTAAGACTAGTTTAAATATTCGTCCTTTCATCACCTTTCATATTGGCGGATAAAAATGGAAATATTGCATGCAATTAAGTCGAAAACAGTTCACTCGATTTTTTACAGTCGCGAGTGGCAGAAAAGAATGAAAACAGTTCACTCGATTTTTTACAGTCGCGAGTGGCAGAAAAGAATGAAAACAGTTCACTCGATTTTTTACAGTCGCGAGTGGCAGAAAAGAATGAAAACAGTTCACTCGATTTTTTACAGTCGCGAGTGGCAGAAGAGAATGAAAACAGTTCACTCGATTTTTTACAGTCGCGAGTGGCAGAAGAGAATGAAAACAGTTCACTCGATTTTTTACAGTCGCGAGTGGCAGAAGAGAATGAAAACAGTTCACTCGATTTTTTCCTGTGATACAGTCTCCAAAAGTTGAATTTAGTTTTTACCATGTCATTGGGATGCTAACATTTTATATTCAGCACATTTCTTAAATTACATTTCCGAAATTAAGGTCTATTCGCACGACGCAATTTTTTTCAGATCCAATTCACTTCTGACGTATGTGAAACGTAGTCTGTTTTTGATAAAGTAGCACTGCATTGGCCTAAGTTTATTTGCTGCATTTGCTGGCCATGTCTATCGCAAGTCAACAGACTATAAAACATCCATCAGATTCAGAAGTACATCATTTGGATCCGTGTTGACAAATTTGATCGTTGGGACAAACCTCTAGAAACAGCCAACTAAAATAAATTGAAATCCAATGTTTGGCTTCGTGTTTTATAGTGTAATGGTTTAGAAATGCCGAAAAAACACTCTTGTGAGGTTTGCCAATTGCCCACGGGGTGAGAACAACCTAAGTTACCTGTTTACCACATTTGCTGGTTCCATGCCGGCGTAGGACTGGACACGAATCTGCTCATTATAGCGCATTTGAATAACAATTTCATGCTCTGTAAAACGTGTTTGCCGATTTTGTCACGATAATGAATTCGTTTCCAATGGTTGCAGCGCGGGGAAGGGAACAGGGTCGAAAGAAAGGATTTCTCGCGGCAATTAACCGCTTTCATTAAGATGTTTCGCCAAAGTCGAGTTGTTAGAAAGCGAATCAAGCCAAATATTTGCTTAAATGTATATGGGCATGCCGCGTAGCGTAAGTACCACACTTATCCTCTGACATTTGTAGATTATTTTAAGTATAATATATCATAAAAAATGACAAATTTAGAGCACAATGACAAATAATTTTTCCCCATGATAAACCGTACATACTTAGCGATGAGTGACAATTCTGTTGAATTCGCTGTTATCATTAGTAAAAATGACGATGCTAATATTCCTCCCTCCATCAGTTACGCATATAAGGCATCATTAGACCTCTTGCAAATATGTGTTTAATTACCGTGGACACATTGAAAAACCCAGACATACAAAGGAAAGCCGTCCGTCAGTGAATCTGGGCCTGGTTTTTCGAAAGGCGTTTAGCTCGTTCAACGAGTTCATAATGGTAAACAAAATGATCTATCTATTAAACAGCTGACTGAAGCATTTCGATGTAAACAGTTTAAATCTCACAGGAAATGCATATTAAATGGGATGAGATGTAGACTCAGTCATTCACAAGACGTATGGGAGTATTTTCGAACTTTGGCTAATCCACCGTTTAACTAAATGGCTTTTAAATTTTTTTTAAATGCCGAAAAACCGGCTACAGTTTAATTTCATCCGATTATCTTAAAACCCAATAAACTGTCAGCGCAGAAAATCCCGTAGAAAACGGCCAAGAGATTGCTGATCTTTTATCGATTGTTTATCAGGCTTGAAGAAAAACTCCAAATTCCGCGGGCTACTTTGCTCAAAAGTCAAAATCTCTCCTATATAGCTCGTTTAGATCTGCGTGGGGTGAGATGTTTTTAGACGAATTTAAAAAAAACCCTTGAAGTAACTGGCCATTAACGGACACAGCCTCTGGCAATATTCGCAGCAGTTTCTCAGTCATCTTTAGTTTTTTACAAGCGATAATTAAGGGCTTCAATGGTCACAGTGGTCTGTAGTGTTTATCCCGACGTACATCATCACCATACCAACTGTTGCGCACTTTATGCAAATCGTCAAACAAACTTTTACTATATATATATATTGATATATATTGAAATATATATATATATGATTTTATATAAAGTAAACCAAGTTTATTGAATTTTATATTCTCGTCTTATTAGCTCTATACTTCGGTATATTATCGAGTACTCTACTTGTATATGATTCTAAACACACACACACATATATTACTAGGGCCTAGGAAACGGTAACTGACTGGTCCTATCATTGGAAATATAGTTGGGAAGGTGAATTGTGATCGTAGTCAGTAGCGCTGTCCTCGTGTCTATGTTTTCCTGCGTCCCTTCTTAGTTGTTTCTTCCTCGGAGGAGGAAAGTTGATTCCGTGGTTCACTGTGCATGATATTTACTGAGGACGATATTTTACTGAGGACGTCGCCTTAAGTAGCTGGACCCGTTTGAAAGATCAGAACACAATAGAAAGAGAGCGTTATACAAGTCAACAGGACTTTTGGACCATGTGAAGATGCCAGTTTACTGCAAAAGAGTAAAGAGTCAATTGGGACATGCTTTGGAATCTCGGCACGGTTCAAAGCGTCTATATCGGGGTACGATTGAGACGGTTTCATCGCATAAAAATGTTTGAAAATTTTGCATATTAGCATTTCAACAAGTACAGTTAAGTAATTTAACGAGGCGTTGCAATTCATTACTACATTATGAAAGTCATCCATCATCTTCAACAAGCTCTACTTTGCATAAACAATGACACGAGGGCAGTGCTACTGAATACGATCACAATTCACCTTTCCAACTATATTTCCAATGATGGGACCAGCCAGTTACCGTTTCTTAGGCCCTGGTAATATTCATTATAGGGTGTCTATAAGAAATCGAGGAGAACTACCAATTTGCAAAGCCTTTAAAATAGTGAGGCGCACACAGTTCACATGAGCAAGCATGCACTAACCCCGACCTCGACCCTCCGCGGTGAGGGGCAGGAATTCGCTAACTGCATCTACCCTCTTGCCCTTTCCCGTATGAGATATCTAGACAGAAATAAGATTACCACTGAAAGGTTACTTATGTGAACTGAGGTATTCCGCCACCCCGCCATTAAACTGGGGCAAATGTCACGGGAATATTTTCAGTTTAAGATAATATGGACATAAAACTTGTGTTAAGGTTAAGGTCTTCTGTTTCGATTCACGTTCTAGGCTTGATCGTAAACATGAGAAAATTGTTAAAATCTCACTCGTTTACATCTTAAATATCGAGAAGAAGGATTGAAAACGATCGGGAGATAGACCAGCCTCGTATGAACGTTTACAATCATCATCTCTCTCGACTATATCTTTGAAATGATTTATTTTGTACTTAATTAAGATCAATAGCGAACGTGTATGATCTAATCGTGTCAGTCAACCACATCTGTTTTTTAACAGCCCACGACACAGCGCATGGTGTCCATTTTATCATTTGACTTTTTGAGTTCATCTTTCGACACTTTCGGTCTCAAATCTTTTCGCGATGGCCTCTATAAATTGAGGCGAGCCTCGCACCGATAGCAGCTGTACTCTTGTTTCTCAGTGCGTTGTGAAACAAGCTCTCTAAGGAATTGGACAAATATACCTACAAAGATTCCGTAATGGCGCTCTTCATTCGAATTTGCCTCGTATCATTTCTTTTTCTCGTCCTCCTGGCGTCGGTGGAAGCTCATCGAGGACACAGAAGAATGTCAAAAAGAACCAGACATCACTCAGATCCGAAGAGAAATCATTGTAAGTCTCATTTGGTGTTTTTCTAACTGATTGATACGAAACATTTAACTTCATATTAATCTGTTTCGCCCACAACAAGGAATATTGTACCAGATAAACGAGCCGGGCTTGATGTTTCAGTATATATGCCTGAAGCTTTTTAAACTGACAAAACAAACATTCCAACCGAATAAAAAAAGCAACGGTTGAAGTAGCTAAATACGCGTCTCTCTTGGAATCTTTTTACAATCCTAACTCACTCGCCTAGACAGTTTGTGGGCGGGTCAAGAAAGCTGAAAAAGCGGTCCATGTGAGGGAGGCCTTTCCAAATCTTGCGCAAGAAATAAAATGCGAACAAAATCATCGTTTTCAAGCATATCGATAATTTTGAAATTTGTGCGTATATCAGGCTTTTAGTACCTAATACTATGAATATCACTTTTGGCGGTGCTAGGTTACTAGCAGCATGCATAGCTACATGCCAAACCGTTCTTCCTAAAGTATCCTTGTTGCCTTAATCTTGTTAAATTTCGCCAGGACTAGCATAGTTCGACCAGAATTCGGTCGCAATCATGGAGTTACCCCGAGTTGTAAATGAAGATATCGTAATTCGTACAACACTGGATATATATTAAGGTTTTCAAGCAAACAATATTTCAAGTGAATCGTGCGTATTGCCGGGCAGGCTATCATCACGCCGTAATCCATCATACGATAATCTCGCATGCCGTTAAAGCGATGAACTATTTACTTCAACTGGCTGTTGGACGTTGTCCATATATGTTCATGGTAAAAATAACAGTCAGCTAAGCCTTGTCACGGCTTGTCGGAGTATTGAACTAAATACGAACTTCATTGAAGTTGTTTCTTGAATGAAGACTGATGTTCAAAAAAATGTTTGTTGAAATTGGACCCCGTCCCAAAGAAATACACGTTTTTCGTTTGTCGTCTATACAGGGAGTGATTTTCGTTGAAGGAACATTTTCATTTATCTCAGTACATTTTTAAACGCAATTTTGGTCTAATACAATTTTATGTATATTCTGAGAAAGTTGTTTAAGCGGATTTTGGAGGTTTTTTGAGTAAGTGATACCGTGAGGATTATAAGATTGAAAATCAAGTTCAAGTATATCACTTTCAAATATTTCTTGATCGCCTTTAAAAGTCAATTAAAGAGCGTTAAAATTGTCGTATTTTTCAATTTCAAAATACTTCGTTATAGTATCAGTTGCTTCATCAGTGATTCAATCATTCAAGCTTAAAATGGGGCTAGCTTTGTCCACCGTTAAAAATCTAACCATGGATACGCTTCTACAAGCAACTATAAATATATCTGACCTCTTATTTCATAAATCGTTTCATATTTCTCTTAGAAACAGGAACTCCATTTTTCTATCGTCCGTGTGAAATTACATACCGAAATGGAGTCCTTTAGGTTGTTGTTTTTTTCAAACAGGCATGCAAAACTTTCAACCCTTTTGTTTTAATCGTTCTTCAGGGTTACATTAAGAGCATGCACTTTGTAGAATGCAGTTACACGGTCATGATTATCGACGACACATGAGCAGGTGATGTGTATGTACCTCTCGGATGTCAAATGAAAACTAGCCACCCAAATTTAATTAAGTACAAGTGTAGGAATTCAAATAACTCTTACCATGCAGCCTCTGTAACTCTGCGTTCATTTTTCATAGTCGGACCGTGTTTCCGGGAACAGGAACGAATCGAGAAAAAGGTCAAAGAAAGAAGGATCTTCGACTTGCTTCCGCCATCTTGTGACGACGACGGTTACTATAAGCCATTGCAATGCGATTTCCACGGCTGTCGTTGCGTCAACAAGCTTGGAATTCATCTGAAGAAACTCTGGCGAGGTTGGTTAAGAAGTTCGGCTGATGCTTGCTCAAGGATTGCATTTAGGTACGGAGTCTATACGGACATCGTTTTTTGCTTGTTGTGATCGAGTACACGCATGCATTAGGGTAAATACCGCGACAAGTTCCATGAAGCATACATTGATAGCATATTTTGCTTGTAATCCTCCATAAATCAACTCATCTTTGGCATCTAACGTATTGTGTAGTTAACACTGTTTTTGAGAAGCTCGTATTAACACACTCAAAGAGATTTATGGGAAATTTATGGTGATTTAAAACCACCTCCCGTGTGCACTATTTTGCCGTTTTAAGTCAGTATATAGTGGTCCCAGTCGTTACGGTTCCGAGCACCTAAAAAATGATCGAAAAGTAACGAACAGAGAGAGCCAATCTTTCCTCGTGAGTTTATCAAGCGCACTAGATTATCGGCTAATTGACCCAGTAAGGACCGCGTGGTTTTACATCTACCCTGCTGTCATCACAAAGAATTTTGCCCGGAGGTAAAGGTTACCTTTCTAAGAATTTGTATCTTGTTCCGTTTGAAGACATACAAATACGTAGCTTTGTTGGTTTGCATTCAAAAGTATGTCTGGTTATGTTAACTATGGTTTGTTATTGCTGTTATGTTAACTATGGTTTGTTATTGTTTGTTATTACTCATCATTTTTTAAAACAAGACAGCGCTATTGATAGGGCTGATATTTCTCAAGTTGAAAGCTAGACCTACTGGTGAGGCTAGCCCACCATTTAGCTCATGTAAACAGCCCTTTAGTCCCAACTATATTTCGCTGTTTGATTTAGAACGGCTGTAAATTTCACAAACAACTTCAAGACATGTATCAGATCTTCCTAATTTCACGCTTAATCTGAGATAAAATAACTTACTATGCAAACATTGTAGTAAAAAAATGCGATACTAGAAAAAATCTGTCATCCCCCATTACAATTTTTCCATACATTCCATTTTAGATATTGACGACCGTCTGTATTTGGGCATAGAATTTGAAAAGGAATTTTCGAATGAAGTCGCCCACCATTCGCCTAATCGTGAAAAAAATTTTCATGACTTAATCAGTTATCAATTGGTGAAGTTGATTTAGTATTGTATTGACTGACGAACAGCCAAAATGGCTTCTGGAACATTTA